TGTTTGTGAGCGGGGCTTTCTGGAGCAGAGAGCGAGGGGAGAGGAGGAGCTGAGGGGAAAACTGGTTGGGAGGGGTAGAGTTTGCATTCAAGATTACTCCCAAAAACTACAACGTTCTCAGATCCTGACTACACCAACTTTAAATGAACAAACGGAAATAAAGAAAACTGCGAGGGACTTTTAACCGAGCACATTTGACTTATTAAATGGAGCGCGATGTAGTTTGTCCGAGTGAACTCACTGCTGTATCTTCATATCTGTTCATTGGAAGGATGGTGTTTCTTTCGGCTCTCAAACTCTTTCTGCGGGGCCTGCAGGTGATTTTCCTTTAATTTGACCTTATTTAAGAGTTTCCTTTCTCATCCTTAACATAAAAATGTGGACTGTGCCTTGAAACTGAAAATTTTCATCCCAATAAGGTGACATTTTTGTAGTTTTTGATCACGTGCTAAAAAGATTCATTCAAAAGATTTATTCACCAAATCATCTGTGACTCCGACCTCCTGAACTGATACACAGCGGAACGGTTCAGGATTCAGTTCAGATCATCGCTCCTGGGACCACGAGATGAGAGCGTTTGGCTGTGTTGCTTTGGCAAGGTCCATATTATGTTCGTCTTATGTTGTAAATGTGAAAACAAACCGTTACGTCGTTTGCATTCTGTAAAGGTTTAAAATAAAGGAACAGGTAAACCAGGCCGATCGAAAAAGCAGGTCCTTCTGACGTCGCGCTGACCTTGCTCATTATTATTCACGAGCACGTCCTCAGTGAGCCGCGCCCACTCTCTCGTTCTCGTACTCATTAGCAGTCAACGTTACTCTCCAGCCAGAGCGAGACCCAGCTACCACTGTATCCTCTATGGGTCTTTTCCAAACGCTAAAAAGAGTTGTCCCTGAAAATGTCCCCGATTTAAGCGTTTCATGAATGAGAGCAAAATTTGCGTGTGGGCTCGAACAACGGTTATTACAGTAGCCGAATGGATAGGAAGCACAAGTAAGCAGTCCTGATCAACGGTTTTTAAGGGGGTTATTACAAGGGGCATGCGCTGCTACTAAATAGTACCGAGATGTTGTCTGTGATCACACAGCCCCTGCACCCTCCCCGCAGCCGCACCAGATATCCCCGGATATCATCACAGACATCTGGGCACCTTACTTTAGCACACATTAGCAAAATGGATAAACCAAAATCCGAACCTCCACTGCTGAGCCAATCAGAGCACAGCAGGCTTCACAGCAGCGATCCAATCAGAGCAAAGCTCATTACCATAAATGTTAATGAGCCAAAATCGATTGGTTTTCCTGTAAGGTTTTTTTAGGCAAACTAAAACAAACCATCAAAAAACTTTTCAGCTAAAATTATGTTGCAAACATGATCAGAGGACATCAAGGATTATGAAAAAATGATAAAAATGGGTATGAAATTTTGGTGGCAGGTCCCCTTTAAGCGTACTGTCCTATTGTATGCTATTTATCAGGTCTGCTCAGTAAATTTGGGTCAGTAAGTGATTCGTTGACTGATCGTTTCACACACTGAACACCGTTCCCTCACAAACCGCTGCAATGATAGGATGCTGCGGGTTTAATGCACTACCTGTTATCTGTCCTATTGTATAAAAATGTTGTGGTGGCAATTTAGCAGAGAAAAAAAAGGTTGTTCCAGAGGGTGTAGTTCAATGCTTGATTCATTCACCAAGCGATTCAGGCGTCGGTGCATGTGCTCCCCGATTCGCCGGCTGCTGGCCTGGCAGTGCTGTTTCTCACTTCATCTTAACTCAAGAGAGAAACGAACAAATGACTCGAGGAAGTGATTTGGCACAGTACGTTCACTTAAAAGATTTGGTTCTTTCGAAAGAATCGTTCTTAAACATCACAACACTACTCCGTATTGATTCAGACGATATTTGAAAAAAAAACTGATCAATATCTAACGGGATAAACCGGATCTAACTAAGCCCTGAAGGATCCATTTTTTGGTAATATCCAGTCAGGGTTAAAAGTCCTAAAGGTAAATGTTACTCAGTACAGACACAGCGGTACTAAAATACATGGAGTAGGAGTTTTTAGAACAAAAGCATCTGTTGATATTTTTATATTTATGATGAGTTCATCATATTAACAAGGCTTCAGTCGTTCTCTCTCTCCCCTTAGTTTCTCTCTTTTCCTTTCCATCATCACCTGTCATGTTCATCCTCCTCCTTTTTTCATTTCTTTGCTCTCTCGTCTCCTCCCACCTTTCGCCTCCCTCCTTCAAACCTGTTATTCTCTATTTGTCAGGACTTACCCCCCCCCCCCCACCTCCCATCTCTCTCTCTCTTTCTCTCCCTCCTTTTCAACCTCACTGATCCTCCTTTCTCTCCTTTTTCTGTTTTCCTATTACTCGTTAATTTCCTCCTCTCCTGTTTGATCGACCATCTCTGCTCCTCTGTCTCCTCCTTCCACCTTCTCTCTCTATATTCTTCAGTTTGTCCAGCAGGGAGCAGCAGAGCTCAGTTTACAGTCAGAGGGATGACATCACCCTCAAAGAAAGAAGATCCAGATTCATGGTCCTCATCGTGAGTCCTCAGCTCTTCTTTCACCGACCCTCTGTAGACCTGAGTGAGCACAGCAGACCAGGTTCTGGAGTCTGATGTCCCAGTCTGGCCTGATTGAGGATTTCAGCCGCTCAACAGTTCAGGGTCTCCTTGGTCCAGTTTCTCAAGCTGGATTTGAACTGGGAGCTGATGATCACAATCAGGTGGGTCCACAGAGTCTATGATCGGGTCATAGTCCAGAGAGGTCTCTGGTGTCTCAGAATCCTGGTTCTCTCTGATCTCGTCTTTTTATGGTTCGGTTTGAGAAGGTCAGAAGCTCAATTTGTTCTCTGGAGGAGGCGGGGTTTATGACTGATACTGCAGTCAGCCAACAGGGGGCGCTTTAAAGCTGTAGGCCTCAGACAGCAAGGAGACGTGTGCTCCCAAGTTTCTGTTCAGTCAGTTTTTGACTTTAGAGGTTTTAAATCCAGAACGTGTGGTTAGTGCGAGCACAGACCAACAGTGGTGCTCCCAGTTTGATCTGAATTTCTTTATTTCTTTATGATTTTTTTCATGTTAACAATACAGTCCAAAACACTGTTGGATTTATATTTCAATAAAGTCCCTGCTCATTATAATTATCATCAATAAACCACCAACAAATAAAATATAAGAAGAAAATAAAGTCAGCAAAATACAAGTCTGAATTCAGGTGTAAAAATACTGATCAAATCTTTAAAGGCTGAACAAAGGTGGAGGGGAGGATCTAGACCAGGGGTGTCAAACTCATTTTAGCTCAGGGGCCACATGGAGGAAAATCTATTCCCAAGCGGGCCGAACCAGTAAAATCATGGTATATGACTTAAAAACAACAACTTCAGATTGTTTTCTTTGTTTTAATACCGTCCCAAAAAGGACAAACACAACATCACTATTAATCATAAAACACAAAGTTTTTTGAAAATTCTGAGGACAAATAGCACACAAACACAATGCCTCAGTGAGTCACAGAACCAGAACAGTATCACAGACCAAAGAACTATATCAGCGTGTTATTTCTCAGGCAGAAATGTAAATAAAAATAATAAAATCCTGTTGCCCAAACAAGTGCAAGAACCAGAGTCACAAATCAAGAATAGGTTAAATATACAAATAAAATAAAATAAATTAAATACATAAAGCTGGAGCCTGAGGGCAGTGTATCCAAAATAGTGCAAACACAACATCACTATTAACCTTAAATCACTTCAAGTTTTTTGAAAATTCTGAGGACAAAGAACACACAAACACAGTGATTCACAGAACTGTTTCACAGATCACAGAACTATATGAGGGTGTCTCATGCAGCACTTTAAGTGGGGTTGCAGTGTTTATTTGACTCCTGATACCTGGCATCTTTTAGCTTTCACCAGCGCATCAATATCAGGCGTTGCATTCTGAGTGACAGCCAACTTCAGGATGTGATTCAAGTGGCTGTGCGTGAGCCTCGAGCGCAGCTTTGTTTTATTAATGTTCATTACAGAGAAAACCTGCTCACAAAGATAGACTAGACTTTTAACTGGTTTTAGTCGACGGCATCACATCACCCCAATTTTAGCCTCCCTTCACTGGCTTCCTGTCAGTTTTATAATTGATTTTAAGATTTTATTGATTACTTTTAAAGCGCTCAAAGGACTTACTCCGAGCTACATTTCAGAGCTTTTAATATCTTATGAGCCAACTCGCAGCCTCAGATCCTCTGGCGAAGGCCTCCTGGTCGTTCCAAAGTCGAGGCTCAAGACTAAAGGTGATAGAGCTTTCTCCATCAGAGCTTCTCGACTTTGGAACGACCTGCCAGAGGAGATAAGGCGTGCAGAGACAGTCGCTTCTTTTAAGTCAATTTTAAAAACTCACTTTTACAGACTTGCCTTTATGTGATGCCATCTTTCATCTTTTATCGCCTTTTACCTTTTTTTTCTTTTTCTTTTACCTCTTTCACCTCTTTGTTATTTAGACTTACTGCCTTTTTAGCCTTTGTTTTACTTATAATCTTTTCATTGATTTTAATGTTTTCATTTTCCTTTATTTTATATATATATATTTAATTCCACTTTATCATTTATATTACCATCATTTTCTTTTATTATGATTTTATTATTATTATTAATATCCTCTTTTATACTTACTAGCCTGTTTTCTTCCCTCCTTTTCTATTTCATTTTATGCTTTTATTTTGGTCCTCATGGTCCCATTTATTTTGTAGGGTTCTTGTATTGCCTGGGTTTCTTACGAAAAGTGAAACAGGCCTACAATTCAGAGGCCTGTTTTTAACTGAGCTTTTGTTTTTATGTGTTTTTATTTTCAATGTGCTGATGCTCTGTGCTTACAACTGTTGTCTAAGCACTTTGTAAACTTCTGTTTTTAAAGGTGCTATATAAATAAAATTATTATTATTATTATTATTATATGTGGTTCCAAACATGGACAACAGCTTTGCAGCGAGGCCTGTCAATTTGGGGTAACCTGGCAAGAGATTCTGATAAAATGTGTCCAAGCCAGCTGCGGAAAATTTGCCCTTCAAATCCGAATCACACTGCAAGTCAATTATTTCGAGTTGGATGTTGACGGGCAGATCTGAGGGATTCACGGTGAATGGCGAGCAAACAACTTTGAAGTCTTTCTTCAGTTCACCAAAAATCTGAAAACGTTGCTCAAACTCCCGTAACAATCCCGTTATTTTTTCTTTGAACCGCTTCATGTCTGCGACATGTTGGGTCGCGCACACATGTCGCAGACAGGGGAAGTGAGCTGCATCACCACCGGCGAGTTGCGTCTCCCACAATGACAGCTTCAACTTGAAAGCGCATATGCTGTCATAATACTGTGTGACAACTTTGTTGCGCCCTTGCAGCTGTTTGTTCAAGGTATTCAGGTGCTCGGTAACATCCACCATAAATGCAAGGTCCTGCATCCATTCTCCGGAATGAAATTCTAACACCGGTTTACCCTTTTCTTCCATGAACTGTTCAATTTCTTCTCGTAAGTCATAGAAACGCCTCAGCACAGCACCTCGGCTTAACCACCTTACCTCAGTGTGGTATGGCAAGCCATGGATGTGGTCTTTCTCTCTGAGAAGGCTGTCAAACTGACGGTGATTCAAGCTTCTGGATCGGATGAAATTCACCGTTTGGATGACCACCTTCATAACGTTATCCATGTTTAATGACTTGCAACACAAAGCCTCCTGGTGCAAAATACAGTGAAAAGTCCAAAAATCACGTCCTCCATTTGCAGATCGCACTTTCTCTCTGAACTTTGTCACAACACCTGCTTTTTTTCCGATCATTGAGGGCGCACCATCCGTAGCCAGGCTGACAGCGCGGGACCAGTCCACTCCGACCCTCTCCAGGGCGCCGACAAGTGCGGTGAAAATATCAGCGGCTGTCGTTGTACTTGACATCGGCACCATCTCCACGAACTCTTCGGTGACGGTCAATGTGTCATCAACTCCGCGGATGAAAATGGCCAGTTGTGCAACATCTGTAATGTCCGTGCTTTCATCAATTACAACTGAAAAGGCAATAAAAGCCTTTACTGTGTTCTTTAACTGGCTGTCCAAATCCACTGAAAGATCGGAAATCCTGTCTGTGATGGTGTTTCTTGTCAGGCTGATATTTGCAAAAGCCTGTCGCTTTTCAGGGCACACAATCTCCGCTGCCTTCACCATGCATGTTTTTATAAATTCCCCCTTACTAAATGGTTTTGAAGCCACTGCAATTTCGTTATCAATGAGGTAGCTAGCTTTCACCGCAGCGTCACTGATGTCTTGGCTGTGAGTAAAAACAGACTGCTGTTTCTTCAGACCCGACAATAGTTCATCCACCTTCTGTTTTCTCTGCTGTCCTTGAAAGTTGTCATATTTGTCGGCATGAAGACTCACATAGTGGCGACGAAGGTTATGCTCTTTCAGCACTGCAACATGCTGTGAACACACCAAACATACTGCTTTCCTATTCAATTCTGTGAAAAAATAGCAGTATGACCATTTTTCTTGGAACACTCTGCACTCTGCGTCCACTTTTCTCTTTTTTGACAGCGACATAATAGGGAACCGAAGTCATGCTAACTTCCGGGTTAGCATACGGTCCTATGGAGCCCATCAAAATGAATGGACAGATATATATAACTACTGGTCCGCTTTGGTATACGCCGTGGATTTCACATATAATGTTTATCATGTTTAAATTTACATTTTAACCTCAAAAAAGCCGTGATTTTAGACATGTTGCTATAACTACAGTTTAATTTAGAGTGAGACCACGTAATGAACTACACCGCTCGTCGCACTATTTTTGCGTCACTGTCTAAGCTTTGACAGACGACGCATTTCATGTAAGTCTCACCTGATTAGTTGAATCCACCGACTCCTTTTCTTCTTATCAGCCGGGAAACGGCGAAAGGAACATCCTGCTGAACTATTATGGTGACATTCTGGCACAAAACACACAGGCATTTTGGTAATGATAACGAGGAGTTGTCAGCTAGCTAGAAGTAGAAATACTGACGTGACGTCATTTACGCGACTTCTTGAGGTCTGTAGTCTCTCCATTTACGTGTTTTCAAAGACAAATAGATCAACAATTACACAACAAACATAGCCTTTATTTACCTTAATGGTTATCATTTAAGTTAAAATACAACATATTTGTGACTCAGGGTGTAAAACAAAGCGGACCAGAAAATACCATAGACCTGTCCATTCACTCCTATTATCCCAATAGGACCTATAGCGCTAACGCGGAAGTGGGCGTGGCTTCGGTTCCCTATGGGGCAATGAGGGTAACAAAGTATATAATGCTAGAGTAGAAGCCGAAATAAATAGCTTGGGCAAAACACAAAGTAGTTCATCCGCATTGGCTGCGCTTGCTTACTTGCTCTGCCCCAGTATAAACAGTTTGCTTGCTTAACACAATTGTCATCCAGTGGACGCAATTAGAACTGCAGTTTATTGAAAAATTGCAGGCTGACTCACGTGGCAGGCTGACTCGCGCGACTCAACATGGCAGCGACCAGTTGCTAGAACAAACTTTCTCTCCGGACTTCAAAATCATTATTATTATTTTCCTTTTCTGCAAGCTCTTCTTTTTTCACTCCCCATAAACTTCGGCTCCATCTCCACTAACGGACTACTTCATTCAATCATTGACCTGGACCCTTTAGAGGACTACATCGACTATTACTTCACCAAATCCAGCTTCTCTCCAGCCTACAAAAGACCCCGTTCAGGTTCCTTACCCAGCACACACTCATCTCCATCCTCACCCCCGAGTCCACCCCATCACAGTCAACAACGTCACACTTCACCGCGTTCACCGTTTAGGACAGAAAAACACCACCACCAACAGACCCCGCCCGATTGTCGCCAAATTCGAACACTTTAAACAGAAAGAACTGCTCAAACATCAAGGAAAACAGCTCAAAGGAACGAACTTTGGATTAAATGATCAATACCCGAAAGAAATCATGGACAGGCGCAAAAAACTCTTCCCCATTCGCAAACAAATGATGTCAGAAGGAAAGAAAGCAGTCATCTCAGTGGACAAACTTTACATAAACGGACAGTTATACTGCAGCAAGGATATCACCCCCTGGTTATACTAGCCCCCCGTCTCTCTGTAAACTGTCTCTCTCTTTCTTTCTCATACACATGCACTCTCGCTCTCTCCTCCCACTACACAGACCCTTGCCCCCTTCCCGCCGTTGTTTGCAATATCTGATAAAGACAATCATAAATAGTCACGCACCAACGTCTCGCCCCGCACTCTATGCGCTCTGATACGCAGCGCTCTCGGTGTTCTTTATTGTTATACGTTTGTGTTTTGTTTGCTGTTCGTATGTGTGTAAACATTACTGTATATGTAATATCTATATATCCCTTTTTGTTTTGTATTCACTTGTCTAGTCTCTCTCTCTCTCTCTCTCTCTCTCTCACACACACGCACACACACACACTTCTTTTTTGTTTTTCCATCTCTTTGCGGACTATGTACCTTTTTCAATGCGTAAGAGTGAGATTTTTTTTTTTTTTTGAGTTCCTACCCTGCATGAAATACACAAAATTTTCAAACATACGCCTAAAAAAGGCATGCAATTAAACAAACAGTACAAACAACTCTCAAATCCAAACAGAGTAAAATTCTGCTGTAAAGGCCAGTACAGCTGCGGTTACTCTGAGTTTGTGGTTAAAAACGTTTTAAAGACCACAGCTCTGAAAAATGAGAAAAACTCATGAGTGAAGCTGGAGGTGCTGAGATATCTGTGGAAGAGCTTTCCTCTAAATGAGGAAATATTAAAGCTTGTTTAGCTTTGTGTAAAATGAGCCTGATGAAGAACTTCTGATGCTACTACACAGAACTCACCCACTCTCTTCCAGCAGCCGCTTGTTTGTAGCAAGACCTCAGGCCAGTCCATTACAGGCTACAGCGGGGTGACGCAGCTCAAGGAAGAACATTTATGATCATTTCTTCATGGAAATGCAATCAGACCAAGATTCTAAGGCAGAAGAACTACAGCGTCTGCAGTGGAAAATGATTAATATGGTGATTGTTACTTCAAGGAAATGGTAAAGAAATGATCATTTAAATGTTTTGTCTTTATTTTGACAGTTACCTTTTACTCTTTAATAAAATTTCACAAACCATCAAGTTTTGAAGCTGCACATCACAACATGTCTACAGATCTACAAACCACAACCAGATCACTGCCTCCTCTGTGATCCTTTAATCCTGACACCAACCAACAGAGGGCACTGCTCTGAAATGAATCACAGGAAGGTGGCCTGCTCCACTGCGTTTCTGTGAGGGTGGGACACAAAAAAATGTTCGAAGGGACAACAAGGTAAAGATCATCATGGTGGAAAATCAAATCAATGAAAAAAGACAGAAAACAACTTAAATCAGATAAAGAGAGAGAGAAAGACTCACAGGTGAGCAGGACAGATGAGTCTGAGGAAGAGAGGACAAAACTGTAGAACAGCAGTAAGGAGAAAAAATAAAACTGAAAAAATAAAACTGAAACTTCTAATTTTTTTTTATTCCTGACAAAACAGAAAAAAACAGAGAAAAAAGAAAAAAATAGATAAATCCTCTGCAGCAGGATTATGAACGGCTTAATATAGAAGCTTAGCAACACACACACACTCACACACACACATGTAGCCTACAGCCTCTCTGATCTAATGGACACAGAGAGATTTTATCTCTGTCTTTTTAAACTGTTGTTTTGATTAAAAAGTGGGAAGGAGAGAAAGGAAAAAAGGAAGAAGGAAGGTGTGAAAAGTGGATGTTTGGAGATTTTAAAGTCTGTATTTCATTCTGAAACTGAAGCATCTGAATGTTTCATGGAGCAAAGAAAAGCAGAGAAAAGGTTTGTCCAGAATCAAGTTTCATTTCTTCATGGAAATACAATCACACCGAGACGCTAAGGCAGAAGAACTACCGCGTCGGCAATGCAAAATTATTAATATGGTGATTATTACTTCAATGAAATGATAAAGAAATGATCATAAATGTTGTTCCTTGAGCTGCGTCACCCCACTGTAGTTGAGGTTTGTTTATGGCTCCTCAGACCGCTGTGTATTGCTATCCTGTGGTCGTTACTGAAGTTGGTATAACTAGAGAAGCAAGCGGTCGGCAACATTCATCTCTGGAGGGGGTGTCATAACTCACTGTTGGTGTGTTTGACCCTAAATTAATTTCACGCCGGAATATCCATTTAAGGTTGACTGAGGTTCAAGCTGTCTTGTTCAGTCTGAAGAAATCATGGACTCTGCATTCTCCACTCTGAAGAGGAACTCCAATAAGAATAAGACATGTTCACTTTATTGGATTAAAATTGTTGTTTTATTTCAGATTTACAATAAAGACGAAAAGATTTCTACCTTTGGAAAGAAACTCCCTCGTCATGAAAGTCACCTGAACCAAATTGAAAAACCCAGAAATGCAGACAGAGCTAAAAGTTCAACAAACGAAGGAACAAAAAAGAAAAAGTTCTGCTTTTTTCAAATTTTCAACTGAAGCCAAAAACCCAGAAAACAACCAGGAAGTCATTCACAGGGATCCTGATATTTAATAACCATCATTTTAGCTCCAAAACCAAGAACAGGATCTGGTCCCTTTAGGTAACGGTATTTTGGAAAGACAAGCGATATGAGATGAAATGATACCTGACAGGCCTTCTTAACCGTTTATGCCATGATGAGCCAATCCTTCGGCTTTTATTCTGAAATTCTTCAGGTCTCGCTTCCTCCTGCCTGTGTATGTAAATGAGAAACAAAAATCCAAAAACTGTAGTTTGACTTTTCAGGCACAGAAATGGAGAAACAAACTGACCCTAATGAAAGGAGGAGACCGGGTGAATTTGGTTTGGGTCCAAAACCAGGAAAACGTTTCAGTGTTCAAGGAGAAACTAACAAAGCAAAGATGAGAACTGAGACCAGAGAAAAAGGAACAAGCAACAGGTGTGACAAATGACACTCATCAAACAGGAGGAAAACACAGGAAGTAAAGCAGACCCACTACAGCAGGAGGAAATACTACAAATTGAAACAGGAAACGGTGAAAACTGAACTTAAGAAGCAGATATGAAGCTCTTCCGTCTGTCTTTAAGGATCTGCTCCAAATGCTTCAATAAAAACACGTGACAAACGGTTCATCAGCTCAGCATTCAGAGTCTGTCTTCACCCCTGAAACTGCACTGATATCAGTGTATAAAAAAACTCACTGCAGTGATAGTTTGATTGATTACCTCAAACTCGTATTGCAGTCATGTTTGACCGAGAGGATCTTTACTCTGACCTGTGAGGTATGTACTTCATCGACCACCGGGGAACACACAGAAGACAGAAAACCCTGCAGCTAATTTCACTCTGAGAGTCTGAAGATGAGACAGTGACCTTCAGAAACACACACACACACACACTGTGTACACAGGCGAGTGTATCACAGTCTAATCTGTTTTCTGATGGAGTCTCGATGTTCAATTTGAGCTCAAAGTCAAGGAGGAAACATCAAAACCCCGAACCCTCCTCCTTCCTACCTCCTGGTCCAGTCTTGAAACCATAAAGGTTCAGAGCTGCTGTGACACCTTCAGTGTATAAAACACTCATGTGTCTCAGTAAAACATGAAGATATATGATTCCCCTCTTTGAAAATACTTGAAATCCATAGAAATCAAACCAAACGTAAAAAAAATCAGAGAGTCATTTCCAGACCGTGTCCTCTTTGATTTCATGGATCTGGGCAGTGAGAGTTTTAAGCAGATCAGGTCCAGGACTTGTTTGAAGGGTTTAGCTGTGATTCAGTCGGACCTTGAATGAGATATGACAAAGAAGGAAAGTGACAGAGAACATAAAAGTCTGACAGAATAAGAAGGGATGGAAAATATGGACATGATGATTATCACCAGCATTATCATGATCACCATCATCATGATCATCACCATCATCATCATCATCATCACCATCATCATCATCATCATCATCATCATCACCATCACATCATCATTACCACTATCATCATAATCATCATCATCTTCATCACCATCATCACCATCATCATCATCATCACCATCATCATCATCATCATCATCATCATCATCATCACCATCATCATTACCACTATCATCATAATCATCATCATCTTCATCACCATCATTATAATCATCATCACCACCATCACCATTATCATTATTATCTTCATCACTATCTTCTTTATTATCATTATCATCACCATCATTATAATCATCATCATCACCACCGCCATTATTACCATCATCACCACATCATCAGTGTTATCATCAACACTTTTATCATCATCATCATAATCATCATCTTCATCATAATCATCACAATCACCTTTATTATATCATCACATCATTATCATCATCACACTATCATCATCATTATCATCATCACCACCATCATTACATTTATCACCAGCATCATCATTTCCATCATCATCATCATCCTCATTTTCTTCATCATCATTATTTTCTTTATCATCGTTATCAACATCATCACTGCTATGATTATCGTCATTATCACCATCATAATTTCCATGATCATTACTTTCATTATTATCATCAATGTCATCATAATCATCCTCATCATCATAATCATCACCATCATCAACATAACCACCATTATTATCATCATCATCATCATCATCATCATCATCATCATCATCATCATCATCAACATCATAAGTTCAATGATCATCACTTTCATCATTATCATCATCATCATAATCATCACCATCATCAACATTATCACCACCAGCATCGTCATCATCATCACCACCACCTTATCATCATAACAATCATCATCATTACTTTCATCATCATCGTCATCATTATCATTTCCTACATCATCATCATCATCATCATCATCATTTTCTGCATCATCATTATCAACATTATTCCTTCCATAATTATCATCATCATCATCACCATCATAAATTCCATGATCATCACTTCCAACATTGTCATCATCACCATCTTTATCATCATCTTCATCATATGTTCAGTGTATTCATATCTGATTTTATAACCAATCGCGTATCTGTGCTCATTTTTTTGCTGTCTGTGCCTTTAATGCTCCAGCTGCCCTCCCCTTTAACACACTGAGCCTTTTTTCATTTAATCCCCAATTGGAAGAGTGAGAGAGGAAGGTCGAGAGACACTGATGGAGAGAGGAGGAGACAGAGCGTGTATGAGTGAGTGAGTGAGAGAGAGAGAGAGAGAGAGAGAGAGAGAGAAAGAGAGATTAGTGAAGTGAAGCTGAAAAAAGAAGCAGAATTGGTCCCTAGGATCTCTCTGGATTTTTCTCCTCTATTCTCACTTTTTCCTTTCTGTTGGATTTAAAATCAATCAGTCAAGGAATCGATTGATTGATCAGCAGCTGCAGTAGAAGAACATAAGTGGATTTATTGTTTTAGTTGTATTTTTTTTTTCAGATGTAAGATGCGGAGAAGTAGTTGTGTGTAAAAAAGAGGACGGAGCTGATGAGGATCACAGCGACACCAAACTGATCAATCGATTAAGGATGATTATCGGTGTTCGAAGCTGAGAGGGAAACAGTGAAGATGTACGAGGAGAGGAGCAAAAGTAAGAAACATTTCTGCTTCTGTTTCTATTTTATCTACAGCTGAAAGAGCTGGGTTAACTGAGTTTCACTGTAATCACTGTCATCAGAGTTACTCTCTGAGCAGCTGAAACCATCCATCAACCCCTTTTCATTTGATAATCGATTAATTGTCTTCATCAGTTTTAAAGTAGGACAGTCCCGCAAATAGCTGTCAGCCTCTGAAATGTTTCCAGATTTTAAACTCCTATCCCTAAATGAGTGGTTTCTGTCTCATTTCAACCCCATTTATAATAAAATATTCTCGATTTGTTCTCTGAGAAACGAAGATGAACACTCTCTAAACTTTCAGATTCATCAATCATGAAAATAATCGATTTTTAGAGGGTTTCTATTTGCAAAAAGCAAAATATTTATGGATCTGCAGAATACCAGAGAATCAAATGTGGTCTAACAGTGATTATTGCTGCTTAAATACCAAATAATTATTAAATAAATATGCAGGAATTTAAAAATATACACTCTTAACCTCGAGCTGACCCGGGTTGAAGTAAACGTTTAAATATGTGTTGAATATCACAGTTTAAGGTTTCCGTTTGCTTTATTATCAGGTGATTATTAAACATAGAAACCTGGTGTGTTAAAGTATCTGTCCTCACACATGTGATTTAATAACACTGTCAGTTTGGAGAGTCCATCCAGGACACGGACTCAACCTTGTTTAGGATAGGGGAGATCAGGTATGGTTGCAACACTGTTTGCTTCAGCACCTGTGACTCACATCCATACAAAGGATCCACTACAACCAGTTAAATCAGTTTAAACCTCGTTATCCATACAGGGTGTCTCTCTTATAACCTGCAGCCACAAAGAGGTTTACTGTAAGAGGAGAAAAATCCAGAAAGGACGACGTCTCTCTAAGAAGACTCGTGTCATCCCATCTGTGGTCGAGCCCCTCATATTGACTATGATGACGAGTTTTAGGGGCGAGTAAAGGCTGGGGCAGTATCATGTTTCTAAGATAAGAAAAAAAAGAGACACATCACAGACCATCTCTCTGCAGTTACTCCAGTTTTTATGGTCTTGTGGCAGAAATGACCATCAGCGTCTCTCTGCTGTTCAGAGCTGCTCTGTGAGCTCTAATCCTGACAGCCATAGACCCTCACACAGTAAAAGAGGGTCCTGAAATGAAGCCTGCTGAAAATGTCAACTTCCTGTTGGTTTACAGCGGAGGAGGGCTAATCGGTCTGCTGGCACCCTTTAGATGTTTTTAAAAATCCAGGAGGTTCACCTTAAAAGACGATTTCTGTGACACAAACAAAAGTCTCTTCACACTGTGGTGAAAGATCAACAGAAAGTCAGGGACGTATCTGTCGTTTAGCCTTTCGCAGCACGTCTTTGATTTGTAGTGGGGGTTCTTTTCACGTCAGAGGCCTGTACTACGAAGCTGGATTTGATCTTTGTGAGACAACGTCTGGATAACTTCTGGGTTTTCCGTACTATGAAGGTGGATTTCTTTCTATCCGGGTCCGTTGCCTTGGTAACTTGCGTGAACACCAAACCTGCTCTGTAGCAGGTTATGTTTCAGGATAAGATCTCAGCAGGTACAAAAGACCGCCCACTGACCAAACGGATCTCTTGGAAAATGGCTTGCCCACTTTTGCCAGATCCCGTGGACGTCAGTGCGCGTTAGATCCGTTTGATTTACTTGATGACATTCTCTCTATGAACGTTCAAGGTTTTCCTTGGACTACCTCAATATTCAGGTAGCATGTAGTCGAAGTAAAGCACTAATATTTGCCAAGCTCCAAGTTCCAGTTTCATGCGGCATACCTGTCATCGTTTAGAATCTATTAAAGCAGATTAGAAAACTCCTCTTAAGGTCCTTACACCTTTTTTTAAAACAGCTTAAAGTCAATGCAAGCTTCCACACCGGCGGCGATTTCCCCGAGGGGGGAAAAGCGTCTTTTATTTTTTCGCTCTTGTGTCGAATTTTTCGGATATTCGCAGGTGAATATCTGGACCGGCTAGACCCCTGGCCAATCAAAAGTCATGTTGTTGATGATGTCACAGACCCATACGGCTGGAGGAGAGGGAGAAGTTTGAGATTATGAAAACGCAGAGAAAGACAGCTGAGGTGCATCCAAAACTCTTTCTAATTACTAATGAAGTAGTTTTCTCACAAGATGACACTCTCTTGTCTTTCTTAGGAGACAGGTGTCATGCACACTTCACAGGGTGACCGCCTCATCATGCCTGATTCTCCCTCTTAGCTGTTTGACAAACCGATGATCTGCAGCTAAAGGGCCAACAGAATGACCAGACAACTTGAAGGATCACTGCTCAGCCCTCGCCTCTCCTGGCTGCTGCGGCGTCTCTCACAGCTTTTCCTCCTCTTTCTCCCTCGCTCATAATGCTAGACATGTCAATCAGCAGCCATTCACACGACACACACCACCACTGGCACCAAGAGCAACGATGGGAGAGAGGCTGGTAATAGCGGTACAGGACCACCCCGCATCTCCTCTCCTCCGTGCTTTGCGAAATTTATACGCATATTCGCTTCGCGCCCGGTGTGTATAGGCGAAAGCGATTTTTCGGTGAATATTTTCGCATTTTCGTCTCGCTTTTTCGCTTCACTCCGCAAATTTGCTGGTGTGTAAGGACCTTTAACCCCAAATGTGTCTGCAGATGACGTGTGACCATCAGATAACGGAGAAAAAAGAAAAGAGCTCTTAACTGGGTGAGGAAATCATTGATGACATGCTTAAAGGAACTATGTATGTACAAATAAAATCTAACAATAAACCTACTAACTACTTTGAAGGATGTTTTTAGATGTAATTTTACTTCCTCCCACATACTCTTTTCCCAACTGCTGTTACATATGAAATAATGAGGTCAAAGGTCATACACACTGCATCACAACATATTAGGGAACCATAAATTTTTGAATGCAGTCCCTCCGTCTTCTAGCGGCTGCAGTAGTTTTGCTCCACGCCGTTATAATGTCATGGTACTCCTTGTTTTTGCGTAAAATAATGCTCTGTTCCGCAGCTTGGTCCAGAGGCACTGACCCCGCCCCCTTTATGTATGCGCATGCAGACCGAGGGCTCTATTTTCGTGTACGCCCGCGAGGCAGTGGAGGGTGGCAGACCCCGCGCAGTTGTATTTTCGTCTGGCGGAGCCTGGCGTACAGCCAGTTTGGTATTTTCGTGGACTGAGGCGCACGGAGGTGAACCGAGATCCGCTAAGCGGGGCATGGTGGCGTGGCAGGGGGAGGTGTCGACAGAATCAGCTGGCGCAGTGACATTTTCGTGCTCGCCAGTGGCGTGCAAAGTGCGCTGAAAGCTCGCCGATTCAAACCTGGTCAGCTTTCAGCGCAGGCGGAACGCAGCTGGTCCAGTAGTATTTTGGTAGACCGGCGGCGTATCGACATACGTCACTGATGCCTCACCGGCAGGTTTCCACAGTTTTAGGCACATTTCAGTGCAATAAATAATCATCAACAACTAATAATCTGAGTCAGCATATACATTTAGATCTATATAGATATATTCTGATCTATATGTGATCTGATGAGCGCGTTTGGCACGCGTTTGGACACACAACCTGACCGAATCAACACAGCTGAAACCGCATTAAATTAAACTAAATAGACATACGATGAAGTTAACAAGATATGCAATTTGTCTCCCTCCTTTTCTTTCTTCCTCTTCCTCTTATTTAATAATAATAATATCTTGCATTTGTATAGCGCCTTTCAAGATACCCAAAGTGCTTAACAACACACTACAATAAACATAACTAGATACCAAAAGCCTGGATTAACAAGTGTCGCTTCAAGAGTCTGTGCTTGGCGAATCTCAGAGGGGAGAGAGTTCCAGAGAGGAGGGGTGGCCACACCGAAGGCTCTGTCACCGAGGGAATGGCCTCGCGCAGCTCGACCTGGACGTGTCTCCGTGTCCTCTCAGATGATTTGTTTCAGTGATCAGATGAGTTATTTACTTTAAGCCTACATACGGATATTATAATATTCAGTTTTGTGAGCCAAATTTATTTTATATGCCAACATCTATGAAAGAAAGAGCCAGGCCACAGAGCGCGATGCATCATTACGTACAGATGGTTCTGATTTTCATGCCTTTTTTTGAGTTTATGTTGTGATCTGTGCGCACAACCCACCTTTGTCACGTGAGGTTTGAATATGAGCAACTTTATGTGAGTCTTTATTTGTGGAAAAGGGTGTTTGTCTTACCACTGGGTCCAACATTACACACACCAAATCCATCTGTGCTTATATGAGACAGTGTGAAGGAAGTCCTCTGCAACGCTTACAGTGACACTTGTTGAGGAGCTGCCCTCTGTCTTCATCGTGTGGCATTACTGTCTTCAGACATCTCTTGATCTCTTTGACTACTTCACGAAAATAGTAATACGCCTCGCCGGTGGCGGATTTAAAGGCGAGGAGAGGAGCTGATGTGATTGGTCAATACAGGTCTCGGCTGTGTTAAACCCACTCCACGCCATCTCTCCTCCCTCGCTACGACTTACGCCGCTGGGAGGAGCTGAGTTAGGGAGGGGAGATACTTACGCCGGGCTGCGCCGCTCACCAAGATACCAAATTGTGCTTGGGAACGCCTTGTCGGTGCGGCGGACCTGACTTGGGCCATGCCTGCGGCACGTCTCCGTCGAGGCACGAAAATAAAGCCCCTAGACTGGCCACAACTAGATTCAGTTATCCAGTTGATATCCTGCTTCGTAGTCCAGCTGATCGGGATTATGGAGATCCGGTGAAGTCGAGCAAGTTGTGGCAGAGTTATTCTGGGTGTGTTAATCCAGCTTCATAGTACAGGCCTCAGGTTTCTGCATGTTTTTAAACTTGACTCTGGACTCTGGACTCTGAAGGGTTTGACTGGGTCTACCCGGGCTGTTACAGACCCTCTGCCTTTGTCTGCTGCTCTAGTTATGACTTTATTAAAACAATCTAATCAAAGCAGCTTTTATTCAGCGACACTTGGAGTCTCAGACTTCGTCCAATCAGCGGAAGCTTTAGTGTCATATTTTAGTCCAAAATTGAGTTTGTGTCACTTCAGGAAATCTATTTCCGCCCAAACATGGACCTGTTTTTAGACCTGACCTTTGTGTTTCTCGCTGTTTCTGAGGCCACATATAAATTAAGAAGCGAAAATGTCACCATCACATAATGCTGTGTTTAGAGGTCATGTTTTTTTTTAATCTGTGACAGAGACTCACCAACAGCAGACTTGACTGTAGGAAACCATCAGAGGGGCTCAGAGCTGCAGCAGTCCGGACGTAGTCAGTGTTCGGTGGGTGAAGGACAGAAGGAGCTCAGTAGATTCACTCCTGAGGTCTTTGAGGTTACGAGGTCACTGCTTTACTCTCCGGTTTACCGTCTGATCTCTTCACAGAGCTCGATCAAACTCAGTCTTTTCTTCTTCACATTCATGCTCTGGCCCAAATTCAACAAGATTAGTAATATCTTCTTGGTGATATCTTCTGTGACCGAAACTTCGCCTTTAGAGCTGAGAAGTTTACAGCAGGCACACCTCCAGACGCTCCTTATCTCAGCATAGAAACCTCCATCTATCTGAGGCGATGCAAAAGTGACATCATTAAAAAAAAGAAAAAAAAACTGAAGGAAATGATTGAAGGCATCTGATGGGGGGGTGCTATTGCATTCTTACAACTCCATAAGAACTGTAGCTTCAGAGATGTAGTTTTAAATCTGCAGATAATGAAATGAGACTCCTCTAAACTCTAAACTGCCAGAAAAAAAATCCTTTTTTCTTCGTTTTTTTTTGAGAGGAAACTACTGCAGGTGATTCGTTTTTTCTGCGTGGTGAGAGAGGTGGAGAGGAAGGGGACGAAGGGCTGTAGGGGACAGGTTTGAAGGAGGGAACTGAAAACGTACATAAAGCGGAAAATCAGAGCCGGCCGCCCAGCTGAAGGTCATGGCTGAAATGAAGGACACGGTGGTGCCATCGATTGGTTTACCTGCTGCTTCCTTTGACAACAAACACACGTGAGGAAGTGCGCCTCGATTTCTGCTCCTTATGTTGAATCATTTGACCACGAATAAACTCAGAGCCTCTCACACCTGTATCACCAACACAAACATGACCTTTGACCTTTATCAGGGCAGAGTTAACAGCACTTGCGCCCTCCATCATCATAAGTGACTCAGTTTAATCCGCCTGATCCTGACGGGGATCAGACTTCTTGCTCTCTGAATTAAGATGGCCTCCACAGACCTCCTGATAGCGTTGTCATGGAAATGAGCATTAACACATGTGACATCCTTGGTTGCCATGGCAGCAAAGTTAATCTGTCCCTTTTATGTTCGGCCCCTAAGATGAGGCTCATTGTCGAGTTATCTCAGGGACCTTCAAAGTGAGGTTGATCTTGAGGAGACAAGAGCCGACAGAAGTCCTTCAAAGTGATCAGATACTTGGTTGATTTCTCTCCGATCAAAGACGGACGCGCCGGAAAGAGTGACTATTAAAAGGTCAGATTTCCTAGTTTCTTTGAACACACTAGCAGAGAGATTAGCATGCTGAGGTTTTAGCTGTGCCTAATAAGAAAAGTTTACGGTGGATTTAAACTCTGCAGATCCTCCACCTAAAAGAAACTGAGCGGTTCTGGAGCAGGAGGACTTACTTGGGAATGTGTGTTAGTGTTAAAAGCCATAGGGCTCAATGCTCGGTCCTCTTTTAATCTTTGTTTTAGATCCTACCTCGAGGGTCTGGTCTGAGAAGAGTCACGGTTACGATCACAGTAGTTATGACTGATAAAGTTGAAACTGTGGATATGGAGAGCTAAAGCGAGGAGAACACACAAGATTATAGTTAGTTAGTTAGTTAGTTAGTTAGTTTATTTGATCATCATCACAGTATCAAATGCAATCATACATATACAAAATCATACTTCATCAAAAGCAGTCTGTAACACTGTTAGGTGATCAAAAGGAATAGGCAGAAGCTCGAAGCTTGTAGATGCCTGTCCTACATTATTATGATCGACAGTGTTTTAGATTGAACACACACTGAGACTCTGGATTGGTTTATAGTGAGTACATCCTCAGTTTTCTGTGACAGGTTCCACCAGGATGAACCACCAAAAAAGCCTCTGTGTAACTCAGTATTTCTACTGAGACGGAGACTGACCCAAACAAACAAGTGATCCCGCGAGAATCTCATGAAACATGAGGGTTTTTATTTTACAGACAGATCTGAAGAGCCAAACGTCTGAAAGTCCTGTCACACGCTTCACACAGACTGTCACAGTTTTAGTTTTAAAACTGTTGTTAGAATAAAACAGACTAATTAGTTTATGTTTGAGTTACTGATGCATAGTGTTGTGTCATTCATGAATGTTTCGTTCAAAAGAACTGAACTGCTGAGTGAACAACATGAACTGAATCACTCTGAGACCTGATTCATTCCTTTCTCAGTTCGGTTGAGCTCAGTTGCGAGCCTAGCATGCCGGTCGGGAGTGGAACTGCTGCCTTTAACTCTTTAGTGAATGACACACAGCCAGCCATCGAGCGTGCGGAGTCTCGTGATTCACTCACAGCAAATGAATGACATGTATCAGTCAGACTGTGAATGAAACGAACTGTAAGAGCCATTCACCATGTAAGAGCTGTTCATTTTATTCACCTGGTGTAGTACTCAATTGAGTCAGTGGGTGTCGCTGTCCTGTGGCACGACCACAGGTATTTAGGGAACATTGATTGATTTCACCTGTGGTTGGTTTGTTGATACCGGAAGGGCCAAACGGTTTTTGACCGATGCGGTGGCGGCTGTGATATATGCTGTATGAAACGAAGAAAGAGTATGTATTCGCTGTATGCAAAATAAATGTGGATTATCGTGCATCCCAGTTGAAACTACCTTTTTTGAACGAAGCTTACGGTAAGCCATCGGCGTGTCAGCCAGGTGTCCCGGGAGTCAATCAAACCACGTCAGTTTGGTGTTAGATCAAGCTGCAACATTAGTCAAAAACCGTCCACTTTGGACATGTTTGGAGAAACTCCTGGCACTTTTTTGCCGTGTTACGGAGGCGACATGGACACGGAAAGCTACCGGTAGCAAACCGCAGCCACGGTTAAAGTGAAGCCAAAAGCGTCTTTATGCTGCGGGAGGATCGGGAAGCTTCTGGATCCCATCCCATCCTCCCTCATCAAGCACTGCCTCCCCGTCATCTCTCCCATCATTACACAGATCATCAACTCCTCCCTTAACTCCGCCACTGTTCCCCCTTCACTCAAACTGGCTGCTGTCACCCCCATCCTTAAAAAACCTGGACTCAACCCCGACGATATCAATAACTTCCGGCCCATCTCCAACCTCCCTTTCCTGTCAAAAATCCTTGAGCGTGTCATTGCATCACAGATCAAAGCCCACCTCAACAATAACAATCTTCACAAACAGTTTCAATCAGGATTCCGCACCCACCACAGCACCGAAACTGCCCTCATCAAAGTCACAAACGACCTCCTCATTTCTGCTGACTCCGGCCAACTCTCCATCCTCATCCTACTTGACCTCTCCGCCGCTTTTGACACCATTTACCACGCCATCCTCCTGTCCCGCCTACACTCCCTCCTCAATATCACAGACACTGCTCTCAACTGGATCCACTCATATCTCACAAACCGGAATCACTTCATCCACATCAACAACTGCTCCTCCACAACTGCCCCCGTGTCCCAAGGTGTCCCCCAGGGTTCGGTGCTTGGTCCTCTCCTCTTTATCATCTACCTCATCCCTCTCGGCCACATCCTCCGTCAACACAATCTCCATTTCCACTGCTATGCTGATGACATTTAATTGTACATCTCTTCCACCTCCATCAACCCCCAGACCCAACGCTCCCTCTCAAACTGCCTCACTGATGTTAAAAACTGGATGGACAGCAACCTTCTAAAGCTCAACTACAACAAAACAGATCTCATCATCATTGGCCCCAAAATCCCTCACCTCCACAGTCACAGACTTTCATCTCTCCATTAACAACTCCACCCTCTCCCCCTCCCCCCACTGTCGCAACCTTGGTATTCTCTTTGACAGCAACCTCACCTTCACACAGCATGTTAAGCAAATCACCAAAACAGCCTACTACCACCTCAAAAACATTGCCCGCCTCCGCCCCTCCCTCTCCTACTCTGCAGCTGAAACCCTCATACATGCATTCATCTCATCCCGTCTAGACTATTGCAACAGTCTCCTCCACGGCACTACCTCCACTCTCCTCAATAAACTTCAGCTCATCCAGAACTCTGCCGCCCGCCTCCTCACCCATACACGCTCCCACCAACACATCACCCCCGTCCTCCAGAGCCTTCACTGGCTCCCCATCCCCCATCGCATTCAGTACAAAATCCTCCTTCTCACCCACAAAGCACTCCACAACCAGGCCCCCCCCTACCTGCAAGATCTTCTCCACCCCTACATCCGCCCCGCACCCTCCGCTCCGCCGATGCCAACCTCCTCACAGTTCCCTCGACCAAGCACCGAACCTGGGGGGACAGAGCATTCTCAGTCACCGCCCCCAACCTATGGAACTCACTCCCACTGGACCTCAGAAACTGCTCCAACCATACCAGATTCAAAACCCAGCTCACCCCCCCCCCCCCCCCCCCCATCGATTGTTGATTTTACCTGATTTTAGTTGATTTTAATTGATATTGATGTATTTTATTGTATATTGATGTATGATTTTATTCATGTACAGCGTCTTTGAGTCTGTGAAAAGCGCTTTATAAATAAAATTTATTATTATTATTATTATTATATAAGCACAGCTGGATTTGGTGTGTGTAATGCTGGACCCACTGGTAAGTCAAACACTCTTTTAAACAAATAAAGTCACTCACATAAAGTTGCTTATATTTTAACCTCACATGACAAAGGTGGGTTGAGCGCACAGATCACAACATAAATTCCAATAATGGCATTAAAATCGGAACCATCTGTGCGTAAATGACACATCACGCTCTGTGGCCTGGCTCTTTCTTTCATAGATGTTGGCATATAAAATAAATTTGGCCCACAAAACTGAATATTATAATATTTGTACGTAGGCTTAAAGTAAAAAACTCATCTGATCACTGAAACAAATCATCTGTTCAGCAGCAGCAGCAGCAGGACAGAGAGAGGACACGGAGACATGTCCAGGTCGAGCTGCGTGAGAAATAAGAGGAAGAGGAAGATAGGAAAGGAGGGAGATAAATTACATTTCTCGTTAACGTCATCATGTTTGTCTATTTACTAGATATTTAATTTAATTTAATGCAGTTTCAGCTGTGTTAATTCGGTCAGGTTAAGTGTCCAAACGCGTGTTAAATGTGCTCATCAGATCAGATATAGATCAGAATATATCTATATAGATCTAAATGTATGTGCTGACTCAGATTAATAGTTGTTGATGGTTATTTATTGCACTGAAATGTGCCTGACACTGTGGAAACCTGCCGGTGAGGAATCAGTGACGTATGTCGATACGCCGCCGGTCTATCAAAATACCACTAGACCAGCTGCGCTCTGCCTGCACTGAAAGCTGACCAGGTTTGAATCAGCGAGCTTTCAGCGCACTTTACATGCAGGTGGCGAGCACGAAAATGTCACTGCGCCAGCTGATTCTGTCCACACCGCCCCCTGCTGCGCCACTACGCCCAGCTTGGCGGACCTCGGTGCGCCTCAGTCCATGAAAATACCAAACTGGCTGTATGCCGGGCTCTGCCAGACGAAAATACCACTGTGCGGGATCCGCCACCCTCCACAGCATCGCCGGCGGACACGAAAATAGAGCCCATTGTCTTGAATCTTTACAATCAGCCACGATCGGAGGATACGACCTTTTCGTGGCTGTTCGGGATGCAGTGGAAATTGGGGGTGAGGTGATCTAATCTGATCATAATCAAGAATCAGAAGTATGACCTGCAGTTCAGCAAACAGGTCGATAGTAAACATGGAGGCTGCTGGACTGGAGCCTGATCTTAGCTTCATTAGCAGCCTGCTAACCAGTGCTAACACAGATAATCAGTGCAGATAACCCAGACCTCTGCACACAGGGACAGCTGCTTCTGTTTCTGCTTCATTTTTTCCCCTTGTCTAAATTTACACCAAGAGCATGATGGGAAATACTCTCAGCAGATATTCTAGCTGAATATAGAATCAGTGAGAGGTCATTTTAGACTCTCAAAAGGACAGAGGTTCAAACGGAATATGAATAAGAGGAAAAACAAAGAACTCTATCTGGATTTTCAACGGTCCAGATCGGCTCAATAATCATCATGAACATAGTGCTGATGGATCAATGACGTTTCTGCGTCTCCAGACTCTGAGCTGTTGCGAGTCTGTGATGTGAGCAGTGAAGAAGAAGAAGAAGAAGAAGAAGAAGCGCCCCAAACATTCACTAAATGAACTGATGACCTTCCAGCTGGACCAGGCTGCAGGGCAGCATGACACACACACACACACACACGTACACACACACACACACACACACACACACACACACACACACACACACACACACTTAAGAGACAGGGCAGTGAAAAGTAGAAAGTTAACAAGGCGAGTGGAGAGTTGTGTGCAAGTGATGGAATGCCCCACTACACACACACACACACACACACACACACACACACACACACACACACACATGCACACTGTGTTGTCACGATGATATGAGTTGACTCAGGGTAATTCAGGGATAATTAGTCGGTTCTCGTCATCCTGCGGGTGAAGCAGCTCCTCCACAGGAAGAAACAACGTGACCCACAGTCATGTGACCTGCATCGCCTGAACCTCGGCTGCTGATTGGACGGATGACAAACCTGCTGGGATGCTGCCCGCTCTAAGCGCAGTAAAACAGAGACTGTGAAGAACTGTTGTATTTTTGTGTTTCAGTCTCAGCTGACGGTTTCCAGGGTTTAGACTGATCCCGCCCTGTTAGACGAAGAGATAATCCATCTCAGGCAGCAGCAAACAGGAAGCTTCTTTGTCCTGTCACATGATCGCTGCGATGTGATGGCGCCGACAGCAGAGGATCCATCCACACTCAGGTTGAAATCTCTATAACCAGAAACTCTGTAGACTTTTTAAATACATACACTGAGTAGTACTGCACTACTGCCTTACAGTTGTGCTCATAAGTTTACATACCCTGGCAGATTCTATGATTATTTGGCCATTTTTCAGAGAATATGACTGATAACACAAAAACTCTTTTTCCACTCATGCTTAGTGGTTGGGTGAAACCATTTATTGTCAAACGACTGTGTTTTCTCATTTTAAATCATAATGACAACAAAAATTACCCAAATGACACTGATCAAATGTTCACATACCCTGGTGATTTTGGACTGATAACATGCACAGAAGTTGACACAAATGGGTTTGAATGGCTACTAAAGGTAACTATCCTCACCTGTGATCTGTGATCTGTTTGCTTGTAATCAGTGTGTGTGTAAAAAGCTGAGTGAGTTTCTGGGATCCAGACAGACTCTTGCAACTTTCATCCAGCCACTGACGTTTCTGAATTCTGAGTCATGGGGAAAGCAAAATAATTGTAAATGGATCTACCGGAAAAGGTAGTTGAACTGTATAAAACAGGAAAGGGATACAAAAAGATATCCAAGGAATTGCTAATGCCAGTCAGCAGTGTTCAAACTGTGATTAAGACATGGAAAATCAGGGGCTCTGTTAAAACCAAATGGTCAGGTAGACCAACAAACTGTCAGAAAAATTGATCGGGATGCAAAGAAAACCCACAGATAACATCTGCTGAAATACAGGACTCTCTGAAAACTAGCGGTGTGGCTGTTTCAAGAGGCACAATAAGGAGGCGCTTAAACAAAAATGGGTTGCATGGTCGAGTCGCCAGAAGAAAGCCATTACTGTGCAAATGCCACAAAGTGTGTCGCCTACAATACGCCAAACAGCACAGAGACAAGCCTTAAACTTCTGGAACAAGGTCATTTGGAGTGATGAGACCAAAATTGAACTTTTTGGCCACAACCATAAATGTTTCGTTTGAAGAGGTGTCAACAAGGCCTATAATGAAAGGAACACCATTCCTTCTGTAAAGCACGGAGGTGGATCACTGATGTTTTGGGGATGTGTGAGCTACAAAGGCACAGGAAACTTGGTCAAAGTTGAAGGAAAGATAAATGCAGCGCATTATCAGCAAATACTGGAGGAAGAATTGCACTCATCAGCCCGGAAGCTGCACATGGAACGTACTTTGATGTTCCAACATGACAATGATCCAAAACACAAGGCCAAGTCGATCTGTCATTGGCTACAGCAGAACAGAGTGAAGGTTCTGGAGTGGCCATCTCAGTCTCCTGATCTCAATATCATTGAGCCACTCTGGGGAGATCTGAAGTGTGCAGTTCATGCAGGACAGCCCAGGAATTTACAGGAACTGGAGGCTTTTTGCCAAGAGAGATGAGCAGCTTCACCATCTGAGAAAATGAAGAGCCTCATCCACAACTACCACAAAAGACTTCAAGTTGTCATTGATGTTAGACGGGGAAATACACGGTATTAAGAACTGGGGTATGTAAACTTTTGATCAGGGTCATTTGGGTGTCTTCTGTTGTCATTATGATTTAAAAATAGAAAACACAGTTGTTTATCAATAAATGGCTTCACCCAACCACTGACCATGAGTGGAAAAAGAGTTTTTGTGTTATCATTCATATTCTCTGAAAAAAGCCCAAGAAAGCAAAAATTGTGCTGGGTATGTAAACTTTTGAGCACAACTGTATATTCAGACAAGGCAAGCACTAAAAACTCTTTCGTAGAGGTAGCCATTTTGTTTCTGCCTCAGATTTTTGCTTTTTTCCGACTTGGTAACTGGGAACTCAGGTGTGACGTCTTTTTAGCTCTGACTTCTGAGGTCACTCGAACGCATCACATGTCCAGTTCAAATCCTGACATTGTATTGGAGTTGCCATGGTAACCCACATAAACGAATGGCATTTAAAGAAACAGTATACAGAAAAATGAGCATTACAGTCGACATGGGACATATGTGACGTACACAGCCTCCTGACCGGTGATCGCTGCATGTGCATCTCTCCGTTCTTGTCTTAGTGAAAAGACATCTTCTGGCTTGTTCAAGACTGCTGCAGTGGCGTCTTCATTCGACTTCTCAGCAGTGTCAGCTGTTTTAGATTTAGTCTTACTGGCTAAACCCACAGGATCCGGAACAGCTCCATTCCACTCAGTTTTGGCAGGCGGATCAGATCCGTAAGCATACAGCACCAGCCGGATCAGATTCGTCACCAGCATCGGAGGAGAAGCACTCGCGAGATTACCAGTGAATTTCGTGAGACTGAACAAGATCTCGCGCGCTTCATAGAATGAGATCCGCCGATCGTGGTATACAACAGTGTTGTTTTCATTGACGTTGACGAAATATTTTCGTGACGAAAATACTTCGTCAACGCCCCTTTTTTTCCCTAACGAAGAGGTGACGTTGACGAGCAAAACATAATAATAATAATAATGCATCAGATTTCATATAGCGCTTTATCAGAGACCCTCAAAGCGCTTTACATTGGATACATCATTCATTCGCTCACACAGTCACACTTTGGTGGTGGTGGAAATGTGGCTGCCATTCTGCGCCTACGGCCTTTCCGACCACCACCACACAACACTCACAGTCATACACCAGTGGAGGACACACACTGGGAGCAAGGTGGGTTAAGTGTCTTGCCCAAGGACACAACGGACAGACTTGGATTAGGGGGGAATCGAACCGCCAACCTTCCGGTTATTGGACGACCGCTCCATAAGTTTTAGATGACTAAAATGTGATGAGAAGAATGTGCTTTTACGTTGACAAGAGTAGATGAAAACGTTAGTGGTGGACGACGAACAGAGTTGCAAAATTCATGAGCATTTCGTCAGTCAAATGCTAAACATATAGGAGCAGCTTCAGTCTGCTCTGACAGCTGTCATCTGTCCGCTATACTCCTCCAACACACACACACACACGTACACACACACCAATGCTGTCCTCACTGACACCGACGAAATATTTTCGTCAACGTCATCATCAATGAACTGTTCAATGTATTGACTTTCTTTTATTTTGAAAACTGTGGGTTTTGCCCGTTAGTCTACTAAACTGAAGTACTGTTCAGTTTCAGCAAAGTCCAAAACATCGGCATCATCTTTTTCGTCCATACACTTTCTGTCCTCCAAGTGATTCATCCTGCGTCTTCAGCTTCAGTTTGGACACGGAGCTGTTAACTGCTACATCAACAAAAAACACGTCAATCCTGAAAAATACTAGCTCCTCGTGTCTTTGTTATTAACAGACATTAGTAAAGGTTTGTGAATGGAGATGAGACAGAAGCATGGAGGCACAGAGGTCCGTCAGAGGTTCAGAGATTTATTCCTCTTAAATTGAGATGCAGTGCTGCATCCAGAGTAGAGTTGGGCGGTATGACGGTATATACTGTGTGACGGTATAAAAGTGTAGAAATTTTGCTCTCCTGTTTATACTGTAGAGAGAGAGAGAGCAGATGTCTGCTGCATCTCTCTGAGTCAGTGTGTAGCCGAGCACATCCGTTTCGATGCGCTCCCTATAATCACGAGTGTGTCCAGCAGACTGCTTGGCATAGTTTCAACGAAGAAGAAACAGTTTCACTGGTGGTAGTCATGGCGCACACAGAGATTTGTGGCAGTACTGAGCAAACAGAGGCAGCCCGACCCATCCAACACAAGGAAGAGGAGGAGGAACTTGTTCAGTTGTCTGGAGATTCTTCGGATTTAGAAAATCCAGCAGCGATCAAAAAACAATACTAAACAAAGAGTGTCATGAGACTGTCATTGGTGGAGAAAGAAACACCAACAACCCCTTCCACCACCTAAAGATGAAACACGCCAAGCTCTATTATGAGAGCCAAAAGATACGTGACGCACCTGCTGCACCAGAAACTAAAACTGCAGCAGCTCCTCTTATGCTAAAGAGTTTGGCAGAGTCTTTCGCCAAAGATACGCCATATGATAAAAAATCACCAGACTGGTCTGACATTTTGTCTGTGTTTGTATAAAAATCAGAGTTTAAAAATAAAAGGAAAATGAACAAATGAGACAGTATGGTTATTTTTAAGTCATTAATTGAATTTACAGGGGGAAAAACATACCATGATATTTACCATTACCGTAATATGAAATTACACCCTTCATCTATCCCCGCCCTCTCCAAGATGGCAGCATGTGTGGTGTCTCTGTTCAGTCTCTGCTCAGTGTTTGTCTGTTTTTAATATTTCTTTTGGATTTTAAATTACTTAGACAGTATTTTCCATTGTGGACTATTCAGTGCTCTAGTTTACTTAAAGATTGCATCAAGGTTTGTGGATTTTGGGATTTTCCTTTGGGAAGCTACTCTGCTCTACTTTGTTTGGCTACTCCATAGGCCACCTGTTAGCCTTTTAAATCTACTCAAGACTCTGGGAGCTCCTGCAGTGTGGCTACATTGCAGCCAAGATCTGCAGCAGTACCAACAACAAGAAAAGCTCAGTAGCCTGAGGCCTACCTCATCCACCCAGCCCTGCAGCCTGAGGCCTACCTCATCCATCTAGCCCTGCAGCCTGAAGCCTACCTCATCCATCCAGCCCTGCAGCCTGAAGCCTACCTCATCCACCCTGCCCTGCAGCCTGAGGCCTACCTTATCCACCCTGCCCTGCAGCCTGAGGCCTACCTCATCCACCCTGCCCTGCAGCCTGAGGCCTACCTCAACCACCCTGCCCTGCAGCCTGAGGCCTACCTCATCCATCTAGCCCTGCAGCCTGAGGCCTACCTCATCCACCCTGCCCTGCAGCCTGAGGCCTACCTCAACCACCCTGCTCTGCAGCCTGAGGCCTACCTCATCCATCTAGCCCTGCAGCCTGAGGCCTACCTCATCCACCCAGCCCTGCAGCCTGAGGCCTACTACCCAGCTCTGCAGCTGAGGCCTATCTCATCCATCCTGCCTTGCAGCTGAGTTAACTTCAATCATGGCGAGTATAATTCTCGCCCTCCTGGCTTTGGTCTGTTTGCCTTTATTTTTAGAGTATGAAGCCAACCAGGAGAGCCCAGTGAGTGTCTGTAGCGTTTCCCTACATGTTCTTTGTATGTCATCATGGTCAAAGGTTACTAGCTGGGCGCAGGACTTTGATATCAATCAAGGGTGCTGGATGCTTGAAATGAGCCAGGTCTGAAAGCATGTAAACTTTAATTATCTTTTAAGCCTTCTTCTCCTAAGTGACTGCTTTATCCCATCAAATGACTCTTGGCCTATTACGATGAATGATGTCTCTAAGAAAATCAAGAAGCATTTCCATGAAATACGCATGTTGAAATGTATGATTATGCTTATGTTGTTGATATCAGGGAATGTTCAGCCTAACCCAGGCCCTGTGTCTGATATGATATCACTACAAACCCCTGCTGAATTTTTTAATAGGTCTGGTATTGGTTTTGTACATATGAACGTGAGAAGTCTTTTGCCCAAAATTGATACGGTTAGAATTTGGCCCAAATTAACAAATGTTGACATCATGGTTTTATCTGAGACATGGCTGAGTAGATCCACGCCTGATAGTCATATTTATTTGGATGGGTATAATATCTTTCGTGCTGATCGCCGTGCCAAAGGTGGAGGAGTAGCAATTTATGTTAAAAATACATTTCAGGCAAAAGTATAATTATCCAAGTCTGTGCCTAAACAATTTGAATTGCTTGTCTTGAAAGTTGAATTTACGAAGAGCTGTGTTATGACAGTAGGGGGATGTTATAGACCTCCTTCTGCCTTAAAGGATACACTACTCTCATTGTCTGACTGCTTATCAACTATTAACTACAATGATCTGCTTTTAATGGGGGATTTAAATTGGGATTGGTTAACCCCTGCTTCTGATTCTTTTAAATGTTTCTGTGATTCAGCCCTTTTGGCTCAAATTACTAACTCACCAACTAGGCCAAACTCTAAACACCCTGAGAAGTCGACACTCCTTGACTTGATTTTAACCAATTTTCCCCAGAAATACCAGGCTACCGCTGTGTTTGCAAATGATGTGAGTGATCACTGTGTTATTGCTTGTGTGAGAGACACAAAGTTATCAAAATGTAAAGTCATTTTCTGAACAAGCCTTTTTAAATGACATATATCTATGTGATTGGACCAGGGTAAATTTGATTCCAGATGCTGAGACAGCTTTACAGTATTTTAATTCCTTATTTTTGGACATTATAGACAAACATGCTCCTCGCAGAAAATACAAGGTTAAAGGTCGTGATAATCCTTGGTTTTCAGAGCAATTGTCTGATTTAATTCATTAATGAGATCTTGCCTGGGCAACTGCAAGAAAATCCAAAAATAGCTCAGACTGGCAACTTTTTAGGCATCTGAGGAACAAGTGTGTCTCTCAAATACGTAAAGCCAAAGCCGATTTTTATCTTAATGAGTTTGTGACAGTGCAAAGAACCCTTCTAAATTCTGGAAAATGATTAAATCACTGTCTTCAGGGTCAAAGGATACTGTGCTGCCAAATACATTAAAGTTGAATGATGAGACCATTACAGACAAGAAAAGTATGTTAGATTCCTCTAACCAGCACTTTATATCTTCTGGGTTGTTGTTTGAGCAGGACATACCACAAGTGGTGAGTCAACAGGATCACTCATTGTCCAGGGAAAATCTACCTTTTGATTTTGATCTTGCACCTTTGTCTAGAGATGAGGTATATGATGCTCTCTTAAGGTTAAATGCCAAGAAATCCCCCAGTCCTGATGGGTTGGGTTCTTTCTTTTTACAACTTGCTGCTGAGCATATTGCAGACCCCTTGACTTATGTTTTCAATCGGACTTTAGAAACTGGGATTATACCTAGCATTTGGAAGTCAGCATATGTTACTCCCTTACTGAAGGGTGGTGACTGATCTAATCCCAATAATTATAGGCCGATATCCAAATGACCTATTCTGGCCAAGGTCTTGGAAGGGCTTATAAGTGATCAGCTGAAAAATTTCTTGACATCAAATTGACTCTAAAGAATATTGTGTTGCTTTGTTCCTAGATCTGTCAAAGGCTTTTGACATGGTCGACCACTCTGTCTTGTCCCAGAGATTGGAGAATATTGGAATGTCTTCTAATGCGGTGAAATGGTTTGGTAACTACTTGAGTGGCAGAACACAAAGGGTTCAGGTTGATGGTTTGTGTTCCAACTCCTTGTCTATTCAAAACGGTGTCCCTCAGGGGTCTATACTGGGTCCTATTTTTTTTACTATTTACATTAATGTATTATGTCAAAATGTAACTGATGCCAATTTCCATTTTTATGCAGATGACACCGTTTTGTATTGTTCGGCTACATCAATACCTAGTGCAACAGGGCGGCAGTAGCTCAGGAGGTAGAGCCGTCGTCCAATAATTGGAAGGTTGGCGGTTCGATTCCCCCCTATCCCTAGTCTGTCCGTTGTGTCCTTGGGCAAGACACTTAACCCACCTTGCTCCCAGTGTGTGTCCTGGTGTATGATTGTGAGTGTTGTGTGGTGGTGGTGGGAGGCGCAAAATGGCCGCAACATTTCCGTCAGTCTGCCCCAGGGCAGCTGTGACTACTAAGGTAGTTTACCACCACCTGGGATTTCACTTGGAAGAAAATTTGTCCTTTAGGCACCATATTGAATGTCTTACAAAGAAACTCTGGGTGAAACTGGGTTTCTTCTATAGAAACAAGGGTTGTTTCTCCTTTGGTGCAAGAAAAAGGCTTATACAGGCAACGTTTTTATTCATACTTGATTATGGTGACTTCTTATACATGCATGCAAATCTCTCTTCTTTAAAAATGCTGGATTCAGTGTATCATGCGGCATTAAGATTTGTAACTGGCTTAGATTTTTGTACTCATCACTGCAGCTTATGTATAAGAGTGTTGGTGGGTCCTCTCTGCAAAATCGTAGATTGGAACATTGGTATATCTTACTTTACAAGGCCATTCTAGGTGACTTGCCCTCTTACCTATGTTCCCTCTTAACTCCTAAAATCACCAACAGGAGTAATCTCCGGTCTGATGGACAGATCATGTAAGCTATTCCCCTGACAAGGACAGTTTTTGGCGAAAGCGCTTTCAAGGCTTTTGCACCCTCCTCCTGGTGTAATTTACAGGGTTATTTAAATTGGATTATCTGCCAAGTACGGAACATTTTAAAACTAGAATTAAGGAGTTTTTGAGTACTGAATGCACATGTCCTCTTTCTGAACGCTGATTTATTGCTGTGATTTGCATACTGTAACTGTTTTGTTTTTCTGTGTGTTTTTTTATTTTTTTATTTTTTTATGTGGAACTTCTTGTGCTGCTATCCTGGCCAGGACTCCCTTGTAACAGAGATTCTGAATCTCAATGGGTTTATTTCCTGGTTAAATAAAGGTTACTAACTAACTACACATAATGTGATATAAGGACGAAACGAGAACATTTCAAAACATCTTAGCACAGCAGAAAGGCATTCTGGGTAAGGGGAAATCCAGGAAATCAGAGAGAGAGAGAGAGAGAGAGAGAGAGAGAGAGAGAGAGAGAGAGAGAGGATCAACGTGTAATCTGACCGCTGCCATCTCCGGGTTTTATCTGTGTGTGTGTGTGTCTGTGTGTGTGTGTGTGTGTGTGTGTTCAGAGTCCTCAGGTACCAACAAATAAATCACAGCCCATATCACACACACACACACACACACACACACACACACACACACACACACACACACACACACAGATCTAGGTCACAGCTGTTCACTACAATATTTCTGTTTTCCTCTGGAAAATGTCACCTCGCTCCTCCTTGCCTCGTCTTTCCCTCCATCATCTTCATCATCCTCATCATCTTCATCATTCAGGTGAATGATAAATATTAATCACATAATACTCCAAATAAAAAAAGTCCTGCTTGTAAACATCAGCAGCACTGCAGTACTGAGTATTGCAGTAAAAGTGTATCTGAGTTCTCATCTAGGGCTGCTCAATGAAGCAAAAATGATCATCATGACAATTCTGATTGATATTAATAAAACAATCATGAAAAAACAACAACTCCTGATTTGATATCCTTATTACACACATTAAAACAACTTCTTTGAGACTGAAAATCAGAGTCTCAGATTTTTCAAGCTTTTACAAAGCGACTTGATCAAGACTGAAGGCTCTATTTTCTTGCCTCGCCAGAGACGTGGCGCAGGCGCAGCGTAAGACAGGTCCGCCGCGCCGACAAGGCGTTCCCAAGCACAAGTTGGTAATTTGGTGAGCGGCGCAGCCTGCCGTAAGTATCCCCCCTCCCTAAATCAGCTCCTCCCAGCGGTATACGTCGTAGGGAGGGAGGAGAGAGGACTTGGAGTGGGTTTAACACAGCCAAGACCTGTTTTCACCTCTCCTCTCCATGCTTTAAATCCACCACCGGCGAGGTGTATTACAATTTTCGTGAAGTAAGAGATGTCTGAACACAGCAATGCCACACGATGGCAACAGAAGGCAGTCCCCAACAAGTGTCACTGTAAGCGCTGCAGAGGGCATCCTGCACACTCTCTCATATAAGCACAGATGGATTTAGTGTATGCAAGGTTGGACCCACTGGTAAGACAAACACCCTTTTCCACAAATAAAGACACTCACATAAAGTTGCATATAAACCCCACGTGACAAAAGTGGGTTGTGCGCACAGATCACAACATAAATTCCAATAATTGCATTAAAATCTGAACCATCTGTGTGTAAATGATAGCCTGGCCGGGCCATCCTGTTGCGTGAATCACTTGATGTTCCTTCCCACCACAGTCTGGACTTCAGCCCATAGGGAGCGTGGATTCCCGATCAGAAAATAACCGGGCCAATCAGAGACCGTGTTTCTACTGTTACCCGGACAACAGGGAAGGGCAGCCCCTGATTGGTCCATGTGTAGTGGTGACGTCTAACACATGCTGCGGGACTTTTCAAAGCCCCGTTCATTCAGAACGCCGTTAATTCTGCAGTTGACTCTGCAAAGTCGGCAGAAATCATTTATATCCGACGTCTTCTGCGTATATAAACGATTTCTGCTGACTTTGCAGAGTCAACTGCAGAAAGAGGAAGAGGAAGATAGAAATAGGGGGAGAAGAATTACATATTTTGTTAACTTCATCGTGTGTCTATTTACTGGAAATGCTGACTCAGAATATTAGTTGTTGTTGATTATTTATTGCACTGAAATGTGCCTGACACTGTGGAAACCTGCCGGTGAGGCATCGGTGATGTATGCCGATACACCGCCGGTCTACCAAAATACCACTTTCACATCCCAACCTCCCAAAAGAATGTAAGGCTTACATCTGCTCACTGGAGACAAAGGTGTAAACCTTTAACACTAAATCACAATCCTTCTACAACCTCCTGTCTCTATACAAGATAACCAAAGAAGCCTTCCCAAAACACAAACTTTCTATCCTTCCTACTTCAAAGAGACAAAGACACTGTTTATGGCCAGCAGGAAAGAACTGCAGGACCACTTGATCAGATAAACATCTGGCATCACACCTTGACTTGTCAGGTTTATCAGCTCAGCCATAAATCCTACATTGGGTTGATCTTTCCTGTGCTCTCTGTGAGTACAATCCAAAGAGAATAACTACAACTAGTCCAATTACAGGTTGGATGGACAGTGAGCCATGATTTTCTGTCAGTACTCAACATGTGCAGTAAAACAGTCTTTCTCCCATTTTCCTATCATGTTCATAAGCCAAGATCTCACACTGACAGAATAAATCCTAAAGTCTTAAAGTTTGAATTCTAACCCTATTCTAGTAGAAATAGTGTAGAAATGTTTAGTTTATCTCTTAATCATTTGTTTAGCTTATTAACCGTTCGGTAGTTATACTCTTAGTTAGTAATCTGAATGTTGGTTTGTAGAATCCATTGTTAACCCTCAAACGCCTCCACTGGCTTCCCATCAAATATCGCATCATCTACAAACTCCTCCTGCTCACCTACAAAGCTCTCCATGCCCTAGCCCCACACTATCTGTCTGACCTCCTCAAGGACTACATCCTCAAGCGTACTCTGCGGTCTGCGGACCTTGGGCTCCTCACTGTCCTTTATGGGAAAAGGCGATCCCTCGGTGACAGAGCCTTCAGTGTAACTTTTTGTGCGCATAGCAATTCAAGATTAAGCCTTTTTATTTGATTTTTCTTTAATTTCGCAAAGCCATTTTTGAAATAGTTTCAACTGGTCATCAAGCCTCTTTTTTTTTGGTTGTCTGCGTGATTGACAAGTCACCTCTGAACACCACCCAGCAGGCCCACAGTCATCCTCTGAGCCAGAGTGTTGCAGTGAGCCAAAGGAGCATTCAAAAGGATCCATAAGGCATTGGTTTTTGCATTCGGGCCTGTGTGCTGTGACTCCCAGCCTGTCCTTCGTCTGACTTTGGTCCTCTTCAGAGCTGAACCTCTTGAACCAGTAGCCTTGACCTTCTGAACCTGTTCCATCTTCTCCAAGGACCAGTCTCTCCTAAGTATCCAAACCTCCAGAGCTCCAAACAGGGCTGATGTTGTCTCATGCTTCATAATTCAGATAACCTCATCTAAATTTATCTTTACTACAAAGTTAATGTAAGTTAATATGTTAGAGCATATTCACTCACTATCATTAACTTTAGTAATCATAGCCTTGCCAGAATCTTTCATTCATCTGTTATTTTCTTTATTCATCCTATCATCATTGATTGCATGGATGCTGTACCATCATTTATCCTGTAATAAACCAATCGTTTATTTTTCTAAGTTCCTGTCTGTTAGTGTTCTTCCAGAAGTGGAGTCCCTGAAATGAGAATTTCGGCTTGGGATATGAGATTGATAAATTTAAGATTGACTTAATGTTTGATTTCTGAATTAAACTTTTGTTTTTTGTTATTTTCCCACCATTAAAGGTGGGTGGTGCCCAATGTTCCCTCTAATTTTTCTTGTGTCTGGGCAAACACACAAGCTTCCTGAGCACACAGAAGATCATTGTGAGCACCATCAAATGCGCACGCTGGATGGTGGCCTTACCCTTAGACCGCCGGCGGGAGCGCGCGGGGGGGGGGGGGGGGGTCTGACGCGGCTCGCGCAAGGAAATAAAACAGGTGCCGAAACTATCTGCAGTGCACGATCGCGGCGCTCCTTCTGGTCACCGACTGACACATCACTAGCTTCCATTCAGCGCAGCCTTCAGTTCCCACCGGCCGCGTATTTCTCCGCAGCGCTTCTGCTCCTCCAACTGTTGTTTCAGAGCTATCATGGATATGCCGCTATGTTTTCCTGACTGTATCAAACATGTTTGTCCACTTCTTTTATGTATCCGTTAATGAAAGTCGTCTAGAGGCTATACACACACAGACAGACACACACACACCCGCACACACAGGGACACGGACCAGCGCTGACAACTGCTTGTGTAGATTTACTGTTGTCCATATGTTTTCACTATCTGCGTGTAGCTGAGTAAATATTTCGAAATAAATATCAGACTTTGATAAAAAACCATTTTAATTTACTTTTAGGTGACAATGTCACCAGGTGGACACCCGCGGCTTATTTACCGGTGCGGCTTATACGTGTACAAAGTTATTTTTTTCCCTAAAATAAGCATCTGCGGCTTATATAACGGTGCGCTCTATAGTCCGGAATTTACGGTATGTAAGCAATGTCAATGCGATGATTGGCTACGTAGCGTAAGTGAACCGTATCACATCATTGGCTGGACATCTATCACTCACTGTGTTAGACATGCGCTGTATAGCTTTTCTTGTGCGCTGATAATGTGTGAGCAGTGCGCGATTGCGCAGGCGCGCAGCTTAGAGGGAACATTGGTGGTGCCCCTTTTAACAAGTACATAAATGTCAGAAATTAAGATTATTATCAAATATTAATCTTAACACATTTGTTACGTATTCAAATCGCTACAACCACTAGACCAGCTGCGCTCTGCCTGCGCTGAAAGCTGACCAGGTTTGAATCGGCGAGCTTTCAGCGCACTTTACTAGCCACCGGCGAGCACGAAAATGTCACTGCACCAGCTGATTCTGTTGACACCTCCCCCTGCCGCACCACCACGCCCAGTCCACAAAAATACCAAATTGGCTGTACGCCGGGCTCCGCCAGACGAAAATACCACTGCGCCGGGTCCACCACCCTCTGCTGTGACGCCGGCGGACACGAAAATAGAGCCCTGAATCTCTTTTTAAGCACATCAGCTGACAAACAAGACGCTGTAAAGGTATCAATCTACAGACAGTGTCATCGCTGCCTCACACAGACATTTGGAGTCATGGCTTTGTGGTAGAACCCGTGTCAGAGTACTTTTGGCTCCTTTTAGTTCCCTTTGTAAAAACTCAGTTCAGTCTGCGAGAAAATTCCTGTATATGAAAATGTAAAGTCACCTTTTCTGTCTGTTTCTCTCCAGGTACCGGTCGTAATGGCTACACCAAAGCTGTGAATGGAGAGGAGAGAGGAGGCGAGGGTGAGGAAGAGGAGGAGGGAGGAGAGGGGGATGAGGGAGAAGGAGGGGGAGGAGGAGGAGCAGGGGGAGAAGGGAAGGATGGGCAGTGGGATGAAGAGCTGGACGGAGAGGAGGGGGGCGGAGTGAAAATGACGAGGACTGACACGCTTCATTCGACCACAAGTTCAACGGGAACACAGAGAAAGAAAGGACAACACGCCAAAAAACAGGTGAGAGAACACGCTGAAAAACAGGTAAGACTACACAAAAAAAGGTGAGACAACACGCCGCAGACAGGTGTGACATCACGCTACAAAACAAGTGAGACAACACGATAGAGACAGGTGAGACAACACGCTACAAAACAGACAACACCCGATAACATTATGATGATGATGATGAAAACAAGGTAGATGATGATGATTGTGCTGCTGCTCATGAGAATCATATTGAGGTAGATGATGATGATGATAATGAAGTAGATGATGATGATGATAATAATGAGGACAATAAGGATGATTATGACAAGAAGATGATTATGATAACAAGGAAGATGGTTTTGATGATGATGATGATGATAATAAGGTTGATGATGATGATGATTGTGCTGCTAATGCTGAAGATGATTATGAGGTAGATAATATTGATGATTAGGATAATGATTATAATAATCAGGTAGATGATGATGATGATGATAAGGAAAATAAGGATTATGATAATGATTATGATGATGAAAATGATTTTAATAACAAGTAAGATGATGATGATGATGATGAAGATAATGAGGATAAGGTTGATGATGATGATTATGACTATGAAGATGATTATGATCAAAAGTAAGATGATTATGATGATGGTTGTGCTGATGCTGCGAAGGATGATAATGAGGTAGAAGATGATGATGATGATGTTGATGATGATGATTATGATAATGAGGTAGATGATGATGGTGATTGTAGTGAGGATAATAAGGATGATGATGATTATGATGAGCATAATAATAAGGATAATAGGGATGATGATGATGATGTTTGTGCTTCTGCTGCTGTTTACGATGATAAAGCTAACAAGGTTGATAATGAAGATAATGAGGCCACTGATAATAAAGATGATTAAAATAAGTAAGATGATTATGATGATTATGATAATGAGGATAATGAGGATGATGATGATTATTGTGCTGCTGCTGCTGCTGCTGCTGCTGAGGATGATAATGAGGTAGAAGATGATGATGCTTATGATGATGATTATGATAATAAGGATATTAAGAATGATGATGACTATGATGATTATGGTAACAAGTTAGATGATTATGATGATGATGTTGATGATGATGATAATAATGATAATAATAAGGTGATAATGTTTGTGCTGCTGCTGTTTAAGATGATGGTGATAAAGATGATGATAATAATGATGATGATTATGACGAGGAAGATGATTATGATAACAAGATGATGATGATTATGATGATGATGATGATAATAATAATGAAGACAATAAGTAAGATGATGATGATTGTGCTGCTGCTGGTGTTTATGATGATGAGGCTAACAAGGTTGATGATGATAATGATGATGTCATGTCTCTTCCTCCTCAGGTGCAGGGCAGTAATCAGGTCCAGCGTGCCCCCAGGGCGTTATTCTGTCTGAAACTGAACAATCCAATCAGACGAGCTGCTCTTTCTATTGTTGAGTGGAAGTATCCTTTAACCAATCAGCTGTCTCTCTTACAATAATTGTATTTCCTTGTTCCCTCAAGTGTGCCTCTCCTGTTCCCCACAGTTTTTCCTCATGAGCAACTTACAGTGACACTGCTGGGGCCTGTTCTACGAAGCAAGTTCAACCTAGCGAGGTAGCCCTGGAGCTACCTCGCTCAACTTATCGTGGTAGCCAGCGGTCTCGCTAAACGGTCTTACGACCCTGGTTATCAACCTCGTAAGTTGATGTAGCTTTGCTATGAGCGCATGCACGCATGTAAGGCGGAGCCCGTCGCATCTGACCAATTGCGAAAACGGACTGGCCTGGAGCGTCAGAGCCGGCTGGAGAGAGAAGGACCACAGACAAACGAGGAGCAGGAGACGATCATGAGGAAGAATGAAGAATTCAAATCTATCATAAACCTCAAAAGCAACATCGTTGCCACTGCAAAAGCACGGAGGGAATGCTGGCAGAAAATTAATCTTTGATGCCATTATCACCCTGAAATAGCACTGTTCAACATGTGCTTTTAACTAAGGTGACCAGATGTCCCCGATTTCCAGGGACAGTCCCCGAATTGGATGATCTGTCCCCGGCTAAAGCTGTCCCTGAAAATGTCCCCGATTTAGGCGTTTCATAAATGAGAACATAAATGTTATGTGTGGGCTAGAACAACGGTTATTACAGTGGGTAGGAAGCACAAGTAAGCAGTCCTGAACAACAGTATTTACGGGGGTTATTACAAGGGGCGTGCGCTGCTACTAAATAGTACTGAGATGTTGTCTGTGATCACGTAGCCCATGCAGCCCATGCCCATTCATTTCCAAGATGAATTCATTCATTTGATTATTCCTATCGTGTTTACATTTTTTGTGTGATATGTCGGCCATATGAGCCTTTCATAAAGGTGGTCATTCGGAAAAGTAAGTGGGTCTGTGCAGTCCCTGAAAACTCTCGCCATTTTTCGACAGAGCTCATTGGTCAGTGGTCGGGGTTTTTATACTCCGTGAGTTCAATCTGGAACCTAACCTGCTCCAAAGCAGGTTAGCCGTTCAGCGTATGTTACCATGGAGACTCGCCTCGCTAAGAAGTGAACCCGTGTCGTAGCACAGGAAACCCCGAACTTACCCTCGAAGTTACCTCGCTAAGCAGTGATCCTGCTTCGTAGAACAGGCCCCTGGTCTTTTTTTTTTTTTGGTTGTAGATTTGTCCCTCTTGAGTTTCCTTAACCTCTTTCTCAGACCATTTGATATCTTCATTCTGTTAGCTATCTTTGCTAACTGTGTTGCTCTGGGAGTTTCTAAACCATTTCCTGAGGATGACTCGAACTCCACCAACCACGACCTGGTACGACCACAACAACACACACCCGCACAAAAACACAACCACATTAACACACACCTGCACAAATACACAACTTCACCAACACACACTTGCAAAAAATACACAACTTCACAAACCCACACCCGCACAAATATATACAACAACATCGACACACACCTGCAAAAATATTCACAAACACACACCTGCACAAATACACAACCACTACAACAGCAAACCTGCACAAATATTCACAAACACAAACCTGCACAAATATATAACCACACCAACACACCTGCAAATATACACAACCACACACCCGCAAATATACACAACTTCACAAACACACACCTGCATTATACACAACCACATCAACACACACCTGCACAAATACACAACCACGCATCCGCAAATATACACAACTTCACAAACACACATCTGCACAAATGCACAACCACATCAACACACACCGTACAAATACACAACCACATCAACACACACACCTGCACAAATACACAACAGCATAAACACACATGCACAATTACACAACCACATCAACACACACACCTGCACAAATACACAACCACACACCTGCAAATAAACACAACCACACCAACACACACCTGCACAAATATTCACTAACACACGCCCGCAAAATTACACAACTTCACAATCACACACCTGCACAAATACACAACCACATCAGCACACACCTGCATAAATACACAACCACATGAACACGCACTTGCACAAATACCCAACAGTATGAACACACACCTGCACAAATACACAACCATATCAACACACACTGGCACAAATACAAAACTTCACAAACACACATCTGCACAAATATACAACCACATGAACACACACCTGCACACAAAAACACTCAGTGATTCTGAGGGATAGGGACAGGTGACATTCAGGTGTATCTGCTCGGGGCGGTTTGTTCCACATTTGCTCGTCATTGTAAACAGAAAGTTCCTTTTTGTGGAAGCATGTCCTCCAGCATGTTGAATCAGCTGATTGAGTCACTCCTCACTGTATAGGTCAAAGGTCGCAGACAGATACAATGGATGATTGACAGCTCTGTGATCGGATCTGATCAGCTGAGTTTCTGCTCGAGTGGTTTTCCACACACACAGTTCACGAAATGGTTTGTTGAAGTGACAGCACACACCGCCCTGCTCTCTCTCTCCTTCTCTCTTCCTCTCTCCAGTCGTCTTACTCTCTCTCTCTCTCTCTCTCTCTCTCTCCTTCATGAGAATTTAACATATTGACTCCTGATTTACTCTGAAAACACAATGGCCCTCATTTATCAAGCTTGCGTACAGCAAAAAACTTCGTACACCTTGCATACATAAACTGGGACATGAGGATCGGCATTTACCGATCTGCACGTGAGCTTACGATACGACCAAATCTCACGGCAGGTCTGACATTGTGTAGGCAAGTTTGAGTCAGTGTGGATTTGTGGTACTGCAAATGTCTGTCTCAAAATAATTGATAAACAAACCTCAAACTTGTCATTAAGCACAATCAGCCAGAATTCATTAATGATTAAGAAGTAAATAAAATAAAATAAAACTAGAAAAATTGCATTTCCTTGCAGAAAATGCGTGGAAATGCTGAGTGCTGAAAGCTGAAAAAGCAATGCAAAACTGCTAAAAAAATGAAGGTGGGTTTAAATGTAAAATTAGTTAAAGAGTTGAAGAAGAAGAAATAGAAATTGGACGAACGTGAAAATCGTTGAAGTGCAAATAGTATAAATGTGCTTCATAAATTAAAATTGCATTCATGCTGAAAAACTATCTGAAATTGCAAAAAAAAAATTGGATAAGGAAGAAAATGACCTTAAAACACAGAAAAGTGAGAAGTTGCATAAGTTTAAGTTGTAGTACTAGAAGTTGTATGATAATAGGTAGTTTTAGTAGTGATATTAGTAGTCATGTAAGCAGTAGAAGTAGTTTTAGAATAGAAGAAGTAGAAGTCAAAGCAGTAGAGATCGTGGTAGAAGTAATAGTGGCAGTAAAAGCAAGAGACGCAGTAAAAAAATATTTAGAGAAGCAAGAGTATTGGAGGTAGGCATGAATATACAAGCTAAAGTGATATTCGTAGTAATTGTAGTAGGAAAACTGGGAATCTCTTTGAAGAATTAAAAAATGCAAAATAATGACAATGATTTTAAAATGGGAAAATTTTGAATAATTAAAAATCCTCAAGTATTAGACAAGTTTGAAGTATTAGGTTTGAATCAGTTTGAATGAGTTTAAATTTGTCTGAAGAATTGAATAATGTATAAATGACGGGATTAATTTTAAAGTGGGGAAAATTTAAATGAACAAAAATCCTGAATACACCCCATAATGTCCTCAATGAGCTGAATTTTTGGAGCCCTGAATGGATTCTGTAGCTCAAAGTTTGTGGGAGGAGATAGGGGCCGAAGTTTGTCAAGCGCTCTAGTGAAGGGATTTAAATGTAACCCCCAGTGCTATGTGTACTATGCCTGGCTACATTTGTCTCATATGGCCGTTAGAAGCAGCTTTCCAGTCAGCTGTGTGTCTCCAGGTACACTAATTGGTTGCCATAGGGACCGTATATGCATCACTACAGCAGGAGAAAGGAGGCTTGAAGCTGAGAAACAAAATCCCAGACTATGCCCTGATGCTCACCCTCTGTAACAGCTATATTCATGATAAGGAACTTGTGAGAACCACAAGACTCTGCTGAACACATTGATACAATTATTTCACAAAATCCTAAATACATCCCATAATGTCCTCAGTGAGCTGAATTTTTGGAGCCCTGAATGGTTTCTGTAGCTCAAAGTTTGTGGAAGAGGATAGGTGGTGAAGCAGATACATGGTCAAAGTGTGTGCATGTAAGTCTTATAGACAGAGAGCGACTCCAGCACACACATATTTACTGTGTGTACATGCAGGTGTCACAGAGACACACACATTGTCAGACTGTGTGTGTGTGCCTGTTAATTAATGCATCTTAACAGGTGTCAGACATCAAAGGCATTAACTGACCCACTGTTTGAATGAGAAGCTGCCTAACTGCAGTGAATTTAGGGCCTCTGAACTTCTTCACATAGCGTGATTTCCTTAAATCCCAGAATGAAAATAAGAACATCGTAGGAATCCTCCGCCCCTCATGAACACAATGATGTGTTTTTCATGTCTGTACTCTAAAAAATGTGGCCACAACAGCGAGTTAAACAGGTTTTGACCCTGAGTGATGATCAGGATTTTCAGGGAGAAAGATTACATCAGAGTCAATTGGAGGAATCTCTGCCTTTTTGGACAGTTGGTCACTTGCTGGCCAAGGGGTAGGATTTAATGATTTGAAACCTCCTTTGTGAGAAGCAGGACACATATACCTCCATTTTGATGTATTTTTATGGCTGTGGAGTGAAACTTTTGGGCGTGGGAGCGATATATCCGAGCTAGGTTTTGCCGATAAAAGAGGAGCTCTCCACTCTAGCTATGACATCACACACTCTAGCTCTTCCAATACACACCCATAAGAAAGCCTGAAATTTGCTGAAAACCATGAGTTGCTTAAGGTTAACTGTAATTGAGTGTTTGCACTTTGACTTCTTGAATAAGTCAAACATTGTTTCAATATGGTGACATTGCACTATATGTTCCATGAAGAATTAATATTGTTATTTTGCACACAATAAATTCTTCAATGATACATTGATAATGTTTCTTGTGGGGGGGGGGGGGGGGGATAGTTGACCCACCCTTAATCCACACATTTTTCGGCCCGGCCTGAAATAAGGGACACCCAAAATTTAAAAGGGACACCAAAAAATTTTCAGATTTTGATAAACTGTCCCTTATTTCAATCTCTTGGAGTTGGCAACCCTACACACGCACCACTGTGGAGCGCTGCGTTTGACTCCTAAGTGGCAGGTGTCTCTGTCTTTGCCCAGCAGCGGGGACATTGTTGTACACTCCTGAAAGGGTGTGGGACATCATCTGGGCTAGTACAGTTTAGCACAATGTTGCACTAGTGAATGGAGTGCCGTTGGTGGTGCCGGTGCAATGTGAGGACCCGATGCCCGGAGAACAAAAACAAGGAGAGGCTCCACAGAAGGTGCTGTACAGAGGAGACAGGACCTTATCGATGGATTCTGACATGTAAAGTATAAGTTTAGAAAGTGCTCTTGCTATTTAATCAGTGATAGAAATCCAATGGAAATCCATAAAAATGTGCCTCAGGAGCAGCAACACACCGTTTGTTGACGTTCATAATTATTTTTGTTCAGCCTCTGTCGGACTCTCCAGTCTGCTCTACATTACAAAGACACAAAAAATTAAAACTAAATACTTTCAATAATAGGAGCAACGTACCCTATGTCATGGCAATAAAAAATATGAGGCATGTATGAGATATTAATTTATCATCATGAGCGACTTATTGACTAATGATTTATTCAAACTTCAGCCACTGTCCGTGACTCCGCGGCAGTGCTGTTCACCTCCACCATAATCCTGCTCCAGACAGGAGTTTCCTGGACTGCTTTTATACCAGTTTTTATGCTTCCAAAGAGAAAATCCATGTTAGTTTCCACCACAGATGTGAGGATATCCACTTTCAGCTCGGAAAAGTTTCGAATCTTTCTAATATTTCTCCTCTTTCATGTTTGACCTCAGTGGGCAAGGCTTCTGAACTACGAATATTTAAGGGCGTGACATGTTAATTATGCTCGATTTCAGCCACTGCATTTATCAAGACCTGATCATACGTACGCTGGGATTGGTCAGATACGAACCCTTTCATAAATCTCACGTGTGTCCTATCGTACTATGAATCCTGCGCTCAGATCTGCGCAAGATTGATAAATGAGGGCCAATGAGAGCGGGAAAAAAACTGTGTAGCTCACCCCTTTGGGTAAAGCATGTCTGCTTCGTCAAGGCCTTCCCCCTTTCTCTTCCTCCTCTATGGAAGCAAATTTGTATCATAATTCAAATGAAAATAGATGAACAGAAATGCATTTGCATTTTCAGAATGTACCTGCACTTCTCGACTCATAACTAAAATTAAAAATAAACAAACCCATCTATAGTTGCTTTTTTCTTTTTCAAAATGAATCATTCTGTAACTTAATTCAGATGTTAAAGAAAAAGCTATTTAATATTTAATTTGCTAAATATTTCCCAGCAAATATGAACCAAAACTCAATTTGAAATGTCAAATCTGAAAATTCAAATGCATTTGCAGTTTGGCTTTTTGTTCCAAAGTCAAAATTGCATAATTTGACTCAGAAATAAAATGAATAAATAAGACAAAAGTTCTTTCATTTTCTTATTTGAGCTGCACATTTCTTAACACGATTCAAAAGAAAAACCAAACGTGCCGTTGCTTTTTCATTTTCATATCCGCTCGCAAAAAATGTACCAAAACTCAAATCGGCCTCACAATCCCAAGCGGGGCAAACAAGTGACATCAGTGGCCGCTCCGCTCTTCTTATACGCATGAATTCGGTGTTTCCACGGTACTGCGTTCCTTTTTTTTCCAGCTTGATCGACAATCCGATGGATCTTCCTGAAACCATTGCTCGAGCATTGATATATTTAAATTCCCAGTTGGAGTTGCTATTTCTTAACTGGACACCCGTGACAGATATTGTCAATCGAGCATATTTTGAAAATATTAAATCTCAAATGGATTATTTTTTTACATCTGAATTAAGTTACTGAATGATCAGTTTTGAAAAAGAAAAAGCAATTGCAGATTAAATTATTTATTTTTAATTTTATTTATGAGTCAAGAAGTGCAGGTACATTCTGAAAGTACAAATGCATTTCTGTTCACCTATTTTCATTTGAATTATGATACAATTCCATACTCCTTCTGCTCCTCCTCCTGCTCCTGCAGAGTTCTGGTAAGAGAGAAGACGAGACCAGAGCACCATCACTGCACGCTCATATAGTCCAGTCTGCTAAACATGGTTTCTATGAATAATGCATGTTTTTTATTTCATTAGGCTAAATATAACAGTGTTCTACCACATTTTACAGTGTGCAGGCTGCAGCTTTTCTAATTCTCTGACCCACATTCCCTCTAACTCTGACATGTTTACAACTTTTGCACTGATGTCCGGTGATATGCTCTGTCCACAACCAATAAATCCTCTGCATGGGCGGAGACAGATCTCACTTAAATCATCTCAACTTTGTTGAGAGGAAGATAAGAGGTCAGATATTGAGATGTTCACATGTAATAAATAAATAAACTTCAAAAATATGGGGTCCAAGGTTTTTCCAAAAACAAGAATTCTGAGCCTCAGCAAAGAAGGATCTGCAACATATCAGCTCGATGTCCAATCATCAGAGACACTTAGTGCATTTACATGCACAGTTTAATCGGACTAAGCTCATAATTCGTTTTTTTTCCCGCTAAATTGGACTTCTCTCCTTGGGGCATTGGGGGGCCATGCCAGACCACCAAGCAAGCTGTGCCCGCTCTGGACTAAAAGCAAAATTTTGCAATAATTGGATTTGGGGTTTGTTTTTTCCGTCAGAGTAGTCATCTTCAGTTAATCCCATCTATCTTGACATGTCAATCAATCCATCCAATCCAATAGATTAAAGGCAACGTGTTAGCTAATTACAGGTAAAGGGGCTGCTCAACATACCAGGCTTACTCTGGACGACTAACACTGATGGGAGCAAGCAGGAAGTAGCGGCAGCGCCACACAGCTCCAGTTTTAGGAAGTTAAGCACCAAAGCCAACTGTCACACTGGAGTAAACATTCATGCTAGAGGAGGGAGCAACAGCAGCTAGGGAGCAGCAGTGAGCAGTGAGACCCTTGTGCCAGGCAGGAGGGTCTTGCTGCTGTATGGCTTGTAAATTCAGGAATGAGTGGAAAGAGAAGGTTTTAAGACGGTTCCACTCAAGTCACAAATGCCGTCTGCCACTGTTATAATTAGAACCCCTAACACACATGCATTCACGCTTGCACACACACACATGCACACACACACACCTTTCTCATTCTCATTTGCATTACTTGCAGGCAGGAGGTTACACCCTGCTTCGTTCTGCTCCTGGTGCTCCCTAGCTGCTCTACCTCCTCCCCTAGCATGAATGTTTACTCCAGTGTGACTGTTGGCCCGGTGCTTAGGTTCCTAGAAGTGGAGCAGTTAGGCCCTGGTCTCTGATGCCTCTGGTCTCTGTTTTATCGATAATAAATTAACACAGCACTACAGTCACTACTGTATTTTGTTTGTTTTATTCTTTATATTTAAAGATGAAATGCCTCTTGTTACTGAGAGAAAATAACATTTCAATACTGTTGGAATGGCCACGGAGCAGCCGTTAAGCCTGAAGCAGATAAAATACAAGTTTAAATAAGTGTGCCCCCCTGAAAAAAATGAAATGCCCCCCCTCTCATTTGTTTCTGTAACCGGGTCTGCGCGCACATGCATTGTCCAATCATGCTCCAACTACGCTGGTTACATGGTAGAGAAAATCTGATTCCAATCGCATTATCTGGGTCCTTACACACCAGGAAAGTTTTTTTCGTGCGATTATTTCGGACGTCAATATTTTTTTGCGAACCCATATCCTGTCAGTACAAGCGTTCACATCAGCTTTTTTCCCGTCCTGCAATATTGCAGCATTTATTTTTTTGGATCACGGTCGATTTTTCTAAAGTTTCGCATACTGTGTGTCCACTTCTGACCAATCAGATATTGTGTTGTTGCGACATCTGATTCACCTGTATATCCAACATGGCTGACCAGCTGATTATTTACGTGTCGGAGAACAGAGTGCTTTTTGATAAAGGACACAAACATTACAAAGATAACGACCTGAAGGACGACTTGTGGAGAGTCATTGTGTCGGATTTCTCATATGACGATGGTTTGTGAGCTTTAACAGTTTGCTAAACACCTTTGTTTTAACTTTCATCTGTGCTAACGTAAGCTAACGGTTGTTACCATAGTTTCATGTGCTTATATCGCCTCTGATTGGCTATAAGTGCTGACCGTTTGGCTTGAGCGTGTGATGATGTTTTCAGCTTTTCTAGCCAATCAGAGGCAAAGTAGGTAGGACTTTCCCTGGGAAAAGTCTTCCCCGGTTTGCGTCTTTTCCCCCAGAAAAGCCGCAAAATCGCATCAGGCTTGATGTGTATAGTCAGGTGCTTCAAAATTAGCCTGTGAATATTTCGTAATTTGGTGTTCTATATCTGCGTCAGCTCCGTTATATAAGGACCTTTAGGTGTTTACATGCACTTCAGTTGTCCGGTCTTAATTGGATTAAGGCAATAATTCGGTTTTCTCAAGTGTCATGGAAACAGACTGACTGAAGCTCAAGGCTTCGGGCTGATCCGAATTTTTAACTATATTCAAATTTGCAACGAATTTACAATATAACAGTGAGAGCAAGAGGAAGGTGACGTTAGGATGTTAGGATGACGCAGCATGTCCCATCTGCATGCACACTGTTTGCAGAGATCACTGTGTGTGTGTGTGTGTGTGTGTGTGTGTGTGTGTGTGCAGGCGGCTGCAGAACAGTCAAAATAAAGCACAAATCACATCAGCATTTCACATCTGATTAATTTTCATTTTCGGTCCATTATTTCTGTTAGCAGTAAAAAAAATAAATAAAAAAAAAAGAGAATTTCTGCCATAAAAACTTTTATCATAGTAATATTATCAGGAGCACGCTCTGTTTGACAAATCTGACCTGCAGAGTTTAGAATAATCTGAATAAAATGTTGGCCTGGAAACACTAGTTTTTGTTGAGTCACACCCCTCTAATCCTCTTAATTATGAGTGAAAATATGACTGGTAAGTCATCCTGATGAGCGCCTGCAGGCCGGACGCTGTGATGCCACTGAGCATGTGCAGGAGCGAGGGCAGCTCAGGTATCACCTCAGTGGTTATATAAAGGCAGAAAAGTAAGAACACAGATTTTCTTAAAGCGTCTCTGTAATAAGAAGGCTGCTGGTTTGATTCCCAGTGTTTCATACAGATAGAGGATTTAGAGCAGAGAGGAGATGGACATCTGAGGTCACAGGGACACAGCAAGAGTGTGTGTGTGTGTGTGTGTGTGTGTGTGTGTGTGTGTGTGTGTGTGTGTGTGTGTGTGTGTGTGTGTGTGTTTGTTTTTGCACCTTGTGAGGCACCAGGTTTAATTTTAGACTCTGCAAAGTGAGGACATGTCACCTGCTCCCATGTCCAAAGAGTGTTTACTGCATGGGCTTGAAATGTTATGTTGGAGTAAAAGGTCCGTGTCAGGCCCTTTAAGGTCGGGGGTCAGGGAATGCATTATGGGAATGAGAGTCCTCACAAGTATAAACAGACCAGCGTGGTTGTTTGTGTGTGTTTGTGTGTGTGTGTGTGTGTGTGTGTGTGTGTTGTGCAGTAATGATGACAGATTGGTAATCCTCGCAAATGCCCACAAATTCTCCACAGCCACGTTTACCAGGTCACACAAACACACACACACACACACACACACACACACACACACACACGTTTTATAGTGTCCTGTCCATAGACTGTATATAGAATGGACAGAGTCTGCCTCCTTGCTGGGTGAAGCCACTCTGAGAACAGCGCCCTCTGTTGATGGGCTGCAGTATAGGCCATAAATCCCGCCTCCACCAGCAAAGCTTATGGAGCTGTGGACAAACTTTTTATTACATTACTTATTTATTAAAATTTATTACACAGAACATAATTTTTTCTCCCCCCTGCTTCTGATGTTGACATGTAGTTATTGTAAGACTGGTTTGTGCTCAAGTCCTCTTTTTTTCTGTGAAGCTCTGTTTTTAAAAGTTATTAGGGGGTTCCTGTTTGCTATGATTGACACCTGATACAGCCTATGGGCGTTCAAGGATTGCGTAGCTCACCCGGGGGGATACGTTGTTTGAGCCGAGTGTCATCACAGCAACACTCGGCGACTGCGCGGCCGAATGCGCACAATGCTACTGCGCAGCGCTGGTTTCAGGAAGTGAAGAAAAATCCCGGAAATACCGAGAGCTTTTTGGCTTCAAATTCGTGTACAGGCGGTAGGCGGAACCAAGTTGTCCATAGTATATACAGTCTATGGTCCTGTCGTGTTTAGCTGTGTTTAACTTCTGTGTGACAGTGTTGTGTATTCATATCATATTAATTGTTATACCATAAACTTTCATATGTGTTATTGTATTGTGTTGTTATTGTCAAATATCCCATGATATCGTATTTTATCATTTTGTGTTTTCCTTCATTTATAATTTCATTGTTTCTTTGACCACCTCTCTGAGTCTGATTGGTCAGAGCTACGTCGAAGATAAGCAGATTGCACACATCATATCTGTGTATTGTGTAATATGTGGTTGTGAACATCCATTGTGTTATATCTTATCGTGTATTATCATCGCTTGTCATAATGTGTTCCCTGTTATGCTATTAAATGATGTGTTTTTCTGAGGCATTTATTCGAGTTTCATTTGAACAGCCGCGGCTTCACAGAGCTTAATCTTGTCCCGTGGTTTAGGCTAATCCCGGTTCTCTCTGTGTTTCAGGAACAAGTAGAGTACGTCTTCCTCATCATCTTCACCATAGAGACCTTCCTGAAAATCCTGGCCTACGGTCTGGTCATGCACCCGAGCTCCTACATCCGTAACGGCTGGAACTTGCTGGACTTTGTCATCGTCATCGTCGGGTACGGATGTTTCTGTGTACATACTCTTCTTTGTCTGTAGACCGTGTTACCCCCAATTTCCACTGAATCCTGAATGTCTACAGAAAGTCTGTATCCTCCGATCGTAGCCAATCGTAACCATTCAAGTCAACGTGTCAATTTCCACCGGCTACTTTCCGTTCCTCTGCGGATCGCCGGACTCCACAGCTGATCACAAGAGTTCTATTTTTTCTGGACGCCAGAGCATGTTGGATAAATTCAGCACAGATTAACCCGTGCTGGAAAGGAAGTCTGGCACAGACACAAAATAAAACATCCGGCTTCTTTTCAAAATAAAACACTCTGTGTTTCAGGCGAATCGTATTTCACACCATGCAAATGGGTGGAGATGAACAAGTGAAAGGTTTTTAGACGTCATTTCACCCCGATGACACCATGGATGAGGAGATGCTTATTCTAGAAGTCTAGAAGTAGATTTCTTCCTCTGGAAGGATACAATCTAGTGCTTTTATGTCTATGTGTCTGTCTTTATAGAGGCAACTCGTTATTGCGCAATTGTATGTGAATCTGCGAATTCTTGTGAGTTCTCGCAATTACCGGTGTCTGTAATCTGCCATGAAATTCGCCTCACTAACGGATCCGGTAGGAATTGGTGTATGGATCTGAGCCATTCCGGATGCAGTGGAAATCCCGTGTTTGGACGGGCACTGAGGGGTTGTGGGTAGTTTGAGTCACATGTTTGAGTGTTTTAGTGGATGACAGTCAGCTCGGCTTTTTATAAAAGAAACGCTTAGAGCAAGTTCTGCTGGTTGAAAAATGTCTGATGTCGCTCCGTCTGCAGAGAGCTGTCGCCCCACCTCTCATCTAGTGTGGCCAAAACTTTAAGTCTGTTTTAGTCCGTTTTCTGCAGACAACTTTCTCTGTAGATTCTGGTCCGTGTCGCAGAATGGGGATTCCTCTCTGGGTCCAGGTTCCCTCTTTAGACCCTGGCCGTCTTTTCTGATCTGGTTCAGGTCTTGGGTTCCTGGTTCTGATGTTCGACCTCTCCCCTCTGCGTGTGAAACCTCTCTCTGTGTTCGGATCCAGCAGGGTTTCATATGAGCTGCAGCAGATCCGATGTGACTGCAGCACACTCTTTATTGAGGCTATTGTTCTCTTTAAATCGGGCTTTTCTCTTTTGATCTTGGTTCTGTCTTGCTCTCTGGTTCTTGTTGTTGCCCTCTGGTGTTCTGTGTGTTTGAGGCGGTGTTAAAGAGTCGTAGCAGTAAATCTCATCTGATTGCACTAAACTCTCTGCACTCTGTGGTTCCTCTGTTTATCCTCTTCCTCCGAGTAGACCTCCAGTTTCTCTCCGTGGTTCTGGTTCTATATCAGATTCTGGTTCTGTGTTTTCTAAGTGTGTGTGCGCATGTGCTCTGTGTGTGTGTGTGTGTGTGTGTGTGTGTGTGTGTGTGCAGCAGTAATTGGTGTGTGAGCGCTGTAAAGTGTGCAGCTCTGTGGTCAGCAGAGGAACACAGCCCGCAGCGACGCCACATTTGCTCTCATTTTGTAATTTCAGTGTTAAGCGTTTGTGACAGCTGACTGTATCAGTGTTCACTGTAACACAGGCATGCTCTGATCATACACACACACACACACACGCACACACACACACACACACACACACACAGACAAACAAAGACACACACACACACACACTTTCAGGACACAATGCAGTGACCACAACTGAGCACAAACACACTCTCTCTGCTGCAGCTCTGACTGTGCAGGTGAGCGGATTCAGGTGTCTGCGGTCAAACATGAGGATGGACTTTATGGAGACCAGCTGGTCCGCATCCTCTGGTGGTCTATTATGAAACACGACAGACTCGTGCTGCACGGCCGCAGAAAAACCCTCGGATAAAGATTTAAACTTTAGGCATTTTACGAAGAAACTTTCATAATTATTTCTGATGACGTAGAAATAGAAGCAGCAGGTCCTCACTCTGGAGGCTGCCATGTTGCACCGTCATGTTTTCTACAGGAGCTCAGAGCGGTCAAACTCAGAGAGGACAGGGTGAGATCAGGTGTTGTCAATGAGTTTGTACAAATTATGTGAAGGATCAGACTTTTCATCCTCCCAGGAATCTGAGCGAATCAAAGTTAACGTCCACACACCGCACCCATTTCATTTTATGGTGACTCAGATTATCGCCCCACTCTCTGCTGCTCCGTGCTGCTTTGTGAGCTCTTATCCTGACAAGCCGGATGGAGGGAAACTCTTGATTGTTTTAATATGGAGTCCATTCAGGACTAGGGTTTTGGGATCCAGAGCTGTTTCAACCCATGACATTCAATAGCAGACTGAGCTCAAACTTGATTGATTTTCGGGTTTCATAAAATGTAAAACTGTGTTTTGAAAGTCTCGAAGACTCCAAAATACGGCAACTGGACTGTGTAGAGTTGAGAAGACGTTTCGCCTCTTATCCAAGAAGCTTCTTCAGTTCCAAAATAGCAGATGAGGGGAGCAGGTACTTATCTCACTGGAGAAGGGGAAAACAACGTCAATGACCTTCTCCAGTAAGATAAATACCAGCTCCCCTCACTAGCTATTTTAGAGCTGAAGAAGCTTCTTGGATAAGAGGCGAAATGTCTTCTCAACTCTACACAGTCCAGTTGCCTGACTTTGGAGTCTTCGAAATAACCATGACCTGGATGAATGAGAATCTACCTGGACATATGTGTTTTGAAAGGGATGTTCTGGCGTTAAATTAATTTAGGGTCAAACACACCGTAACACTGAGATAGACGCCTCCTCCAGAGATGAATGCTGCCGACTGCTTGCTTCTCAATACAGCAATACACAGCGGGGTGATGCAGCTCAAGGAAGAATATTTATGATCATTTCTTTATCATTTCCTTGAAGTAATCATCATCATATTAATCATTTTGCACTGCAGATGCAGTAGTTCTTCCTAAGTGTCTCGGTCTGATTGTATTTCCATGAAGAAATAATCATAAATGTTCTTCCTTGAGCTGCGCCACCCCGCTGTAGTCTGTAATGGACTGGCCTGAGGTCTCACTGGAAAACAAGCGGCTGCTGGAAGACAGTAGGTGAGTTGTGTTTACAACATTCATCTCTGGAGGGGCGGAGTCTAACTTGCCGTTACGGTGTGTTTGACCCTAAATTTATTTTATGCCAGAGTATCCCTTTAAAACACAGTTTTACATTTTATGAAACCCAAAAATCAATGAAGTTTGAGCTCAGTCTGCTAGCGAGTGTCATGGGTCCCATGAAGTACTGTTAGATTTTTAGCACCATTATTTCATATCAAACTAAATCAGAGGTGATGGGCTGTCCCATAAGGTTGTCCCGGCTCCAGCAGGTCTTCCTCTCCATCCCCTATGTTTGATTTTCGTGTACTGGCTGCAGGATGTCATTGTGACTCGAGACGACCTCAGGGTGGTGATGATAAAGCCTGTTGTCATGGTAACGCTGCCGAGGACACCAAATGCAGTCAGAGATGATGCAGAGGGAGGGAGAGAGGCTGCATGTGGGACACTGGGGGTCTCTGGTAATTTGGCGTTATTGTGTTTGATGTAACAGAGAAAAAAAACCTGCAGCAGCTTCAGTTTATCAGACTGGCTGTTCGCTCTTTCAACATAACAATGCTGTGAGCCAAATGCTAACAGTGCTCCACCCAATGACGCCCCACCCTGAACTTACTAAACTAGTCCAGTGAAGTCCTGAGAGATATTTGAGCTAAACTAAAGTTTAAGCTGCTAAAAGCAGGTTGTCAATCATGTGACTGCCCAAAACCAGTCTGGATCAAACACCCCGGCCTTAAACAAGTCCTGTTAGCGTGGACTTTTTATTTTTATTTCGGACTTAAGAAAACGGGAAAACCCTGCATAGCTGACACAATCTAGCATCCCTCAGGACTTGGTACAAGGCCCATTGCTGTTTCCATCCTCCTGTTGGGACCAGAGATCCAGGACCATAGCTCTCATTCTATGCAGATGATACCATGTTGTCACTGCTGCACTTACCATCTTTGTTGTATTTTCGGATGTTAACGGGTCATTTCTGATGAGACGGGTCAAAAAGTCGTCTCTTGTGATTTTGTTTTGGCAGGTTGTTCAGCGTCGTCTTGGAAACCATGACTCATAAATCTGGTGAGCAGGCGACAACTCATCACGTCCCGGGGAAACCTGGAGGTCTAGATGTCAAAGCCCTGAGAGCCTTCAGAGTCTTGAGACCCCTCAGACTGGTTTCTGGAGTCCCCAGTAAGTCTTCTGGACTAGAAAGAGTCCTATGACTGATTGTGTGTCCCGTGTAGTCATACAGGTGTAACTCTCGGTGTGTCTGTCAGGTTTACAGATTGTGTTGAACTCCATTATGAAGGCCATGGTTCCTCTGCTCCACATCGCTCTGCTGGTCCTCTTCGTCATCATCATCTACGCCATCATTGGTCTTGAGCTCTTCATCGGACGCATGCACAGGACCTGCTACTGGATAGAGACAGGTACACACGTGCTCTCTAATAGATGGTAAAAGGGCCCGTCCTTACTCTGCTAGTTTCTAAAACCGTCATGTTTCAGATAATTTTGTGGAGGACGACCCAGTGCCGTGTGCGTTTGCGGGTCATGGTCGTCAGTGCGTGATTAACGGCACCGAATGTCGGGGGAGATGGGACGGTCCAAACGGGGGGATCACAAACTTTGACAACTTCTTCTTCGCCATGCTGACCGTGTTCCAGTGCATCACCATGGAGGGCTGGACTGACGTCCTGTACTGGGTAAAACCTCCAAAATGCATCAGTCAGCAACCTGACGGTAAGCAGGAAAAAAATTCATACTAATCCTGATCTCTCCTGTGTCTTTGTGTAGATGAACGATGCCATTGGGTTTGAACTGCCCTGGGTTTATTTCGTCAGCTTGGTGATTTTTGGATCATTCTTCGTCCTCAACCTGGTTCTAGGTGTCCTTAGCGGGTATGTCCTCTCATTAAAACAAAGCCTTGTCCAAAAGAGTTGGGATGCTGTGAACGTCAATAACAACGTCAATAACACTTTGGGTCAATAACAGGGTTTCATGGTTTATAAACCATTTATATGTCCTCATTTAAAATCTGACACCAACAAAGACGTTTTTAGAGGAACAGCAAACCAGATACAAAGTTGTGTGATGCTGAAAATAAGAGCAGAAAATAGAGAAGGACGAACCAATTCTGTTTTTGAGGATGTGAGATTAAGAATTGGAGACATGTAAAGCTGTGAGTTGTCTGCAAAAAGAAGCAACACCAATGTCCTGTTGTGGTCAGTGTGTACGCCTCGCTTGAGTGAAGTCTGGATGTTGTCGTTAAGTTGTGTGAACATTTTGTGATCATTCCAGAGAGTTCAGTAAGGAGAGAGAGAAGGCCAAGGCTCGTGGAGACTTCCAGAAGCTGAGGGAGAAGCAGCAGATGGAGGAGGATCTGTGTGGGTACATGGACTGGATCACTCAGGCGGAGGACATGGATGAGCTAGACGAGGACGGAAACCCTCGTAAGACGGAGGGTGGGGAAGTCTGTGTGTGTGTGTGTGTGTGTGTGTGTGTGTTTAGCAGCTCGTGTTTATCAATGGATTTTCTCTTTACTTTGCCATCTTTATTCAGAGCCACAAACACTCCTTCATTAATCCTTTGTTCATTAAAAACTCATTCAGTGATAACGAGTGAATGGTCAATGGAGCCAATTAAAGCTTATTAGTGAGCAGAAACATCTTCATTACACAGAAGGAGGAAAAAAACGAGGACATAAGGAGTCTTAAAGGGGACCTGCCATCAAAAATGTAATTTTGTGTGTTTTTGTGTCAGATAAGGTCCATATTATGTTCGTCTTATGTTGTAAATGTGAAAACAAACCGTTACGTCGTTTGCATTCTGTAAAGGTTTAAAATGAAGGAACGGGTAAACCAGGCCAATTGAAAAAGCAGGTCCTTTTGAAGTCACGCTGACCTTGCTCATTATTATTCACGAGCGCGTCCTCGGTGAGCCGCGCCCACTCTCTCGTTCTCGTACTCATTAGCAGTCAACATCACTCTCCAGCCAGAGCGAGACCCAGCTATCACTGTATCCGCTATGGGTCTCTTCCAAACGACCGGTGTTTCCTTCGGTTCACTGCCGGGAAAATGAACTTAAAGCTGGGCAGATTGAATGAGAAAACACCGCTGGAGATCTCCGGCTTCTTCTTCAACTTCCACCTCCTCTTCGGACTCGGGGTCTAAAATATATGGTTTAATACCTGCCATTTTTAGCCTTTAGCATAAGGTGACCAGACGTCCCCGATTTCCGGGGACAGTCCCTGTATTGGATGACCTGTCCCCGGCAAAGAGCTGTCCCCGAAAATGTCCCTGATTTAAGCGTTTCATGAATGAGAGCAAAAATGTTGCGTGTGGGCTCGAACAACGGTTATTACAGTAGCCGAATAGGTAGGAAGCACAAGTAAGCAGTCCTGAACAACAGTTCTTATGGGGGTTATTACAAGGGGCATGCGCTGCTACTAAATAGTACCGAGATTTTGTCTGTGATCACACAGCCCCTGCACCCTCCCTGCTGCCGCCGCCGCCACACCGAATATCCCCGGATATCATTACAGACATCTGGGCACCTTACTTTAGCACACATTAGCAAAATGGATAAACCGAAATCCGAACCTCCACTGCTGAACCAATCAGAGCACAGCAGGCTTCACAGCAGTGATCCAATCAGAGCAAAGCTCATTACCATAAATGTTAATGAGCTAAAATCAGTTGGTTTTCCTGTAAGGTTTTTTAGGCATACTAAAACAAACCATCAAATAACTTTTCAGCTAAAATTATGTTGCAAACATGATCAGAGGACATCAAGGATTATGATAAAAATGGGTATGAAATTTTGATGGCAGGTCCCCTTTAAGGAGTAAAGACAGAACTAAGTCAATATCATGCTGTAGTAAAGGTGCCTGAAAACCAGAGACTAGGACTGTTGACGCAGTAGGACCATTTAGACTTCTGAGCAGGTTCAGGTCCAGGTTTTGGGGAATTTGAAGGTAATCTGATGACATCAGGTTTGACATCCAATTACAAAACAAACACAATATGAAACTACAAACCAAAAACCTAAACCAACTATCCAACCAAAAAACAACCAAAAAACAACCAACTAACTGACATAAAACCAACCAACCAAAAAACAACCAAACAAACAATAAACCAACCAAACAAAAAACCCACCAACCAACCAATCAACCAACCAAAATCCAACCAACCAAAAACCAACCAACCAATCAACCAACCAAAAACCAACCCACTGGCCAACCAAAAACCAACCAATCAATCAAGAACCATAAAAAAACCAACAACCAAGCAACCAAAACTAATTGAAAATCAACCAAAACAAAAACCAACCAACCAGAAACATACTGAAAATCAATCAAGAACCAACTGACCAACCAACTGACCAACCAACCCAAAACCAATCAAAAACCAATCAACCAACAAACCAACCAAAAACCAACCAATCAACCAAGAACAAATTGAAAACCAACCAACTGAAAACCAACCAATCAACCAAGAACCAACTAAAAACCAACCGACCAACCAACCAAAAACCAATTGAAATCAACCAAAAACCAACTAAAAACCAACTGACCTACTAACCAACCAATTGAAAACCAACCAACCAACAAACCAAACAAAATCCAACCAACCGGCCAACCAAAAACTAATCAATCAACCAAAACCCACCTAAAAATCAACCGACCAACAAACCAACTAAAACAAAAACCAACTGACCAACCAGGAACCAATCAACCAACAAAAAACAACCAGCCTACCGACCCACCAACCAACCTAGAACCAATTAAAAACCAAACAAACACATAAACAAACAAAAATCAACCAAAAACTGACCAACCAATCAAGAACCAACTTAAAACCAACTTACCAACCAACCAAGAACCAATTAAAAACCAAAGTCAACCAACCAAAAACCAACCAAACAAGAACCAACCAAACCAACCAAAATCCAAACAACCAAAATCCTACCAACCCACAAACCACCCAAAAACCAACCAACCAAAACCATCAATCCATCCATCCATCTTTCCTCATCTCTCTTCTCAGCAGCATTTCCGGGTCTTTTCTGGGGGATTCTGTGGTATTTCTGTTTAGATATGTTTTTCAGTTCTTGGGGTGAGTTCTGGTTCTGCCCCGGGAGAGTGTCCTTCCAGGTTGACAAGCCTGGAGACCCTCTAAAGGGAGGCAGTGGACATCTTTATCAGATGCCAGAACCATGCTTTTGATGTTCAGCTCTTCTCTGAGGTCCTGAGTCTCTGTTTAAGGCTGAGCAGATACCTGCAGGAGGAAACTCAGCTCAGCAGCTCGTATCTGCACTGCTAACACCATGTTGATGCCATGCCATCTATCCATCTCACAGTTCATTTTACCCTCTCTGTGAGTGAAACCCTGAGCTTTTGAAACTCTTTCACTTGGAGTAAAGATCTACTCCTAACAAGGAGGATTATGCTTCTAAGCTGTTCTCCTGCAGGGATCCAGGCCTGAGAGTTGAGAATGCTAACTCTCCTCTTAGCTGCTCTGATGCCTGCTGGTCCCAGAAACCAACAGAGCCACATCATCTGCAAAAAGCAGCGACAGTAGTCTGAAACCCTTGACCCAGAAATCCTTAAGATCACAAACATTTAACTCAGATTTAAAATCCCTGTTTTTTAATTAGATTTGATCGGACTGAAGCAGTGACTCCGAAAATGTCTTTCAGCACTGAAATCTGGACTCATTTCTGTCTGATGCTCAGAGAAACAATTCCAGCTGAGATGTATTTACTTCTGTTTCAGTAATTTTTACCTTTTCGCTGCAGTAATGAGATGTGAAATGTCAAACACTTTCAGGTGAATAACACAAGTTCTCTTTCCCTCTCTGTCAGGGCCGTCCCTGGGCGATCTGTCGGACAAGAAGAGAGGGAAGTTCGGATGGTTCAGTCACTCCAATGAAACCCACGGTGAAGCCTTGTTCTTCACTCAAACCTCTTTAACATCAGCTCTGTTCAAAAAACCTCTCAAGCACAGAAAATACACTGCTGTGTGTGTGTGTGTGTGTGTGTGTGTGTGTGTGTGTGTGTGTGTGTGTGTGTGTGTGTGTGTGTGTGTGTGTGTGTTTCCCATCAGTCTAAATGTAGAAAGCCTTCTTTCCCGCTGTCCTGTTAGTATCTGGGTCTCTGTCTGAGCTCATCTTTCTCTGACCCTGATTCTCATCATGAGCTATCTCTCTTTCTGTCACTTCACGCAGCCTCTTAGACATACATATTTATCATGCTAACTTCCTAAAACAGTGACACAAACAAATGCAAATAAAAAATCACTGAGAGACCACGAGAAAAACAAGCAAACGTCACAAAACCAGACCAGAGTTTGAAGAAAACTGCAATGTGTCCTTTAACTTAACCAAGTCCTGGACTCAATGATGCCAAATCTACCAAGTGACCATCCTCAGGGCAAAGCTGAGTGGACATGAAGTCCTCATCAGGATGTGGTCAATGCTGAGTGAGACATGGTCTGCATGAAAGCTCAGAAACAAACATGGAGGGACAGTGTCCAATACAGGGAAACTGGGACTCAGCTCAGACTAGAGCATGACACGGTAGTGGATTTTCACTCCTGTCCCGTCCCACTCCCAGAGAAAAAATCCCGTCCCGTCCCAATCCCGGACCGAAGTAAAAAAAAAAAATCCCGTCCTGTCCCACTCCCGTAGAATGACTCCCACTCAAAATTACTCCCACTCCTGTCCTGCTCCCGTTTGAATAAAATCAAACATGCTGAAAAAATGTTGCATTTTTTTTTTTTAGGTAAAAGTGCAGTGCATATAAAAGGCATTGCCTTTGAGTTTCACATGCCTGACATTCGGTCGGTGTAAACAAAGTGCATATACACTCACCGGCCACTTTATTAGGTACACCTGTCCAACTGCTCGTTAACACTTAATTTCTAATCAGCCAATCACATGGCGGCAACTTAGTGCATTTAGGCATGTAGATATGGTCAAGACAATCTCCTGCAGTTCAAACCGAGCATCAGTATGGGGAAGAAAGGTGATTTGAGTGACTTTGAACGTGGCATGGTTGTTGGTGCCAGAAGGGCTGGTCTGAGTATTTCAGAAACTGCTGATCTACTGGGATTTTCACGCACAACCATCTCTAGGGTTTACAGAGAATGGTCCGAAAAAGAAAAAATATCCAGTGAGCGGCAGTTCTGTGGGCGGAAATGCCTTGTTGATGCCAGAGGTCAGAGGAGAATGGCCAGACTGGTTCGAGCTGATAGAAAGGCAACAGTGACTCAAATAACCACCCGTTACAACCAAGGTAGGCAGAAGAGCATCTCTGAACGCACAGTACGTCGAACTTTGAGGCAGATGGGCTACAGCAGCAGAAGACCACACCAGGTGCCACTCCTTTCAGCTAAGAACAGGAAACTGAGGCTACAATTTGCACAAGCTCATCGAAATTGGACAATAGAAGATTGGAAAAACGTTGCCTGGTCTGATGAGTCTTGATTTCTGCTGCGACATTCGGATGGTAGGGTCAGAATTTGGCGACAACAACATGAAAGCATGGATCCATCCTGCCTTGTATCAACGGTTCAGGCTGGTGGTGGTGGTGTCATGGTGTGGGGAATATTTTCTTGGCACTCTTTGGGCCCCTTGGTACCAATTGAGCATCGTTGCAACGCCACAGCCTACCTGAGTATTGTTGCTGACCATGTCCATCCCTTTATGACCACAATGTACCCAACTTCTGATGGCTACTTTCAGCAGGATAATGCGCCATGTCATAAAGCTGGAATCATCTCAGACTGGTTTCTTGAACATGACAATGAGTTCACTGTACTCAAATGGCCTCCACAGTCACCAGATCTCAATCCAATAGAGCATCTTTGGGATGTGGTGGAACGGGAGATTCGCATCATGGATGTGCAGCCGACAAATCTGCGGCAATTGTGTGATGCCATCATGTCAATATGGACCAAGCTCTCTGAGGAATGCTTCCAGCACCTTGTTGAATCTATGCCACGAAGAATTGAGGCAGTTCTGAAGGCAAAAGAGGGTCCAACCCGTTACTAGCATGGTGTACCTAATAAAGTGGCCGGTGAGTGTATATAAACAATGGGGTTTCTAGACTAAATTACTCCCTGGGCGAGGGGACTAAAACTAAAACCTGACCTTGCCTTCCTTGATACAAAATCATCAATAATCTCGTCATAAGAAATCTGCTCCCCTATTAACCCATTAAGACCTGAACCCTGTCTGAGCTGCGCCTCTGAAATCCTGAGGGCCATTTTGAGAGGGGTCCCCAGATTTGGAGGTTTTCTTAACTGTTGAGGTTTACAAAAAAAGCTGATATCTCAGCCTCTGTTGCAGATAGAAAGAGGATTCAAAAAGTATTTGAGAGCTTACAGGTTTGGCTTTCAAGAAAGCTATTTATTATTTTTCTGAACCTTTACCACATTATTAAAAACCTTGAACAAACAAACTTAAATGAAATAAAGCCACTGTATAAATAAAAGTAAAGACTCCGCTGGAGAATAACAAACTATTTGCTTTCTGTAAAACAAGTGGCAGTCATGAAAAGGTGTCCATTCAACACAAATGTTAATATAAAAAATAAAGTGTTGAAAGGGTATGCAGCTGCCCTAGTATAGTGCCAGTACAAGACCAACACTTAAAACTAGAAAAATGAATAAATAAATGTCTGACAGTGTGTTCATGTCTGTGCTCACCCACAGTCATGAAACTGGTTGTTCACACTGCTGGATGTTTCTCCTCCAAAGCTGCTCTCTGCCTCCGTCATTGTTTACTTTACTCTTGAAGCACGTAGCAAGATTCGAGCATGAATCCGAGCGCTTCATTCGCCTATCAGAGGTAGACGAGTATGATGATTTGATTCGCCACGACTTCAGAAATGATTAAAAAACTACAGAATGTCACAAAATGACGTATCCGCGCTCCTGGCTTGAAGGGTAGAAATGCGCAGCCGCGCTCTCAACTTGGAGGGCTGATATGCGTAAATACTGTTCTGGTTTAAATGGGTTAAGTGATTGATGCTGATGAAGACAAGGCCAGTGAGCCGTTCCTGAGACATGGTTGACCTTTGGTACGATTTCATCAACTTCAGTTTTGAGAAGCTCCTCTCTGCTTGAGCCACCGTGACTGGCAGAGTGAGAGCAATCCTGAGAGCAGAGCTGTCCCCCTCTCCCCATTTCGTCTCATACAGTCTGTCAGCCTCTGTGCGGCACCTTCGCAGCAAGCAGAGGTGCCTACAGCAACAGGGGGGCGCCAATTTGACAACAGGAGTTCATACGAAACCGCTTTGCGGTGCAGATTTATTATTATTTTCTTTTTTCTTTCTTTTTTGGAAGTGCTCGTGCCGCCCCCCATGAGTCATGACACAAATGCTGTCCCGGGCGGCTGTCCGGTTCACCCCTGCCTAGAACCGCTACTGTATATGTATATATTCTTGTTGAGGTAATGTGGGAGAACTACATCAGTTATGTGTGTTGCCGGCAGCCACTCTGAGTCGCTTTTCACTTTCGGTGGTGATAGGAAGTCAAACCACTGTTGTAGTTCTTTTGTGTTGCTAGCGCGGTCAAGAGTGTTGGCTCTCACTGAGAGATGACTACAAAAATGGACGCATCTGTTCATCTGGTTGTTTAACATGGCTGAAAATGATAATCTATTAATGTTGTTCCTGCTCCTGCCCGCTCCCGTTGCTTTTTTTTCCCGTCCCGTCCCGGGATTATTTAAAAAATGACTCCCATCCCATTGGATTCCCACGGGAATCACATGACCTATGGGAATTACCGAAAAAAGTCATCCTCTACCTTAGACCCAGCAGAAAACCAGTCAAGTGAAACTAAGACTCAGCAAACACATATACAGTAAAACGAAGACTGTAAAGACAGATTAAGTGAAACCCAGACTAGGAGGTGACAGAAACATTGAAAGTCAAACTCAGCAGAACAGAGACGAATGTAATATAACCGAGACTCAGTAGGGACAAATAATTGAAAACAGAGCTTCTTTAGAGACATTTACTGTGAAACTGAAACTCTGCAAATACGTTTACTGTGAAAATGAAAGTCTTCAGAAATTGACTGTAAAACTGAAACTCTTTAAAGACATTTACCGTAAAACTAACACTCTTTAGACATTAACTATGTTACTGAGACTCTGCAGAGACATTGACTGTAAAAATGAAACTGTTTAAAGACATTTACTGTGAAACTGAAACTCTTCAGAGACATTTACTGTGAAACTGAAACTCTTTAGAGACATTGACTGTAAATCTGAAACTCTTACTGTAAAACTAAAACTCTATTGAGACATTTACTGTAAAACTGAAACTCTTTAACGACATTTACTGTAAAACTGAAACTCTTTAACGACATTTACGGTAAAACTAAAACTCTATTGAGACATTTACTGTAAAACTGAAACGCTTACTGTAAAACTGAAACTCTGCAGACATTTACTGTGAAGCTTAAACTCTTAAGAGACATTTACTGTGAAACTGAAACTCTGCAGACATTAACTGTAAAACCGAATCTCTTCAGACATTTACTGTAAAACTGAAACTCTTTCGAGACTGATGCAATGACACTGAGACTCAGTGAAGACAGGTACAGTGAAACAAAGACTGCAGAGACACATGGACAGGGGTTTTGGGAGTTGGTTTCCACTGGGGAACATCCTGGTTCTGATCTTAGCTAACAGGTCATAAAAGTGGGACCTGGTCTTCTTCAGTAAGCTAGAAGCTGCAAGAGAGTCTGTCCAGACTGGGTCCATGAAGGAGGTTCTGGTTTACCAACAATCATGAACACAGATGTGAGTGAAGACCTGTGTCTTTGCTGATGATGTTTGTCTGTTTCTCTGTATGTCAGCGAGTCTTCCTGCCAGTGAAACAGCCTCTGAAAACACCGTCAACATTGATGAGGAACACACTGACTGCTGCCAGGCCTGCTGGTAACACACACACACACACACACACACACACACACACACACACAGCTGATGTTTGTTTGATTGTTTACTTACCTCTCTGGTTTTTCAGCTCGAAGATGATGAAGATCGGCTGCTGGTGAGTTTACTGACAGTCAGAAAAACTCACTTCCTCCCCTCACAGTCCTCGCTCTGAACCCTTGTCTGTCTCCTCGCTCTCAGTCGGACGTTACGCCGGTGGAATCGAGTGTGTCGTCGAAACTGTCGCACAGCTGTCAAATCTGTGACGTTCTATTGGCTGGTTCTGCTGCTCGTCTTTCTCAACACCTCCCTCAGCGCCTCCGAGCACTACAACCAACCTGATTGGCTCACACAAGTCCAAGGTAACGCAGTAAAGTGATGACAGAGAAGTGGAAATAAGGAACGGGCTGCAGGGGCTGTGATAAAATGATGCTGGGGTGTCTCCTCTGTCTCGTAGACATCGCCAACAAGGTGCTGCTGTCCCTGTTCACGGTGGAGATGTTGTTGAAGATGTACAGTCTGGGTCTGGCTCATTACTTCGTGGCATTCTTTAACCGCTTCGACTGCTTCGTGGTGTGCGGCGGCATCATGGAAACCATCCTGGTGGAGCTGGAGATCATGCCTCCTCTGGGGATCTCTGTGCTGCGCTGTGTCCGCCTGCTCCGGATTTTCAAGGTGACACGGTGAGGAAACACACCTTAAACAGGTAACAGCTGGTTTATTGCTCCACCTCTGATTCCTCTGATGTCACTGTGTCTCTGCTCAGCCATTGGACAGCTCTGTCTAACCTGGTGGCGTCCTTGTTGAACTCCATGAAGTCCATTGCCTCCCTGCTGCTCCTGCTCTTCCTCTTCCTCATCATCTTCGCTCTGCTCGGGATGCAGCTGTTTGGAGGGAAGTTCAACTTTGACGAGACGCAGACCAAACGCAGCACCTTTGACGCCTTCCCTCAGGCACTGCTCACCTGCTTCCAGGTAAGACAGGGACAGCCTGCCAAGTGTTTAAACCACAATGGATGCTGGTCCATTCTGCCCCTTTAATGAAAGAGTCTACTGTGTGTACTGGTCCTGGTCTGGACTCTGTGTGCAGATCTTAACTGGTGAGGACTGGAACGTGGTGATGTATGACGGCATCATGGCGTACGGTGGGCCTGTGTTTCCCGGAATGATCGTCTGCGTGTACTTTGTCATCCTCTTCATCTGTGGTAACTGTATCCTTCACCACCTGGAGGTCAGAGGTCAGAGAGGAAGAAGTACTGTGATACTGCAGTAAAAGTCCTGATACCACACTGAGCGAATACTCTGCAAGAACTTACGAATACTGAAGAAAACCAGAAACCTGCAGGTGTGTTCAAGTTCTGCAGGAAAGCAGAGATCTGTGATCAGAGTTTACTGATTCTTAACGTGAGTCAGACATCCTGCTGAATGTCTTCTTGGCCATTGCTGTGGACAACCTGGCGGGAGGAGACGGAGACGACAAAAAGGAGGAGTGAGTGAAGGAGAGATTGAAAAAACACAGAAAGACAAAATAAAAACCTCAAACCCAACGGAGTTAAAGGTGGAGTAGTCAGGATCTGATGAAGTTCCAGTTTTTTGGGAGAAATCTTGTAATGTAAACTCTACCCCTCCCAACCAGTTTCCCCCTCAGCTCCTCCTCTCTGAAGCCCCGCCCACAAACAGACGCTCCTGCTCGCTCGTATCGTTCCAATTAAATTCAGATATAATGCAGATAAATACTTCAGATCATTACAAATGGGGCCCAGTCAAGATGAAAGTAAAAAGCATTGGTGCTACTGTAGATGCCAACAGACTACCAGCAAACACAATGTTTGCAGGACTTCTACAACTAGGATAAAGTGACATAGTCCAGGACCCGAGGGAGGACAGTTTAGTGGCGCTACAACACGCTACAGCAGGTCCGTTTGACAAGAAACACTTCTGTTACAGACACTTGGCTTACTTTGTTAAAGCGGTTTACCTGTCCAGCAGAAAGGTTACAGGGTCACCAAGATCCCGAAGCGTCCCCCACATAGACTGTATAGACTATGGACAACTTGGTTCCTCCATCCGCCAGTATACAGATTTGAAGCCCAAAAAATTTCTGTATTTCCAAATTTTTTCTCCATTTCCTGAAACCAACATTGCGCATTAGCGTTGTACGCATTCGGCGGGAGAGTCACTGTGATGACACTCGGCTCAAACAGCGTATCCCCCGGTGAGGTACGCAATCTTCGTATGAGAAATGAGAAACATTTGTATTCTGTGTCATTAATTTATGACCTATACTGCAGCCCGTCACCAGAGGGTGCTGTTTTCAGAGTGGCTTCACCAAGCGAGGAGGCAGATGGTGTCTGTTCCATATACAGTCCCCATCGTTTATGTTGACCCAGCTTTTTAGCTCTTGTCCGGTCTACCTCCGTTTTAAGCGCCCTTTATTCCTCCAGAGTTTCCGGCATTTACTTTGTTTTCTTGCTTGTGTCGGCAGTCGTGGCCAAAGGAGGATTCAGACAATTTTCTGAACTCTCTGGTTGGTTTCTACTGTCCGATATTGTAGCACGCTAACTTTGTTTGGGCTCCTGAACAACACGGGGGAGCAGTGTCTGCCTCACAACCAATCAGGTTGGGGAGGCGGAGAACGGCTTTGTTTACAGTCGGAAAGAGCGACACACAAACTGTTAAAATGTGACTACACCGACATAACAAAACAGCGATATTGTGATATTACCAAATGTCATCAATAACTAATAACTATTGACTAATATTGAAAGCTTTTTTGTAAATACACCACAAAAAAAGATTCTTCTTTAACAGAATCCTGCCTACCGTACCTTTAAGAGGAAGTGTTAAGAGAGTACGATCTGATCATTCAAGAATTGAGTAAAAATTTATTCAACAGTGAAAAAAACATTCAGAGGCTGAAACTGAAAATGTTTTTGTTTGATGGAAATATGAAAAGGTTCTGATAGCGGAACAAACTGTTTCCTCGGTGTGCGGACTCTTCTGGACTCAGTAAAGTGTGAAAAAAGGAGCGATGTGACTTCCCTCGTCTTTGTGGTCATTTCTGCAGGAAGAAGGCGGAGGGAGGCGAGGGAGAGGAGGCTGAAGAAGAAGGAGAAGTGAAGGTAACAAAGAGGTCAAAGTCCGGCCACTCATCCTGACAGTGAGTCCATAAGGGTGACGTTGTTTGTCTCTGCAGGTAGAGGTGGATGAAGATACTGAATACGAGGAGGAGGAGGAGCCAGTGGAAGGAGACGACGGTCAGTTAGAGCGGATTAAAATACGCCGTGATTACGAGACTCACAGGTGCATCATCGTTTACCCTCACCTCTTTTTTTCTCTTTCCTTCCTTCCTATCTCCTCCTTTTTTTTTTTTACCCCTCCTATTCAGATGGAGGAGTCCAGTTAAAGATGGCCGACCTGGCTCCTCCTAAAGAGAAGGTTCTTCCTATCCCAGAGGGCAGTGCTTTCTTCTGCCTCAGCAAAACCAACCCGTGAGTCTGAGTGCACCTGTTTAACACCTGTTTACCTTTAGCATTAGCATTAGCATTTTATTTATTTCACCTTTATTTAAATTTACCAGTCGATCTACGTGCCGATCCTCACCTATGGTAATGAACTTTGGGTAATGACCAGTGAACAAGATTGCGGATACAAGCAGCCAAAATGGGTTTCCTCTGCGGGGTGGCCGGGCTCAGCCTTAGAGATAGGGTAAGGAGCTCGGACACTCGGGAGGCGCTCAGAGTAGAACCGCTGCTCCTCCATGTTGAGAGGAGTCAGCTGAGGTGGCTCAGGAATCTGGTTAGGATGCCTTCTGGACGCCTCCCGTTAGAGGTGTTCCAGACATGTCCCACCGGGAGGAGACCTTGTGACAGGCCCAGGACCAGGTGGAGGGATTATATCTCTCGCGTGGCCAAGCCTGGCCAAGAATAGCAGCAAAGCAGTTTCAAAACAAAAAACAAACACACTCAGACTCACACAGCTCAACATCAGCAACAAGTACAGTCAAAATAAAACGCCAGCTAAAGCAGTGGCATACAGACAGTTTTCACCACAGGATTTTAAAACACTCAGAGACACTTGATTATGTAATATAAATTCAATCTGCAGGTTATTTCACACAAAAGGAGCAGAAAACCTAAAGGCCTTCTGTCCCAGCTCTTCGGGAACAGCAAACTGCACAAAGTCAAGCAAATGCAAATGATGTAATCCTTACTTTATGATGAGCAAGGAGGAAAGGTAGTCTGGAGGGTTGCCTAGAACAGCTTTCTAGATAAAGACATACCAATGTCCAATGAGGCGATGTATTCTTAGAGAATATATCAAAGAGGTTCATTTGGCTTACGTATGAATATTGATCTCAATTTTTTCCTTTTTTAAAGCCTGTAAGGTGAAGTGTTGTACCTGACAAGTTCCGGCTACTTTGCCTCTGCAGCCTTCATCAGAGGTGTCACGTGATGGTAGTGTGACGTCTTCAGTGGTGCGTTATATGAGTTTTTTCAGACAAAAAACGCGGAGCGGATTGTAAGCAAAGCAAGAAATGCCTTGGTGAGAGAAAGAATTCGTTGCACGGAAAATAAGATCAACAACATCAAAGGGCAATTGTCTGAGAAAAGGAGGGGATTTAAACAACGTTTCCCCCTGGACGCGGAAATCGAGTGGATTATGAATGAACACCTACAACGTGAGCACGAGAAGGAATTCGAAAAAGCAAAAAGCCGTCACATCAGAAAACTTGAGAGGCTAACCACAGTAAAAAAGGAGGAAGAACACAGCAACAAAAGAAAGAAATGGGTATGCAACCTTTCACAATGCAAACTAACAGAAGTAGAAAGCAGTGTGTTAGCTTGCGGTCTAAATTTTGCCACAACGCCAATTAACATACCGTACAAAGATTTCATTGTAGCAACAGAGTTAGCGTGTCAAAAAATAGCAAACCAAGGCGACAAATCCGATTTACGCAACGAGATAGCGGGAATACTGAAATCTGCCAAAATAACTCACAAGAACACCAGTAGTAAAGAATGGACGGCTATACAATCAATAGCTAAAGACAAAACTATCACAGTGTTGCCTGCAGATAAAGAGAGAACGACAGTTATTATGGACACAAAACAATACGAAAACCAAATGATAGCCATGCTGGAGGATAAAGACACATATGAAGTACTGAAAAAGGACCCTACAGAGGAAAATAAGAAAAAACTGAAGACTTTACTTAAACCATTAGTAGACGAGGGAAAAATAGACAAGGATAACTACAATTTCTTAGTACCCACAGCCAGTATCACCCCCAGAATATATGGCACCCCAAAAATACACAAAAAAGACGTTCCGCTCCGCCCCATTGTTGACAGCATAGGATCTGTTACATACAATCTTTTGAAAGCCCTGGTTGAGATAAAAAACCTCTCCTAGGCCGGACAAAGCAACACTGTAAGAACTACAGTGTTCTTAGAGAAGTCCAGCTGACCTTTGAGTCTAAGTCACAGTGGTGAGTAAGAAGTCTACAGTTGGTGATAAATCTCAGAGTTCCATGGTAAACACTGTCCAACATCTGTAGACTCTGAGCAGAAGCATTCATGGACAGTAAATCCAGACCATAATCCAGAACAGGTCAAAATGTTAACTCAACAAGTCTCTTTTTAACCATAAAAGAGAAACAAGACTTGTTTCTGTAGAAAAACCAAGTAAAACCTTTTTGGTAACATACTCTTTTCATCAAGCAAAAACCCCAGATATTTAAAGGTGGAAACCAGTTCAATTTCCTGACTATCCTTAGTAACAATTTTCCCAGGCAAGATTATTTTAGCCACTCTAGATGATGTGAAGAACATGAGTTCAGTTTAGTCTGCATTTAGAACAAGCTGCAGCTGGCTGACCTGGGATTCCCACCGCATCCGGAACAGCAGCAATTTTCGCCCTACACCAAATCCTGGATCTGTTTGTGAGACAAATTCTGTGGCAAATACGGACAGTGGAAAATTGCGAGAACTCAAGAGAACCCATGGATTCACATGCAATCGGGTGAAAACGAGTTGTCTTAAGCCACAGAGGCCAACAATATAAGCAGTAGATTGTGTCCTTCCAGAGGAGGAAATCTACTTCTAGACGTCGAGAATCAGCATCTCCTTAACCATGGTGTCATCAGGGTGAAATGACATCTAAAAACCTTTCACTTGTTTGTCTCCGCCCCTTTGCATGGTGCGAAATACGATCCGCCTGAGACACAGAGTGTTTTATTTTGAAAAGAAATCGGTTTTACTTTGTGACTTCCTTTCCAGCACGGGCTAATCTGTGCTGAATTTATCCGGCATGCTACGGCGTCCGTTAAAAATCAAACTCTTGCGATCAGCTGCGGAGCGATCCGCAGAGGAATGGAAAGAAGCAGGTGGAAACATGTTGACATGTTAACTTGAATGGTTATGATCAGCTACGATCGGCGGATCCGGCCTTTTCATAGACATTCAGGATGGGGTAGAAATTGCCAGTAAACTGATCCTGAACTAAATCCAACGCATGCAGAAGATTTGTAAAGGCTTGTGCAGGTGAAGGTGCGCAGCTGTAGATTACCGTATTATCAGCATAGAAATGAAGCGATGAATTGGGAACATTTTGTCCAATCACATTTATATACAATGTAAACAACAGGGGGCCCAATACAGACCCTTGAGGCACCCCTTCTCACAGAGGTAACACCACCTAATTAAACAGCCTGAGTTCTGTCAGTCAGATAGTTGGAAACCCGACCAACAGCTTGTTCCGAGAACCCAGTAGCTCTGCGACGGCGTTAGCATTAGCATTAGCATTGCAGATTGAGGGTCTCTTTAACCTCCTGACTCGATGACTCGGCTTTCACTGACGTGCTCTGGTCAGTCTGTGAGGATGTTTTTTTTAGGGCTGATGACACTCGATCTCCTTCTCTGCCTCCTCCAGGATCCGTGTGGCCTGTCACACTCTGATCCACCACCACATCTTCACCAACCTCATCCTTGTCTTCATCATCCTCAGCAGCTGCTCACTGGCTGCCGAGGATCCAATCAGAGCCCACTCCTTCAGGAACAATGTGAGTAAATGTGGGGTCCTGTTCCAAACTCTGAGACAATAAGATTTAGACTGGGTTCAGAGATATTATCATGACGACCCCGTTAGTGATTGTGATAATGTTGTACCTACACCTCTGCAGTTTGAGTGGGCGGGGGGCAGGGCTTGAAAAGATTACACAGCAGAAGTGGGTCAGTGACTAACCCGGTTAGAGAGGAAACACACAGAGAGAGCAGATCACCAGTTTACTGTCTGATCCTGACACACCGCACACACACACACACACACACACACACACACACACACACACACACACACACACACACACACACACACACACACACACACACACACACACTGTGCAGCAGCTGTCTTCATGCAAGACGTAGCAATTAGCAGCAGCTGGAGAAAGACATCACTTCTAATATGCAATCATTGCACACACACACAAACAACTACACACACACCACAAACAAACAACAACATACACATTCCAAAATACACACACAAACAACCACACACATCACAAAAATACACACACAAACCACACACAACAAAAACACATACACAAACAACTACACACAACAAAAACCCAAACACACCAAAAGGACACACCACAAAAACACACACACAAACACACGCCACAAACACACACACAAAACTACACACAAACCACACACTCACACACAAACAACTACATACACCACAAAAACACACACACAAACACACAAACAACTACACACAACAAAAACCCAAACACACCAAAGGACACACCACAAAAACACACACACAAACACACGCCACAAACACACACACATACACACACAAAACTACACACAAACCACACACTCACACACAAACAACTACATACACCACAAAAACACACACACAAACACACAAACAACTACACACATCACAACCCCCCCACACACACAATCAACTACAAACACAACAAAAAACACACACACACAAACACACAAACAACTAGAATTTTGTTGCGTTGTTTGTTTGTTTCGTGTTGTTTGTCAGCATCATGTTGTTTGTTGGTATTGTGTTGTTTGTTTGTGTGGTGTTGTTTGTTGGTGTTGTGTTGTTTGTTTTTGTTGTGTTGTTTGTTTGTGTCGTGTTTTGTTTGCTTGTGTCGTGTTGTTTGCACTCTTCTGTTTTTTGTTGTGTAGATTCTGGGTTATGCCGACTACGCCTTCACCTCCATCTTCACTGTGGAGATTCTGCTGAAGGTAAAAACAACCACCAACTCAGAAACTAGAATTTAGGATTTCACCTCTTTTTTCCTCCTAGTTAAATGTTTACGCTCTCTCTCTCTCTCTCTCTCTCTCTCTCTCTCTCTCTCTCTCTCTCTCTCTCTCTCTCTCTCTCTCTCTCAGATGACGGTCCACGGGGCGTTCCTCCATCAGGGCTCTTTCTGCAGAAACTGGTTCAACTTGTTGGATCTGCTGGTGGTCAGCGTGTCTCTGGTCTCCTTCTTCCTCCAGTCAGTATCTGAACTGTTAGCGAACATTTGCATTAATGCTAACTTAAACAAAAGGAAAATTAAAGGACTTCGGCATTAGTTTAACGACTGAGGAAATTCTGAGGTGAAAAATGGCGACAAAGTAATGTTAGTAATCTAATCTCATAAATTTATTTCCAGGAGAGTAAAATCCTGAATGTGCACTCTGATTATCACAGATTACAATCCTCATTCTTTAGTTACTGAAAACGACACGAAGCAAAAAGAGATTATAATCTCTGAAGACTGTGATGGAGTCACTAAAAATAATCCTTTGAAGCATTTATCCACATGTTGAAAGAAGCTCAAGTTAGCGTTAGTGATGGGGTGAACTGTTCTTTTGACTGAATCTTTAGCAGTCAGTGCTTCGGAGCCCCATCCTGCCGGTGCAGTACACAAGTGAGTGACACAGCGGCGAGTTCGTTCATTGACCAAGCCCCTCCCCTCCCCTGCTGCTGTAGTCACAGCGTCGTTCACTGGGTGACACATGTCGTTCATTTGCCAAGTCCTGAAGAAAGAATCACTCCCCTGCCCTGAAAAACGTACCTCTCTGTATGTCGCTGTCCGTCGGCGGAAACAACACAGCAGCAAGCAGCATGCCCGCTAAATGAGCGCGAGTGGAGAGATTACAAATAACTAAACATGGCAGCTGTAGCAGGGATTCTAATACTTTTAAAGATATCAAATATCGTATTTCTTTAAATTGGCTGAAATTAAATCCTTCTTATAGGAAAGTTTATACACGTGTATCAATGGAAAAGCGCTATAATGACCTGTTTTATCTTAGCCTCAGTCAACGAACAGCTGCTCAGCAGTTGGTGAACAGCGCTACACCCCTCCCTCCTCCGCCCACCTATTGATCATCTTATCAGGTGCATTTATTAATGTCTGGCTGCAGTTCCTGGATGTTAAGAGGTAATTGTATTGAATATAAAGTCTCATGTGTGTCTCAAAGGGACCGTGAGTGATCTGAACATCTGGATGCTTTCATGTAGTAAGAATAGCTGACTGACCCTGTGTGTGTGTGTGTGTGTGTGTGTGTGTGTGTGTGTGTGTGTGTGTGTGTGTGTGTGTGTGTGTAGTTCGAGTGCAATCTCAGTGGTGAAGATTCTCCGAGTCCTTCGAGTGCTTCGACCTCTGAGAGCCATCAACAGAGCCAAAGGACTCAAGGTAACAGCACACTGAGAGCACCTGTGAGTGAGCTGCGTTCTCATTGGTCAGCTGCTTATTCATTTTACAGTAGAATAAACAGGTGTGTGTGTGTTTCAGCATGTGGTCCAGTGTGTGTTCGTGGCCATCAGGACCATCGGGAACATCATGATCGTCACGACTCTGCTTCAGTTCATGTTCGCCTGCATCGGTGTGCAGCTGTTCAAGGTGAGACTCTGGTGAAGGTACTCGCCATTGTGTGTCCTTAGCTCTCTGTAGACCTTAGTGAACCCAGCAGACCAGGTTCTGGAGTCTGACACTCAGTGTGTTTACATGCACAGCTTAATAGGACTAAGCTCGTCATTTTCTTCCGCCTAATCCGGGTCCGGGTCACGCTGGGCAGCAGCTGCAGGAGGGAAGCCCAGACAACCCTCACCACAGCCACTTCCACCAACTCCTCCTGGAGGGATTCCCAGGCGCTCCCAGGCCAGGCGAGAGATATAATCCCTCCACCTGGTCCTGGGCCGGCCACAAGGTCTCCTCCCGGTGGGACATGTCCAGAACACCACTAATGGGAGGCGTCCAGAAGGCATCCTAACCAGATGCCCGAGCCACCTCAGCTGACTCCTCTCGACGTGGAGGAGCAGCGGTTCTACTCTGAGCACCTCCAAGTGTCCAAGGTTCTTACCCTACCTCTAAGGCTGAGCCTGGCCACCCTGCGAAGGAAAGCCTTGTATCCAGGATCTCGTTCTTTCGGTCATTACCCAAAGTTCATGACCATAGGTAAGGCTCGGCATGTAGCTCGACCGGTAAATCGAGAGTCTCGCCTTACGGCTCAGCTCTTTCTTCACCACGACAGATCGGTTGAGTGTCCACATCATTGCTGACGCCGCTCCGATCCACCTGTCAATCTCCTGCACCATCCTACCCTCTCTCCTAAACAAGATACCGAGATACCACCTGAGGCAGGACCTCCCCTTTGACCCGGAGAAGGCAATCTACCTTTTTCTGGACTAAGCTCATAATTCATTTTTTTTCTCTGAATCAGACTTCTCTCCTTGTCCTCGTATACATGCAGCTGAGAAAACCCAATTATTGACGTGAACGTGTCCTCCTCCCCAAAACTAGGGGACGATATGGGTCTTTTCAGCGACCCCATAAAACCATCAACAACAACAGCAGGTCTGTGCCAGACGTCAGAAGTGTCTACAACTGCTGCTGGGCATTTTGGAGAAACAAGAAGATGGAGCATCGTACAGCGTTGTTTTTGTCCGACATGATGGACGCACTACTTTTTCTGCAGATGAGACGCATGCGACTCCTCTTCTCTGGTGTTTTTGTTCCAGGTTTACAGGGGCGCGGCGTAAGTGCGCATGCATTGTCCGATCATACTTCAACTACGCTGGCTACATGGTAGAGAAAATCGAATCCCAATCTTATTATCTGGATGTCTTAATAGGAGTTCTCCAACTGTAACCGGAGTTCTCAAACTCCGATTACCATCTGACTAAGGTCATCACATGCACTTCAGTTGTCAGAGATGCTGGATTTGGCCTTGACCAAGCTGGGTGGTCCCTCTACTCTTTAGAGAGGAGGATGCAGGGTCCAGGATTTCCAGTTCTTCATTGAAAGGACAACTGAGGTTCTGGACTTACTTTCGCCTAGTTAAAACATCTCAAGTAAGTCCAGTTGTCCTTTCCAATAAGAATGACAGATTTTGATTCATCAGGATCCTGGTTCTATCTGGTTTCCTCTCTCTGGTTAGATGTTCCTGGTAGCAAATTTTTTTTTCGTTGGATGGTAGGAGAAGGTCCCGCCCTCCTTTGCCTCTGATTGGCTGGAAGTTCTAGGCTCAGATTGGCTTATGTCTGTGAAACGTCATTGTCTGTCTGGTTAGGAGATTCAGAATTGCGATAATGTTCTGTAATGTTCTGTTCGATGTACAGAGCCGACAGCCCGCTTCCTGGTACCACGTATGAAATGACTTCCTGTCTCATGTCCACCCTGGTTCACTAACTTCCTGTTTCCGTGTTTATGTTTCAGGGTAAATTTTACCGCTGCACAGACGAAGCCAAACATACTCCTGAGCAGTGCAAGTGAGTCTGAAAGTCTCTGAAACTCTGAGGAAGAGCTTTGCTCGACAAACGGAGACTTGACACCAGCTTGTGTGTGTGTGTGTGTGTGTGTGTGTTTAGGGGGACATTTGTGGTTTATAAAGACGGAGATGTGAACCACCCGATGGTCAGAGAGAGGATCTGGCAGAACAGCGACTTTAACTTTGACAACGTGCTGATGGGGATGATGGCACTCTTCACTGTCTCCACCTTCGAGGGCTGGCCAGCGTGAGTTTTTGAATTTGAATTTACTCTATCAAAAGTTGTAGGGACGCTGTGAGCACTCACCACTTCAACCCCTGTGTGTCCAGGCTGCTGTACAAAGCCATTGACGCCAACGGGGAGAACTCAGGTCCTATCTACAACTACCGGGTGGAGATCTCCATCTTCTTCATCGTCTACATCATCATCATAGCCTTCTTCATGATGAACATCTTTGTGGGTTTTGTCATCATTACCTTCAGAGAGCAGGGAGAGCAGGAGTACAAGAACTGTGAGCTGGACAAGAACCAGGTAACAACTGCACCAGGATCATCTTGAAATTTCAAATGGCTGGGAAGAATATTCATGCCGATTTTCACACTTGTATCACCAACTGAACGATTCTGATTCTGTGTGTGCAGCGTCAGTGTGTGGAGTACGCCCTGAAGGCCCAGCCCCTCAAGCTTTACATTCCAAAGAATCCGGTCCAGTACAAGTTCTGGTCCATCATCAACTCGACAGGGTTCGAGTACGTTATGTTTGTCCTGATCCTGCTCAATACGGTGACCCTGGCTATTCAGGTGAAAATCTGACTGTTTTTTTCCTGCCTGTTTGAAGGTTTTTTTGAGATTTTTTGCAGGACTCATGCTGTTGTGTGTTTTGGTTGTGCAGCACTATGAACAGTCAAAGACCTTCAGTTACTGCATGGACATCCTGAACATGGTGTTCACCGGACTCTTCACCGCGGAGATGCTGCTCAAGCTGCTGGCGCTCAGGCTGCGGGTGAGAACACACAGACATGACCAAGTCTCCCGGCTAGAAGAGACTGATTTAAACGAACCCAGGACAGTCAAAGTCAGGCAGCGAGGCCCAGGAGGGGGAACTGTGCTGGATGATGGAACAACTGTGTTTTTGTAAAGTTTGAGTTTATCTATAAAAACAAAAACTTATAAACTCACAAAAAAAACCCCACACACCTGGAGCCTCGGCTCTGAGCACATCAAGCAAAAGGCTCCACCTGCTGTTCTTTGTAGGTATAACAGGCGAATGATACACAACTCTGTGTGTGTTTATCAAAGATTTAACCTCCAATCAAAGATTAGTCATTTCTATGAAAAAACAAGGTGACAGGTTCTGTAGATTTTTACCGCATCTAGAACGTCTATGAAAAGGCTGTATCCTCTGATCATAGCTGATCGTAACCATTTATGTTAATGTGTCAATTTCCACATTTTTTTTCCGTTCCTCTGTGGCTCGCCGGACTCCACAGCTGATACCAAGAGTTCTATTTTTTCTCAGACGCCGGAGCATGCCAGATAAACATGTTAAATCAAAATTAGCAAAATCAATTGGCATAATTCACAAGGTAAAGGATTTATTGAACCAGTATGCCTTATCTATTTTGTATTGCTCAATTGTAGTCCCATATATCACCTACGGCCTGGAAATATGGGGAAATGCATACCCTACCCATACGCAACCTATCTTCATCTTGCAAAAAAAAGCAGTACGAATTATCACCAATTCAACTTACAGAGAACCATCAAATAAATTATTCATTAAACTAAGAGCATTAAAATTTAAGGACCTGGTGGACTACAAAATAGCACAGACCATGTACAAAGTACATAATTCATTGCCGTGTAAAATTGTCAATATGTTTAAAAAAAGGGAATGTAGGTATGAGCTCCGTGGGACACATTTGATGGAAAAAATGAAAACTAGAACCAAGACCAAAGAACAGTGTACTTCAGTTAAAGGTGTGAATTTATGGAATGCCCTTGACGATGAATTAAAAACGTGTCAGACTATTCACAAATTCAAATCGTTGTTTAAAAGCAAGGTGATCGAAAATTATAGAAATAATGATTGAGGTTATGGATTAATTTATATTCTGGATTTAATTTGATTATTATTATTTTTATTTTTTCTTTCTTCTGAGTCATCTTTTATTCTTTGTTTTGTTGATGTGTTTTGTTTTTGTTTTCTAGCTAACGTGTGGAGTAAGATGTTTTGAATATTTTGATTTAGTAAGAAGGATAGGCGTTAATAAGCTTTTGCTTCAGCCTATGCCTTTTCGGTCTGGTTTTCTTTTTCTTTTCTTGTAATTTACTGTATATATTGAATGGATATGACCAGATCGAAATAAACTTCAAAACTTCAAACTTCAAACTTCAAACTTCAATTCAGCACAGATTAAACCATGCTGGAAAGGAATTTGGGCACAAAATAAAACAACCGGCTTCTTTTCAAAATATAACACTCCGTGTTTCAGACGGAGATGAACAAGTGAAAGGTTTTAAGACGTCATTTCACCCCGATGACACCATGGATGATGAGATGCTGATTCTAGAAGTCTAGAAGTAGATTTCCTCCTCTGGAAGGACACAATCTACTGCTTAAACTGTAGGAGCTAAGTCAAAACTTTAAGCTACTGAGATGCTTGACCTGGAGTAACCTGGTTGACGCGCTGCGCTACTGAGTTGACTGTGAGTTGTGATGATCAGTGAGAGTCTGTATGCTGTTCCTTAGAATAAGCAAACAAAAAATTTATTGCGATGAACAACCAAATCCATTTTGCGATTAATATCCAACACTGAACAAATAAGAAATACGCTGGCAGGTAGCGGCGCCACAACGCTTCGCCCTTCTGGGTCAAACACCCGCCCACAACAGTGACATGGCTCTCTTTATACCTGAGCCCCCAGATAACAAGACAGCAACACCCAATGCACACAAAGTGAACTGCAACTCCTATTAAAAAAATATACTCATACATATTTGGCTCCTACATATTTGCTTATGTGTCTGTCTTTATAGAGACAACTTGTTATCGCGAAATTGCACATGAATCCGCAGGTTATTGTGAGCTCTCGTGATTACTGCTGTCTGTAATCTGCCACGAAATTTGCCTCACCAACCGATCCGGTAGGAATTAGCCGACGGCGAAAGTCGTCGCTGATCCGAATGAGGTGAAAATTGGGGGTTAGTGGACCCAGCAGACCAGGTTCTGGAGTCTGACAGTCAAATGTTGTACTGTTATGGCCTGAGAGAGGATTTCAGGGTCTCCTTGGTCCTGTTTTTGGGGTCATGCTCCAAATGTTTTCAAATCAGGACCGCATCAGTCCAGTTCCTCAGCAGGACTCTTCTCCTACAGAGCCATGCTGTTGTCAGGGTGGGGTTTTTAATATTTTACACAAAACAAAGTAAAACCACATTTTTCCTCCAGTGCAGTTTTTTTTCTGTCTTCCTGTTTGGACTCATTGTGTCCGAGGGGACTGAAACTGCAGGTGGACTTGACCAAACCCGTACCTTCAATTGTTTTGAAGTCTGCGTTAACCTTCTGTCTGTCCCTGTCTTCGCAGCATTACTTCATCGATGCCTGGAACTCGTTTGATGCGCTCATCGTGGTTGGCAGCGTCGTGGACATCGTGGTCACAGAGTTTAGTGTGAGTATTTGTATGTTCAGCATGCTGCCCCCTGCTGTCGCTGGGAGGAACCACAGTTCTAGTTCCCTTTTTAACACTTCTGGTCCCTGTCTGATCCTCTCAGAGTGGGGAGGACAGCTCTCGGGTGTCCATCACTTTCTTCCGTCTTTTTCGAGTCATGCGATTGGTCAAGCTGCTGAGTAAAGGAGAGGGGATCCGAACACTGCTGTGGACCTTCATTAAATCACTGCAGGTTAGTGGGTGGGGCTTAAACAAAGGGGAGGAGCTTATCAAAGAGCGATGTAACACCCCTCCTCTCTCTCCAGGCTCTCCCGTATGTCGCTTTGCTCATCGCCATGATCTTCTTCATCTACGCTGTCATCGGCATGCAGGTGAGGTAGTCCTGCAGGGGGCACTCTGGTCAGAACTAGAGTAAGGATCCAAAACCTGAACCAGAACCAAACAGTCTGACTCTAAAATATCCTGTTCAGTAGAGCTTTAGACCTGATGATGATGATGAAGAAGAAGAAGCGATTGTCTCTCATGGAGCCAGTTCGTGGTGATTGACGTAAACTGAGTTTCGACTGAAGAGGAGCTGCTGCTTCTAAAGGTCTTTTCTCTGGTTTTCTCTGTCAGACATTCGGGAAGATTGCGATGCAGGATCACACTCAGATCAACAGGAACAACAACTTCCAGACGTTTCCTCAGGCGGTCCTCCTCCTCTTCAGGTCAGATCGTTACTCCTCTTTCCTTTTTTTCTGATCTGAAGTATTTGTTGACGGTCTCATGTAGGCTGCTGGTTTCTTCCTTTGAGGCCTGGGTGGTCAGTCTGGGATGGTCGTATAGGGGGTCTTTGCTGCTTCCCCCGACCTTGGCTTTACTCACATTAAACAGAGGGGTAAATCCGACTGAAATAAGTTCTCGATGTAAGTCTGATTTTCACTGCATCCAGAACATATAAGCAGTAGATTGTGTCCTTCCAGAGGAGGAAATCTACTTCTAGACTTCTAGAATCAGCATCTCCTCATCCATGGTGTCATCGGGGTAAAATGACGTCTAAAAACCTTTTACTTGTTCGTCTCCGCCCATTTGCATGGTGTGAAATACGATCCGTCTGAAACACGGAGTGTTTTATTTTGAAAAGAAGACGGATATTTTATTTTTTGTCTGTGCCCGACTTCCTTTCCAGCACGGGTTAATCTGTGCTGAATTTATCCAGCATGCTCCGGTGTCCGTAAAAAATAGAACTCTTGCAATCTGCTGCAGAGTCTAGCGATCCGCAGTGGAACAGAAACAAGATGGTGGAAATTGACACATTAACTTGAATGGTTACGATCAGCGGATACGGCCTTTTCGTAGCTGTTCAGGATGCGGTGGAATTTGGGGATGAGAGCAGATCCAGTGTTGTTCGATTCGGTGACAAGACTCCACTTCTTCAGTTTTCCTCGAACTAACACACCTGACAGAAGCTGCAGAGTGGTATCAAATATATGGGTTTGGTTTGTCTTTATATGCAGGTGTGCCACAGGTGAGGCATGGCAGGAGATCATGTTAGCAAGTCTTCCAGGTAAACGCTGCGACCCTGAGTCCGACTGTGAACCAGGAGAAGAGTTCAGCTGTGGGAGTAACTTCGCCATTGTTTACTTCATCAGCTTCTTCATGCTGTGTGCTTTCCTGGTCAGAAAAACACACACGGGCGCAGACTTACATCATTCACGCCGTCATTATGTTTACGCTCCGTTTTTGCCTCCTCAGATCATCAACTTGTTCGTTGCCGTCATCATGGACAACTTTGACTATCTGACACGTGATTGGTCAATTCTGGGACCCCATCATTTGGACGAGTTTAAGAGGATCTGGTCGGAATACGATCCAGAGGCCAAGTATGTTTGACCACATTGTCTCGATCAGTTTGTGGTTAGCCTAGCTTTGCATTAAACCATTTTATTCTCTTTTTAGACATTTTGGCTCAGCGTTCCCTGTTTCTGTCTGAGTTGTAGTAAAGCAGTACCTTAATGTTGCCTATTTCAGGGGTCGCATTAAACATCTGGATGTGGTGGCTCTGCTCCGGAGGATTCAGCCTCCTCTGGGTTTTGGGAAACTCTGTCCCCACAGAGTGGCCTGTAAGGTAAAATACATAAATCAAACCATTTACCAGGAATTTAAAGACATCTGGTTAGTTTTGGGATGTAGGTCTGAGAGGCTTTTTGGTCAGTGTAGACACCATGAATGGGCCCACCTGTATCAAATGTCTCAAGGTTCTCCTGGGTGACCCTCAATCACCAAGTTAAAAATAACAAAAAACGATGCCATCTACAGACCAGGACTGGGCGATTTGGCAAAAAAAATTACCATGATATATTTTGTCAAACTGCCAGTTTTATAGCATCTGCACTAAAAACTAAAGAAACTAGAGATTAGTTCAACATTTTATTCACATACATCGTAAATAACAAAGCAAATTAAATAAGATAAACATGAAAAATATATAAAAAAACATTTTTACTCAACAATACAACAAATATAGATAAATATTAAATGACACAGTGAGCTAGTTTACAGTCCTGAGTGTCTCTGCAGGTTAAAAATCTCCCCCTCAGGGATAATGAAGACGCTTTAAATTGTAAACATCAGATGATGTAAATGTAGGTGATAAGGTTGATTGCTTTGGTCTGATGTCTGCACCACTAGTTGTAGCTAAACTGCTTATGTTACTTGTGCTGTGGCAGTGACAGGCTGTACAGACACCCTGCCCACATTTTCATGTTTTCCTCATAATCACTCCGGAAGAACTTTCTCAAATAATTAAAGGTGACCTGCCATAAAAATGTAATTTTTGTGTGTTTTTGTGTCATATAAGGTCCATATTATGTTCGTCTTATGTTGTAAATGTGAAAACAAACCGTTAAGTCGTTTGCATTCTGTAAAGGTTTAAAATAAAGGAACGGGTAAACCAGGCCAATTGAAAAAGCAGGTCCTTTTGACGTCACGCTGACCTTGCTCATTGTTATTCACGAGCGCGTCCTCAGCGAGACCCAGCTACCACTGTATCCGCTATGGATCTCTTCCAAACGACCAAGTTCAAGTTCAAGTTCAAGTTCAAGTTTCTTTAATCGCCACACGGCTAGGCCGGTGGAATTTTTCACAGTGCAGGTGGTAGCTGCGACAATACACCAGATATTAAACAGACATTGCACAGTTTACAGTGACATGACATGACATAACATGTGAAACGGGGTAACATGGGACATATAACATAAAACATAAAACACAGACTTCACACACGTGGACCATACGAGTTGAGCAGTCGTATGGCAAGGGGGAAGAAGGAGTTATTGTAGCGCTTTGTTGAACCACCCAGAGATCCAAACCTTCTACCTGAGGGGAGGAGCCGGAAAAGTTGGTGAGCTGGGTGTGGTGGGTCATCAATTATTTTGTATGCCCTTGTGATGGTGTGGTGTTTGTGGATTGAGTCCAGTGTGGGGAGTTCACAGTTAATGATTTGACCGGTGTTTCCTTGGGTTCACTGCCGTGAAAATGAACAGAATGAATGAGAAAACACCGCTGGAGATCTCCGGCTTCTTCTTCAACTTCCACCTCCTCTTCTGACTCGGGGTCTAAAACATATGGTTTAATATATGTCTATGTCTATGTCTATTATGTCTATTAATATATGTTTAATATATGTTATATGTCCCCGATTTAAGCGTTTCATGAATGAGAGCAAAAATGTTGCGTGTGGGCTCGAACAACGGTTATTACAGTAGCCGAATAGGTAGGAAGCACAAGTAAGCAGTACTGAACAACAGTTCTTACAGGGGTTATTACAAGGGGCATGCGCTGCTACTAAATAGTACCGAGACTTTGTCTGTGATCACACAGCCCCTGCAGCCCCTGCACCCTCCCCGCAGCCGCCGCCGCCGCCGCCGCCGCACTGAATATCCCCGGATATCATTACAGACATCTGGGCACCTTACTTTAGCACACATTAGCAAAATGGATAAACCGAAATCTGAACCTCCACTGCTGAGCCAATCAGAGCACGGCAGGCTTCACAGCTGCGATCCAATCAGAGCAAAGCTCATTACCATAAATGCTAATGAGCCAAAATCAGTTGGTTTTCCTGTAAGGTTTTTTAGGCAAACTAAAACAAACCATCAAATAACTTTTCAGCTAAAATTATGTTGCAAACATGATCAGAGGACATCAAGGATTATGAAAAAATGATAAAAATGGGTATGAAATTTGAAGATACCAGAACCACCGCCACACAACCGACATTGAATAACTTTTCTTCTCAACAATAACATCTTCAGAGGAAGACTCAAAGTCATGGCTGACATCTATTTTGCTGCCCTCTGCTCCACGTTTAGCTCCACCTTTGGTCGTTCTGTTTACTTCCTGTTTACTTCTCCGGCAACTTACAGAAGTAAGCAGGAAAAGCTTGACTCTGATTGGCTGTTGTCACGCACATTTCCACCATGTTTGATCGAGTAAATATGCTCACAGCTGATCACCGTGATCGAACTAATATTCATCACCATCATTAATCGCTCATTCCTACTCCAGACGCAGTCAGACAATTACGTTTTTGTGTTGGTGTGTGATCAGGTTGTTTTTACCTGTCTGTTTGGCCAATCAGAAACTAGTATTGGACCTGCGAGGTGATTGATATGAAGGCAGGGTAATGATCAGTGATCATCCATCTGGAGTCCCACAGGGATCTGATCTGGGTCCTCTTGTGTTCACGATGGCTGTAACAGAAATGCTTTAGTAGATTACCAATAAAGTTGACGCAGAGAGGTGATAACATCTGAGAAATCGAGAGTATACCGATCTGATGGTCAGGGTGTGCAGCTAGCCCCGAGCATTATGATCCGACTTGTTTCTGTGGAAACAGGAAATGAAGGAGGTCAGATGGGCTGGTGAACTTTGCACAACTAATCCTCACACTGCTTCTCCTCCTCATCCTCTCCATCAGCGTCTGGTAGCGATGAACATGCCTCTGAACGCTGACGGGATGGTGACCTTTAACGCCACGCTCTTCGCCCTGGTCCGCACCGCCCTCAAGATCAAAACTGAAGGTATCTGATTGGCTGACGCATGCTGATGTCACAGTGTTAACGATAATGTCAGACTGATGCGAGACAGCTGTTTGCTCTGTTGCTCTGACTCTTTAGCAAATCCAAACATTTCACTGACAATAAGTCCCATACTTACATATGACCCACCCATTTCGTGCTGTTGCTAGGTAACCCTGAGCAGGAGAACGAGGAGCTGAGGGCAATCATCAAGAAGATCTGGAAGAGAATGAAACCAAAACTGCTGGATGAAGTAATACCACCTCATGAAGGTACTACTACTACTACTAATACTACAAAATACTCTAACACACGTATACTTACACACCTGTCTCACCTGTCTGTGTTTGTGCAGAGGAGGAGGTGACAGTGGGGAAGTTTTACGCCACTTTCCTGATTCAGGATTATTTTAGAAAGTTCAGAAAGAGGAAAGAAGTCGGAGACATAACAGGAGAGGCCAACGCCACCAATCCGTCAGCTGTACAGGTCTGTTAACATGTCTGTTTACCTGTCCCTCTGTTGACCTGTCTGATTACCTGTCTGTCTGTTAACATGTCTGTTTACCTGTCCCTCTGTTGACCTGTCTGTTTATCTGTCTGTCTGTTAACATGCCTGTTTACCTGTCTGTTTACCCATCCATTCTTTTCACTGCCCCATGTTTACAAGTGTAAATGTACACCTGATTGTTCACCTGTCAGTCTTTGTGCGCGTGTGTGTGCGTGTGTGTGTGTGTGTGTGCGCGCGCACACTCTCAGCTGTGTAAAGCAGGTCTAAAGACTCTGCAGGATCTGGGTCCTGAGATGCGTCTGGCCCTGAATGAGGACCTGGAGGAGGAGGAAGAGGCCATGATGGAGGAGGAGGGGCTGGAGGATAACTCAGGCTATAAGGTTGGTATTAAAGATGGCGGTGGAATGGTTACATAAAGGGTTAATTAATGGACCATTCTGGGCTGGAGTCTCTGTTAGGAGCATCAGGAATCTGCAGTTTTCTGGTTTAACTGGAGTTTCCTTTAGGGGGAAAACGGTTATGGACCCGAGAAAGATCGACGCAGCTCTTTACTGACGCCCACAGGTAAACACCCTGTGACATCATCCTGTTTCTATAGTAACATACAGCAGGTTTTGTCTCATCAGCTAACACACGGTCATTTTCTTCATTTGAGCTTTAGCATTAACCGTGAATACGAACAGTATCTCTGCTTCTATAAAGTTACCTGGAACATCATCTAAATACACACTTTGTCCACAGAGGGCGCCAAAATCAATTCAAACTAAAGGAGCTTTAATCATTTGTTGTCCTGCAGGCCCAGGAGGAGTGGTGGGTGATGGCGCCGTGTCAAACGGCGGTCTGATCCATCGTGTCGGCTCTCTTACCAAGATGCCAAATGGCAGTGAACACGACGATCACTATCGCTGTGGAGACAACACAAGGTCTTCTGGCAATCATTACCATCACCACCGCCCGCCAGGAAAGAACGGCCTACTGGATCACACCTACAAGAGACCGTCATCGTACCACCGTTACAGAAGGTATGCTGTGGTAGACATGAGTCCCCGAATTACTCAGTCATAGATGTTCATGTCTGTTATTCACCTAGTTCTTTAACATAGATCAATATGAAAAAAGTTATCAATCACAGTTTGATTGACAGGTGCCTCAACCAATCATAATTTATCTTTCTGCAGGAGGGATTCAAGGGATCAATACTGGAGGAATGGAGACATGGAGGTGTACGGGGAGCAGGGATACTACAGCCGGGAGGAGGGCAACGACAGCATCACCACCAGAGACAGGTGAGACACTGACATCTGACAGGTAACAGACAGGTGAGACACTGACAACTGACAGGTAAAGGACAGGTGAGACACAAACAACTGACAGGTAACAGACAGGTGAGACACAAACAACTGACAGGTAACAGACAGGTGAGACACAAACAACTGACAGGTAACTGACAGGTATGACACTGACATCTGACAGGTAACAGACAGGTGAGATACTGACAACTGACAGGTAAAGGACAGGTGAGACAACGACAACTGACAGGTAACAGACAGGTGACACACCCACAACTGACAGGTAACGGACAGGTGAGACAACGACAACTGACAGGTAACAGACAGGTGACACACCCACAACTGACAGGTAACAGACAGGTGAGACACCGACATCTGACAGGTAACAGGCAGGTGAGACAACGACAACTGACAGGTAACAGACAGGTGACACACCCACAACTGACAGGTAACGGACAGGTGAGACACTGACATCTGACAGTTAACGGACAGGTGGTACACCGACAACTGACAAGTAACAGACACGTGACACACCAACAACTGACAGGTAACAGACACATGACACACCGACATCTGACAGGTAACAGACACGTGACACACCAACAACTGACAGGTAACAGACACATGACACACCGACATCTGACAGGTAACAGGCAGGTGAGACACAGACAACTGACAGGTAACAGACAGGTGAGACACAGACAACTGACAGGTAACGAACAGGTGAGACACAGACAACTGCCAGGTAACAGACAGTTGAGACATCAAACACTGACAGGTAACGGACAAGTGACACACCCACAACTGACAGGTAACAGACAGGTGAGACACCGACATCTGACAGGTTACAGACAGGTGAGACACTGACAACTGACAGATAACAGACAGGTGAGACACTGACAACTGACAGGTAACGAACAGGTGAGACACTGACATCTGACAGGTAACAGGCAGGTGAGACACAGACAACTGACAGGTAACAGACAGGTGAGACAACGACAACTGTAAGGTAACAGGCAGGTGAGACACAAACAACTGACAGGTAACAGACAGATGAGACAACGACATCTGACAGGTAACGGACAAGTGACACACCCACAACTGACAGGTAACAGACAGGTGAGACACCGACAACTGACAGGTAACAGACAGGTGAGACACTAACAGGTAATGGACAGGTGGGACACAGACAGGTGTGGGGGCTGACAGGTGTTCTGATGTATCTTTGCAGACATTACCATGATGAGCCTCCTCTGTACAGAGACCATTATGATGGCCACAACCCCTACAGCAACAGTAACTATGGTAACAGCTACAATGAGAGCAGAAGGACCACCAGGAGGCGTTTACTTCCTGCTACACCTACAGGTGAGGTGATATCCCATGATGCTCTCTTTTGGCAGCTGTGTGGGGGTTGGCTGAGACATGAGCATAGACATTCACTCTTTCCCTACATCATTAAAATGTGTGGTGACCACACAGTAGCATGGTGACTGACGCAGGTCAGTCTGACCCACTCTGATGTAGTCTAGGAGAAAACTGTCATCTCCAGTTGTACCTAGACTCTCTCTCCTTCTGCTTCACTAACGATAAATGACCGTAAGTATAACATTTTCATGATGTTATTCGTAAAAGGGTCCCGTCCATGTTTGTTTCGTTGTTGTCCGTCAGGTCGGAAGCCATCGTTTAACATCCAGTGTCTGAGAAGGCAGGGCAGCAGTGACGATCTGCCAATTCCGGGGACGTACCACCCCACCTCCCCACCACGCCGCGCACGCATGCAGGTAACGCACATGTGTAACACCACACCTGTTTCAAGCAGACACCTCTCTTCCTAGTTTTAACAGTACCTTCCTCTCCTTCCTTCTCCTCAGCAAACGTACAGCAGTTATGAGTCACGACACTCGACTGGTCCATCTCCTGCAGCATCCTCGGCATCCTGGGCGAACCCGTGTCCACGCCGAGGTCGCCTCCTTTATGCTCCCCTCATCCTGGTGGAGGAGGAAGGCAGCCCACCCTGGGGAGGAGGAGAAATGAAGAAGGGAGGAGCAGGAAGAGGTGAGTGACTGTAAAAGAAGAAAAAGGATTGTTTGATTTTGGCTCCACACTGCTAGCATGTTAGTGTGGCTTGCCAATAAAACGACAACGATATATATCTAAAATTAATTTCCTTCAATATCGATATTAAACATGGTCAATATGCTTTTCAATAGATGGCATTCTGCCATGTTTTGGTAGACTATATGAATAGCCAATGAAAAGGGGAGTTGCTCCTGGTCCGCTTCGCGCTGAACCAATCATGTGCTGAATCAGAACAAAGTATCAAACAACTGTGTCGTAGCAGACAGCAGCTCCACCCAACCATAGCACTTTAACAGGTGAAGCCGACAGCACTGTTGGTGAGAAACAAAGAAAATGAGTGCTACCCCCGACAGAAATGACCATGAAGGCTCAACAGATGACGACATCGTCGACAACACTGGCACGAAAACGTCGGTGGTGTGGAGGTATTCTGGTTTTTTGAGGTCGGACATGAAGCAGAGTAATGTGTACAGAAAATTATGTCGAGTACATGTTCTCGTAAAGTCGGGGAATACCTCAAATCTTTTTCACCACCTGAGGCAGCGTCATGCGGCAGAACGCACGCAACACAAAAGGTTACAAACCTGAGCGGAGCAAGGAGCCCATGGCGCCTGTGCAGCGGAAACAGCCAACCATTCAGTCTGCTTTCTCTAGAGCGAACACCTTACGACAAAACGTCAAAGAGACACAAAGACCTCACAGATGCAGGAGATTATTGTACTGCAAAAGACATGCTACAAATAGGCACTATTTAATTTCATTTTTTATATCGTGATATATACCAATATCAACTGATAAGAAAAAATATATTGTGATAAACTTTTTCACATATCGCCCAGCCCTACATGTTGGCATCTTGTATTTCACCCAGACTTGTTAAAAACACTGGAGCATGAGCTACGAGATTAAAACCTGACCTCATCCAGACAGGAAGTTGTTAACTCTAACTCACCAGGCATGTTACTGTCGACAGGTGTCAGTGTGACAGGTGCAGCACCCAGACCAGCCTGGTATGGCAGCCCTGGAGGGACATCAGGTAAGGATGAACTGTACAGCAGCATGAGTGTGCACTCGTCCCTGTCATTTTTCTTTTTCTCAAACTAACGAACCAAAAAATTCTTAAGAAAAGTTCAACTTAACTCCGAATCATTATACAAAGCCATCATCACTGTTGTCTGTTCCTGAGCGTGTCATGTGACTGTGGTTGTGTTGCAGCTCCGCCCCCCTACAGAGCGTACACCACCCTCAGAGTCCCATCGCAGCTCAGCACTCAGCTCACTGAGAAGCGAGGATCAGCTGACAGTCTGGTGGAGGCGGTGAGGAAGCATTATGAGATTCATTGGTTAGTGATCTTTGAACTCTGGTCACTGATTGGTCGATCTCTCTGCAGGTTCTGATCTCAGAGGGTCTTGGTCTCTACGCTCGGGATCCAAAGTTTGTGGCATTTGCAAAGAGGGAGATTGCAGATGCATGTCACATGACGGTGGACGAGATGGAGTCGGCCGCCAGCGACCTGCTCGGCACCAGGAGCCACAGTTTTCTTGGCAACTCTGCTGCTGACCCTGCCGCTCTCTACAGTGATGAGGAGCCAATCAGGACGGGTCGGGATGAGGAAGAGCTGGCTGATGAAATGACCTGTGTGACATCATTCTGATGAGCTGAGCGTCTGGACCAATCAGGGATAAGACTGAGGACGCATCGCTGATTGACAGGACAGTGAATCATTTAGATGGCAAGAAATAGAAGAGGAAGGGGCTTAAGTGGAGTGATGTGATGTAGACCTTAGGTTTCTGACCAATCAGAGGGGACATGAGATAAAGCAGAGACAGAAGAAGACTTTCAGAAGAGAAAGAGGAAGTGCAGGAGGACGAGTGGCAAGGAGACGTCGTCAGAGTTCACAGATACAGGACGGCCCCCAGCGGAGTCTGGCTCAGAGCTGTCAGGTCTCTATGGTGACCGGTTTTGTCTCTTGATTACAAAGCTGCACTGAATCAGGTTTTACCCATAATGCATTGCTAGTAATTTTCCAGTTGTATTTTACCTGAAGGATTAAGTAATGACAGTAACTGATAACAAGCTAAAGAACGCTAACCACAACCTAAAAGGGCAGCCGTTTCAATATGGAGCCTCTCATTGCCGATAGTTCGCAGACTCACATCAGACTTAATTTTACACAGGCATAGACTTGAATGCTATGCTCACTGATCAGTAACCTCCAGTGTTCAACAATGAAACTTATGACACAGTTCCAGAAACTGCAGTTCCTCTAGTGTCCACTAGAGGCTGTCTCCTGCAGTGAGTCAGTCCTCAAAGAGCCCCATGTTAAAAGTTTACAGCAGAAATAAACATGTGTTCCTGGGCACAGGAACACTTTGGGCCTCTACAGCTGATATGTTTGGGTTCTGTTTGAGATAGGAGTATTGAATACATTTACATAAATGTAGGTGTGGCCTCTTTGACTGACAAGTGGGTTTGGCACAATTTCGAAAATGGCACTAACACTCCTGTAAACTCTGACAAAATCAAAGACAACTTAAACTAATCACAACCAGAGGAGAGGACTGGAGGAGGCGGTAACAGGACTAAAAATGCTGTTAACATGTCTACAGGATTACCCTTCCTCCACTAAAATCATTTAACAAAGAACAAACACTACAAGAGTTTATAGTAACCAGCAAAGATAAGGATATCTCTCTTACTATGACAGACCTGATCAGTATATAAAGTGTCTCCAGATCGGGTTAACACCACGGACCTAACGGCGCTCCCATCGCCACAGAAGCCGTGATCAGGTGATCCACGCAGCACAATAGTACGTTTACATGAAACTTGAGAAAACCAAATTATTGCCTATTATTTCTCAGATTAAGACCGGACAACTGAAGTGCATGTAAACACCTTAGTCTGACTATAATCGGAGTTTGAGGGCTCAGATTGGAGTCGGAAACCTCCGATTAAGATACCCAGATAATGAGATTGGAATTCGATTTCCTCTACCATGTTACCAGCATTTTCGGAGTATGATCAGACAATGCATGTGCGTGTGCATCTCATCTGCAGAAAAAGTCGTACGTAAATCATGTACAAAAAAACAATGCTGTACAATGCTCCATCTTCTTGCTCCAAAATGCCCAGCAGCAGTTGTAAACACTTCTGATGTCTGGCACACACCTGCTGTTGTTGTTGACGATTGTATGAAAAAACCCATATCGCCCCCTAGTTTTGGGGAGGAGGTCACGTTCACATCAATAATTCGATCTTCTCAGCTGCATGTATACGCAGACAAGGAGAGAAGTCTGATTCAGCGGAAAAAAACGAATTATGAGCTTACTCCGATTGAAATGTGTAAGTACGTAATCGCACTGAGTATAAACATCAGTCACAGTTAGTCTAATAATTAGCACAAAGCAGCTCACAGCAATGAACCCTGTAGAGCGGGTGTCGGGTTGAAACAGTGCTGTAAGGTCATTTTAGCATCCTGTGCTGCCCCCTGGTGACCAAAGCTAAAGGTGAAACATTAATCTTTTAATTGATTTTCCTTTTAATCCTTTAATTCAATTGAACAAGCATCCTCCAGAAAAAGTCCATTATAGTTCAGTAAAGTTTGTGATGGTAACTAGAAAGTTTGCATGTGAAAAGTTTACATATTTTGAGATGTTTTTAAGCTAAATTGAGGAAACGGCGCAGGAGTATGATCTGTGTTGAAGGACATGAAGGAGTTTTTCTACTGATGCTGCTGGCATCGTTGGCTCATTAAGCAGTGAGCAGGATTATGCTTCTTATTTTATGTGTATTTTTATCACCATGACTGAAGTTTTTGTCTTGAATCAGACAATGAACTGAAAATATTTTTGTGTTTTTGTTGTTTTTTAAATGGACCGAAGAAAACTGAGTGTTTGTTCAGTGTGTTTTTTAAATGTTTGATATTTTGTATTCTGACAACTGAACTGGATTTTTCTGTCTCTTTGACTACCAACAGTCGGCTGGTGTTTGTGTCTTGTCTGAATTTTTGTGTTTCCATCTCCTTTTGGGCTTTTTCTTTCCGTCAGTTTGGACTGTGTCCCAGCAGTTAAGGGCTTTTCAAATCCATGCCTCCATTTCTCCAAAAAGACGTTCAAACTGCCGATGAGCTGAGGAGCAAACAGCTCGGTCTGAAACCTTCTTTACCTCAAATAAAGACTGAAAACAAGCCGCTGTCTGACTCAAATGTCTCTAAAAGTGTTGTTAACGTGTTTGAGTGTGTAAAAATGTTTTTCACTGATCGAAAGAGTCAGTGAGGTGGGAAGTAAAAGTCTGAGTGAGCAGCTCCCTCTACTGGCTGACTCAGGTCACTGCAGCAGCTTCTTTAATTAAGGAGGTTCAACATCTGGATTCAGACCTCACATCTGTGTTGCTGCTGCCTGAGGACCTCTAGATCTACCGGGACAACTGAGCAGATTTATTTTCTCAGCCCTTCACTGTCATCTGTATTTGTCATGTTGTGTGACTTTAGCCTCCCTCTGTAATGTCTGACTGCTGTTAAAAACCTTCATTTACAAAACACACCTCTTTATTTTCATGTATCCATTATCGAGCAGTCCACTTAATCATTGTCAGTGTAGAGAGTGATTTGTGTAATAAAAGCAGCTGAGGCAAACCAACCCAAACAGATCTGTGACGATAAGACAGCTGCAGAAAAACAGAATCAAGGCTGTTCGACTGGAGGACTCTTCTTATTTATTCTCTGTTTATCCATCCATTTATGTCCATTAATCACTGACTTCTTCGATCTCAGAGAATAAAGACCGTAGTTTGGTAAATGTGAGACTTCATTCTCATAACCTTACAGATTTATTCCTGTTACACTAATGATAAAGCTACAACCTTTTTTATTATTATTACTCATAATTTACAACTCCAATTTCATGAAATAATGAAACAAATTTATTCTCATATTTGATGATTTAATTTCTATATATTTTGAATCATTCCTATAATTTCCTCTTTTTCACATAATTTACAACTTTATTCTAATAATTTTAAACTTTATTCTCATAAATTTTCTCGTTCTTAAAATAAACAATCATATCCTGTTTAAATCAAATCAATTATTATTCATTCATTTACTGCTTTATACTCACTAAATGGACCTAAAGCTTGTTCGTTTACTGCATTAATTACATACATTAAAACCTGATTATTGTGGTGGGCCCAAACCTCTTCACACACGTCACACTGAAAAGAGTTCTGGCACGTCTACTGTTAATGATTTCACATCTTCCTGTCGAGTCTGTGTCAAAATCAGCGCGAAAATTCATTGAGACAGTCTCTCCAGCAGTCTAATAGACTGGGTTTTACTCTGCAGTGAAATATTTGAGTTAAATTAAGAAATGTTTTCTTTTTTAAAAGGGATATTCCAGAGTAAAATTAATTTAGGGTCAAACTCACTGTAACACCGAGTTAGACACCCCCTCCAGAGATGAATGTTGCCGACCGCTTGCTTCTCTAGTTATACCAACTTTAGTAACGACCGCAGGATAGCAATATACAGCGTTCTGAGGAGCCATAAACAAACCTCAACCAAAACGCCACTCTATAGTCAGGAATAATGCTCAGAACAGCACCTAACTTCATCAACAGGACATATAGGGTCCTAGCCATAGTACTAGCCCCCAAACATCTTTTTAACTTTGACTTATTTCTTTAGCAAAGAGACTAAACACAACTCACCTACTCTCTTCCAGCAGCCACTTGTTTCTAGCGAGACCTCAGGCCAGTCCATTACGGACTACAGCGGGGTGACGCAGCTCAAGGAAGAACATTTATTACCATTTCTTTATCATTTCCTTGAAGTAATAATCATCATATTAATCATTTTCCACTGCAGACGCGGTAGTTCTTCTGCCTTAGCATCTCGGTCTGATTGTATTTCCATGAAGAAATGATCATAAATGTTATTCCTTGAGTTGCGTCACCCGCTGTAGTCCATAATGGACTGGCCTGAGGTCTCGCTACAAACAAGCGACTGCTGGAAGAGAGTAGGTGAGTTGTGTTTAGTCTCTGTAGCAATCAAGACAACCCTGTATGTGAAACTCACACAATCCTCGCAGGAAAGTTTCCTTATCTGGTCCCAGGACACAGGATTTAAATCTTTCTAGACTTGTTTGCACTTTCAGGTTACCTAACTGACACAACTGGAGGTTGACCAAACCTCTGACTCTTCACAATTGGTCAATTTGGAGAAAAGAGAGTTTTACTACCTTTCCAATTGACGCTATCGCTGACCATCTAAATAATCATTCATCATCTGTCTAATCATGAATTTGTGTTAAAATGAGATGTTTCCCGTTTTTCTATGTGCTCCAGAAGCCGAGTCATCACTCTGACAGAATGAATCCTTTATTCTTTAGTTTCTTTAGACCAACAGCTTTTCAGACTGTTTCATAAACTTTTAAGAGTTACATTTATTGACTATGAATCATAACTTTACTCTAAATAACAGAAATGGTTTAGAAATGTTTGGTTTATATTTTAATTGTTTATTTAGTATCTTTAACCATTTGGTGGTTATAATGTCATTGAATAATCTGAATGTGAGTATTTAGAATCCATTATTAATCATGAAGTTCATTCACATGTGTTTACTCTTTTGTTCACAGTTTCTATGTGTTACTATCTGTTTCATTTCAGAGTAATTTAGCATGTTCAATGTAATACTTAAAACATAATGAGAATGTTTGATGTGATCCTACATTTCTTTATATGTGTTTAGTATCAAATTAAGTATCATGAAACCAAGCATTCAATGATATTCATCATAGTGAGTGAGTATCAGATCTGACTCTTTTACCAGCCAAAATTATAAGTTAGATCAAATAATCAGAGATCCGAGGTCTCCTCTGCAGACGGAGACCCCACGACCCCTCCTCTTTCTCCTCACACACACACCCCAGTGACACTCCCAGTGTGAGAAGATAAAACCAGAAAGTGGGGTTGCTCACGCTCCCTTACTCTCATACACCCGCTTCTTCACTCAGTGTCCACACCCTTCTGTGTTCCTCTTTCTTTGTTTTCTCTTATTTCTTGCTACTTAGTCTTACTTTTTCTTAGTCTTCTAAGTTTTACGCCACGTGTTCATTCACACTGATTTTTCTTTAACATAGTCTTAGTTCAAGTTTTGAAACTTCAACTTTTTGTGTGCATAGCAATTCAAGATTAGGCCTTTGGTTGATTTTTCTTTAATTTCGCGAAGCCATTTTTGAAATAGTTTCGACTAGTCATCAAGCCCCCCCCCCCCCGAGTTATCTGGGTGATTTCAAAGTCACCTCTAAACGCCAGCCAGCAGGCCGAGGTCATCCTCTGTGCCAGAGTTTTTGAGTGAGACTAAAGAAGCGTCCAAATGAGCATCCAAGAGATCCACAGCACTGGCTTTTGCTTCGAGCCCGAGTACTACAACTCCTGGCCCATCCTACGGCTGACTTAAGTCGTCTTCTGAGCTGAACCGCTCGAGCCACCGGTTGCCCAGACTCTCGGTACCTGCTCCATCTTCTCCAAGGACCAGTCTCACTTAAGTATGCAAACCTCCAGAGCTCCAAACAGGGCTGGTGCTGTCTCATGTGGTCATAACTCAGATATTCAACTATTCTGATAATCCTAGGTTCATCCAAATCCACATCCAAATGTATCTTGACACCAAAGTATGTGTTATGTTATATGTTAGAACATATTCACTCACTATCATTAACTTTAGTGCTCCTATTCTGACTCAGAATCTTTTATTATTCACCTATTATTATTTATCCTCATTATCTTATCATCATTTATTGCATGTATGTCGTACCATCATTTATCCTGTAATAAACAGATCATTATTTTTCTAAGCTCCTGTCTGTTAGTGTTCTTCCAGAAGCGGAGTCCCTGAAATGAGAATTTTGGCTTAAGATACGAGATTGATTAATTTAAGATTGACTTTATGTTTGTGTAGCAATCAAGACAACCCTGGATGTGAAACCCACACATTCCTTACAGGAAAGTTTCCTTATCTGGTCCCAGGAAACAGGATATAAATCTTTCCAGACGTGTTTGCACTTTCAGGTTAAATAAGTGACCCAACCGGAGGTTGACTAAACCTCTGACTCTTCAGGATTGGTCAGTTCGGCGAACAGAGACAGAGTTTTTATTACCTTTCAAACTGACTCCATTACTGACCATCTAAATAAACATTAACGTCTCAACCCAGATCTCCCATTTGAGATTTAGCGTCTTAAAGTGTGTGAACATACGGACCCCAGGATAAGGGGGGACACTGACCTCCAGACCTCGGTCGTAAAACCCTGCTCGACCATACACTGATAAAGACTGCATTCCTTTGGTGAAAGAATACAAATGACTGATTATGACATCTTACGCATTCAGCAATGTACTAATCTGTCTAATCATGAAATTTGTGTTAAAATGAGATGTTTCCCGTTTTTCTATGTGCTTCAGAAGCCAAGTTATCTTATCTGACAGAATAAATCCTTATTCTTTAGTTCTTTAGACCAACAGCTTTTCAGACTGTTTCATGAACTTTTAAGAGTTAAATTTATTGACTATGAATCCTAAGTTTACTCTAAGTAACAGAAATAGTTTAGAAATGTTTGGTTTATATTTTAGTTATTTATTTAGTATCTTAACCATTAGGTGGTTATAATGTCACTGAATAATCTGAATGTGAGTATTTAGAATCCATTATTAATCATGATGACGTTCATTCACATGTGTTTACTCTTTTGTTGTTCACAGTTTCTATGTGTTACTATCTGTTTCATTTCAGAGTAATTTAGCATGTTCAATGTGATACTTAAAACATAATGAGAATGTTTGATGTGATCCTACACTTCATTCATATGTGTTTAGTATCAAATTATTTATCATGAAACCAAGCATTCAATGATATTAATCATAGTGAGTGAGTATCAGATCTGACTCTTTTACCAGCCAAAAGAATAAGTTAGATCAAATAATCAGAGACCCGATGACCCCTCCTCTTTCTCCTCAGACACTCCCAGTGTGAGAAGATAAAACCAGTGAAGTGGGGTTGCTCACTCTCTTATGCTCCTCTTATCTTCCTTTTATGCTTCTGCTCTTCTGCTGACTCTCTTGTCCCCGGCTCTTATGCCCCTTCTCTTCTGTCCACACCCTTCTGTGGTCCTCCTTTTCTTTGTTCTCTCTTAGAACTTTTTCTTAGTCTTCTAAGTTTTACGCCACGTGTTGATTCACGTTGATTTTCTTTAACATCGTCTTAGTTCAAGTTTTGAAACTTCAACTTTTTGTGCACATAGTAATTCAAGATTAAGCCTTTGATTGATTTTCTTTAATTTCGCGAAGCCATTTTTGAAAGTTTTCTCTGCTCTTCGAGCCTCGTTTTTCTGAGTTTTCTGCGTGATTTCAAAGTCACCTCCGAACGCAATCCAACAGGCCCAGGTCATCCTCTGTGCCAGAGTTTTTGAGTGAGACTAAAGAAGTACCCAAACGAGCATCCACAGGATCCACAGGCGCTGGTTTTTGCTTCGGGCCTGAGTGCTGCAACTCCGGGCTCATCCTTCGGCTGACTTCAGTCGTCTTCTGAGCTGAACCGCTCGAACCGCCAGTAGCCCGGACCTTCGGAACCTGCTCCATCTTCTCCAAGGACCAGTCTCACTTAAGTATGCAAACCTCCAGAGCTCTAAAGAGGGCTGGTGCTGTCTCCTGCATTCAACTCAGATATCCTCTTATTCTGGTAATCTTAGATTCCTCCAAATCCACATCCGAGTTTATCTCGACACTAAAGTTAGTGTAGGTTAATATGTTAGCGCATATTCACTCACTATCATTAACTTTAGTGCTCCTAGCCTGACTCAGAATCTTGATTTATTCACCTATTATTATTTATCTTCATTATCTTATCATCATTTATTGCATGTGTGTTGTACCATCATTTATCCTGTAATAAACAGATCATTATTTTTCTAAGTTCCTGTCTGTTAGTGTTCTTCCAGAAGTGGAGTCCCTGAAATTAGAATTTCGACTTAAGATATGAGACTGATTAATTAAGACTGATTAATTAAGACTGATTAATTAAAACTGACTTGATGTTTGATTTCTGAATTAAACTTTTGTTTTCTTTATTTTCCCACCATTAAGTGTGGGTGGTGCCCCTTTCAACGAGTGCATAAATGTCATACTTTGAGATTATTAATCTTCAGACATTTATTATAAATTCCAATCGCCAAGTATTATTTTGGTGCGGCCTTGCGAGGCTCATTTCAAATCGCTACATATATTTTGGTGCGACCGTATGAGGCTCATTTCAAATCACTACATATATTTTGGTGCCCCGTGTGAGGCGTTTCAAACAAAACTTCTGGATACTAACAGACAACCTAAAACTTAGCCTTCCAAATTGATGAGAGAAACTTATTTCCAGGCTATCCTAGACTTAATCACAATAAATGCTATGCTTGCTGAAGTTGCTTGACTAAGTTCTGATGTTTTCCTGATCTATGCATAAAACCTTTATGCTCTGTGTTTCACACACTTTTGTACTACATGCCTGTAGTCTGTGTTTGAGCTGGACAGCGTGAAATGTTGTTCTGAGTAGCAGTGAGACTGCTTCTTCTGCTCTGTCTAGACTGTCCAATATTTAAGTGCACGATTGTTGCGTCGCTGTACGCTTGTATTTAAGGCCTTTGGCTGAACCCAGTGTTCGCGATGCTCCGAGCTGTGGTTTCAAGCCCCTGAAGTCTCTGTAGTCTGCTACGAGGTTCTAGTAACTATATGGGATTCAGATTTCCTCCTTTCCCCTGACAGATTAGCTACCTGTCACAGGAAACCACTGTAACAGTGGGAGGTTGTTGTTTGAGTGAATTCAGACAAAATTTGTGTTCACAAATCGCCGCATTTGTGATTTTTAAGTTTGCAGTTGAATCTGCTGTTGAGGGATTTGTCACTTTGATTCTTGTCTCTATAGTCT